TTTTGACTTTTGATTGAGTTATTGGATCGGGCTGAAACTTCGGTATCTGGTTGTGACCTTTAGTGCTACCTTTGGGTGGAGAATGAGCGTACGGCGATGCCTAGTTTATTTTTGCGGTAAAAAAGAATGCGTAAATTTTTTTCTGCAACACCCTGTACTTTCTTTCGCTGGTCGGCTACCCCTTCGGACGCTGCTCCCGACGCCATCTATCAATACACGCGCCAAACGCGCCCCGCAACTCGACTCAGTTTTCTGCGTCGCCGTTTGCCGTGGACCAGTGCAAGTTTTTTGGCCCTATTTTTTTACAGAAAAGGAGCTACACTTTCAAATTTTACAAGAAAAACCAACCTGTGAAATATCGTAAACGAAAAGTTTAGATTGCTTCGTGCAGGCCCTGATTTTTACGGTCCATTTTAGATGGAGCCTGATGACTTGGGATACCCTACATATTTAGAACAAATTATCACATACACTAAAATTCGAGATAAACAAAGAAATTTAAACACATGTAAAGGAATATATAAACTAATAAAACAAGATTACATGCAAAAAATTAATTCAAGAGATTAGTGGAAAAATGAAAAAGGGGGCTTAGCGAGCACGCATCGACATTTCGGCAGCGGCACTGCCTTCTTCGGCCCGAAGAAGGCAGTGCCACTATCAAAACGTCAAAGTATGAAGAAAAGAGGTAAACTGACCCTCATGCAGAGCTGGCGGAAAACAAAACTTGGTATGCATTTCATCTGAAACGTGGTGTGAGTGACGATTTTGGAACAACAAAAAAAGAAAAAAAAAAATGTCAGAGGTTTTACATTGACGTTTTGTTTGTCACTGCAGTGACATACAAAACGTCAATGTAAAACGTCTTGCATTTCTTTTTTTCCCTTTCTGTGTTGATCCAAAATTGTCACTCGCCACACGTTTCGGACGAAATGAATACTAGGTTTTGTTTTACGCCAGTTATGCATGATGGTCAATTTACCTCGTTTCTTCATACTGGCTGCTGCAGGTCAGGAACATCGGTGGTTTTCAAAAGAGCCAGGTTGGATAGACATCTCAAAATCCTAACTTATTAATTAATACCCTGAAGGCCACACATACTGAATACATATAGCAATTGTAGGAGTGTGGCAGATTTCAAAATTTACTTATCATTAGAAGCTCCGACCAATGATTCCAACCAATTACTCTTAATCCTAATTTTAGATTGAACGGAAATGCATTACCAGATGCACCACTCACTGACAGTAACTCTGTGAAATGGCCACATTTCAAGATCCGTTCTCAAGGTCATTCTTGAGAAAAACTAATAATTTTATTTTTCGGTTAATATCGGGTGATATCGGTTAGCGGTAAATAATTTACAGTTACGGTTACACAAGCAGTTGTTAAAGCAACTTATCTGCCATGAACAACAGCTCTGACGGTGTGAAAAAATCAGCTAAACGCTCAGTGTCAGCACATGCTTAATTAACCCTTTGAGTGCCATGCCCGAGAAAGCTCAGGCACGTTCCCGTGTAGTTTCCGTTTCGGCTTGCTCCCTGCCCAGAGGCAGACCTAGCATTTTGCTGCCCTAGGCAGCCTTTAAAGGGGCCCTGCAATCATATTTAAGCGTCAACCTTTTGTGCGGTTTCCATGTCTCTTGGGGGTTCAGGCAAGCCAGCGGGTACGGAGAGAGTAAGTAAATATCATTGCGTCATATTTTAACCGGACGACGCAGAAACCTCCTCCACCAACGAGGGCGACCCTCAATACCGAAAGCGCGCGAAATGCGACGTCGTTGGTCCTGGGCTTACTACTGGTCAGAGTCACTAAAAGCTTCTTTTTAGTCGAAATACAAAATATAAGTGGCGCGAAGCGTTTCAATTATTCATAAAAGTAGTTTTTGTTCAGTATTTTTTATCAGAAAAGAAACGAATGCAGTTTATAAAGTACGGAAACAAGAAATGATGCGTCGACATACCCGCCACCAAGAGATGGAAAAGGCGGCACATGCTAGAAAGGAGTAGTGGCATCAGGCGCCGACACGGAAAGGTCCCGGATGTACGCGGCGGCGCTGCAGTCGTATGGACAGGAGGATCCGACCAGCTCCGAGCGTTCCAAAGGCCTTCGGCAAGAAGCTTTGTCGTGCGGTTTGGCCGTTTCGCAGTATGGCACCGCCAGAGCCGTATATTGGGAGAGTTTGGCCAGTGGGTGTGGCGACGAAGGCGCCGGAGAGGAGAAAAGTAAATGAAAGGGAGGAGAGCGCCGAAGGAGCGAGAGAGAAAGAAGGGAGCAGAGAGGAGACGACCGCCATTCTTTAGCAACGCTGTCGGAGGCTGGTCGGAAAAGAGCACTGCTGAGGCTACGCGTCGTCTGCTACGGGCCGACTTCTTTTTCGCCTGAATAAAAGTTTGTGGCCATACGCCGAAAAATCTTCATTTATTAGCTTTTTAACCCATCGAGGAATAACAGAATGTCATTTTCTTGCCAGAGCCAGCAATATAAAAGGCAATAATCAAGATTTAGATGCCGATTCCACGCATTCCGCCAGGAGAATGATCGAAGACGGCGGCTCTCACCACTCAGGTGGGAGCAGCCGGGAATTCACGCGCATGCGCTCATGCCTCTCACTCTACATCGCGTGCTGATTGGCTCACTTGGGAGGAGAGCGTTACGGCGGCAAGATCATAGACTGACCAAACTCTCCCCAGATACGGCTCTGGGCAGCACAAAGTGGCTCCCATTCTGAACTGATCTTTACCCCATGTTTGCTGTCGTTTGTGGCCAATAAAGTGTTATGCCGAATTAGTATTTAATCGTGCAGCAAATGCAATGAGAGCCTCTCTGGATGCCCGCTGCATACAGCCTATCCAGAACATGCTTTAGTGGCGCCCTCTCGCGCCGTCGACACGGAGTGTGGCAGCCGTGAGCGCTCGATAAGCTCACTACCCCTCCTCTAGTTCACGGCCACTCTCAAGCAACCAAGGACGTCATGAGGGAGGTTATTTTTTGCTTGTTTTTGTAATTTTAATTTGCCTATAACTTCTAAAATAAAGGGAATTTCGAGAAAAGAAAAGTTTCACTAAGTTACTACGTTCAGTGCGCTCAGGTTCGGTGCAAATTAAAAACCAGTAAAAGAGTCCTTGCAGGTCCCCTTTAACAATGAACATGGAGAGCGGGATCAGAGTCAGTGACCATTGAGAGCGGGGGTTGGGGGGAGGGGGGGGAGGGGAAGGAAAGTAGCCAAGTTTGGTGTAAAACATTTTCAAAAATAGCTATATTTGGAGCTAGAATTTTTAAAGTAGCTAAATTCAGTGCTAGATTCAAAAACAAAGAGTCAATTAATTTAGGGACAGCCACAAATTGGCCGTCCCCAAAATGCTGCCACCTTAGGCAGCTGCCTACTCTGCCCATGTCCCTGCCCCCTTCCAACTAAACTAATTTTTTTTTTTTTTTTAACTTGTGGCAGCATGTTTGAGCACATGACGAAAACAATGTTTAATCTTGTAGTGTCACCTTTTGACGGTATGCTCCTTCATTGTTACAGAATGGCGTACTTACGTCAATCAATATCACGCTTTATGGTGAACAATGAGATCTAGAAATTACTAATGAACTTGGTATTCGACGACTGAGAAAGCAAGGAAGTTACAGTTCCGAATAACAAAGGCCGAGTAAGGTCGCTCAAAAGAATGACCTCAGGGTGCGAAGTCGAGGTGCCAGTGCCTTTTCTCGAAAAGTACAATACGAGAAATATATAATTGGTCGGAGGCATGTATACATCAATTAACGTTCTGGCCATAAAACAGTACATCTTTTATAAATAAATATTCTCCACAAAGCATACTACAGTGTTACTGAAACCGAAATTTGTGTTCGGCATGCAGCAAAAAAAAAAGAAAACTGCACTCAAAGGGTTAACTGCAGAGCTCACAGCTATTGCCACAATACTCCCTAATCCTTGTGTTCCATCACATTTCTTTTAACGTGCAGCAAGTGTTCCATCTGTTTACTTGCTTTTGCTAATGTTGCATTACATATCGCTACGCTCTCATTGCTTCCCTGGTCATAGCCTTCTTTATTCTACAAAGCCTGTCAAATTGCGAAAGAATCTGACCGCTGTAAAGGGGGAAGGAGGAACAAGGAAGAGAGAGCGCTTAGGGGCAACATCGCCTAAGCAGGGGGCCCGCTACGCTAGCACCAAAGCTGCCTCTGCAGTAAAATTCAAAAACGCGGACGCCGTCTTTTCTTTTTGGGGGAGGGGGTGGGGGATAGTTGAAAGGTAAGCACCTTGTGCCTTGAGCGTTCGGCGAATAAAGAGCCCCCCCCCCCGCTGATCGCGCCTAGGGGTGGACTATGATTTCGGAGGTAATGCAAACATCCAAACGCAGATGTGTTTTGTAGAGAGGCCGCAGGCCGCCATGTGGCACTAGCTGAGGGCACTCCCCACAAGGGACTCTGCGCTACCATATCGGTAAACGTTTAGCAATGCTCTTCGCCTTTTTCCAGTGGCTGAGTGCTTCAAATTTTCATCGGGGAATTGACAGGCTTTAAAGAATAAAGGAGGCTATGCCCTGGTTCATTTAAAACAGTATGGGCTATTGTCCTTCAAGAGGTTAAATATACATTTTATATGTTTGTTTAAAACACACTTTTCTTTCGTTACTATGACAGCATCATGAAGTGCAAGGTGCACTTCATAAAGGGGTTATGATTAGATAAACAAATAATTACACTGATAAAAAAGAACTCTAGTGACTGGATAAAACGAAAATGGAATGTTGTCAGTCCTGTCGGATTAACAGATATGACTCTATAAAAACACTAGCTCACCTCCCAGGTTTGTTGCAGCATTTAAAATATATCTTGGTCACCCAATATCACCACCAGCATAATTTACCAAGTAAGCACTTTAAATATCAGCCTCTTAATCAATCAATGACCTATTGACAAGATGACTGTTTGTGTATGAAAGTGTCATGAACTTGATACTGAAGATTCCGGCTCAAAGAGCTCACCACAAACTTCTTGCGTCCCTCGACGACCGTCTTGGCTGACACAATTTCAAAGACCACCTGCTGGGGGCCCACCCTAGGGGGTGTGTCGCCTGCAGATGCCATCAACGATGAGGGCTGTGATGTTTTAGACCACGAACCTGGCAGTAGAAACATTCCGCATTATCATGACAGACCCAAAAGAACATCCCAAGTTCACTTTCTCACCGATTCTACATTCAGTATAGCTGTAAACAATGTTAGCTAAAGAGTATATGCATGCACAAATACATACAGAGGGTGTACATCATGTGCCGCCTCAAAATGGGGGCAGCAGCTCCCGAAGAAAAGTATTGCACTAACAATCTTGCATTGTGTTCTGTTCAACATAATACAAAATTGATATGATGCTAATTGCAGTAAATTCATCAAGAGAAAGGCTACAACTGCAGATTATGCTAAATTGCGAGCCGTGGAGGATTGCGAAATTTGCCTGATCATATAACTAGGAAGTCCACACACACACAAAAAAAAAAAATAGGCTGTGTCTAGAGTGCTGTCCGACCGCACTCTGTTTAAGTGCCATCCCACGGCACTCCACTCAAGCCTTCAAGTGCCGTCCAAAAGCGTTAATCACAAGTCATGCTTATTCTGACATGGTTACATCAGTCGCTCGCCAACAATTTGTTTTAACATAAAGCGTGAGCGAGACAAACGCTACAGGAGTGAACAGCATGCTTTCTTATGTATATTTCTGCCTGCGTGATCTTCTCAAGTTTGCCGAAGTGGCACTTTCTCGAATGTTGTGATTGCGATTTAAAATAAAATTTAGTTTAAATCTTACGTTCTCCAGTGGTGGCAGCAACCTCTACAAAATACAAAAATAAACACACACAAGTCTTTTTTGTAGGGCACGCTATCGAACCTAAATATTTGTGAGATCATACTACTAGCCAGGCATACTACCATATTAAACTAGAGAAACGAGTCAGGGATGTCATTCTTTGGTTTTCAGATATTATTTGTTATGAAGAAAGTTTTATGGAATCTGAGTATAGACATAATTAGCAAATTTAACACAAACAAGTACAGCAAAAGTGGGCATACTAATTTCGGCCACAAAGTGCCAAAAGCAAGACATTCTTCACTAAAGGACAGCATTTGCTCGGTAAGACTGCACTCAAATGTGTAGATCCGTAGGACGGATCTAAACACTGCGAAAAATAAAAAATAAGCACTCGCATCATCACGATGATGCAAATGTCGATTCGAAAACCTTGATGAAAGTACAGTGCAGCAGCGACGACAGACACTGGAACTCGATGCACGTTTCGGCTGCGAGTGAGCACGTGCGCATGCTTATCGTGCGAAATAAACTTGGTAGTACGGCCTATATTCCCAACGTTGACCATGCTCGTGGGTCGTAAGGGTGCAAATATTAGCGGAAAAAGACATTAGTCACGCGATATCGACTTCCATAAGTTCCGTTCCAATGCGATACCGCCACGGATGTGTGCTCGTCAAGCCAGCGAAGCTATGTATGTAGTTCCTGTACACAGTACGCGCAGCGTGCAGCTCGGAGGCTGGCCGATGGTGTTCTCAAGGACATGATCGTTGCTAAGGGGCCGCCGAATGTGGGAGCCCCAGACAAGGGAAGCGAGCACCGGAGCCCGGCCCACTCACGAATTGTTCTTGACGTCGAAGACACGAGACATTCTTCCGCGTCGACGACAGGTTCCGAAAAGCAGAGCGTCCCTCCAACCTGCGAGCATCGGAACTCGTCTAGATCGTCGGAAAGCGACGAATTAAGTTCCTCAGTACTCATAACTGTTCAGGGTTTCCCCGCGCCGCTGCGCACCTCGTTCACGTCAGTCACCGCTCACTCAGTGTCATGATGCATAAACAGCAGAGGCGCCTGTGCAAACTCACACCTGCAACAAAGCAAAAAAACGCGACGCCAATTGGAATGTGGTCGCCGTTTGCGAAGATGCGCGGCACTGCGATTCCCGCGATGAGCTCACCGAACAGCGAAGCACGGCAAATTTTCTTCGGAACCCCGTTCGCTAGGAGAACCGACTAGCCATCCTCCATAAAAAATTTGGGACGACTGCGATCACGTCAACGTCGTCGTCGTTAGCTTCGTAGTCGCTTTTCCATGAACCCTGCGGCCCTACCCTTCCGCGTTACTATTATTCCCGCGCAAAAATAATAATGGTTTTTTTTAGACGTGCTATTTCCAAAGGACATGCTTATTTTTAAAAAAAAAAAATATTTATATATATATAAAATTAACGTACGCCTTGAACGTACGCAATCGGACTTCTGCGGCTCCGCCCATGTCTTTACGATCCCATCCCAGCGCTCGTGCGCTACCGCGTAGAAACAAAACAAGCAAGAACGCCAATAATTATCGTCCACTCGATTCGACGTTGATATCTTCGCTAAAAAACAGAAACTATTTTTATATATATATATATACCCACTTGGTACTCTTGGAACTCCTGACTGCTGGTCGCGACTGGTGCGCCGATGCGGGCATCGGTGCACTACACCTACATTGCTGGAGTGGTTGGAGCGCGAAAGCGGGGGGCCTGCGATCATGTCTTCCCATTTTGACACCTTGGTTTTAAACGATACCTATGCAGGCTTGCCGTCAAACACTGGTCCTCTTCGCTCAATGTGATAACCAAATCTGCTGCCATGAATTTCACTCACGAAGGGTAAGCCTTGGATTCGCCTTGTAAACGCGGGTACGCATGGGACGATCTTCTCTGCACAGCACGGCTGTCGTGCGACGAAGTGTCCCCTCTAAATACGGGAACCTGAAGACCTAGTACGTTTCTCATTCGAAACTAAGTTAGAATTAGCCGAGCGTCGCTTTGTCTTATTGTATTTGTCCGTGTGCAGTCGGACTGCGATTACATCGATTTTGTGGGTGATTTTTTTCAGGGAACCGCAACACTGACGCATGGCAGTGGAGATTATCGACGCTGATCACTTGGCAATATCTGCCATCGTCACGGTCGCACTACAGCTGACGTTCTTCATCGTAGCGGCGACGTTTCACTTCGACAAACTAACAGACTTCGCCGGTGGCTTCAACTTTATTATCTTGGCGCTGACCGTGTTCCTGCTTGCTCAGGTTTGCATATATGCCACTATTCCTCTACTGGGCACAAACGGGCTCAATACTTCAGTAAGAGGTCTGTTAGGCAGAATCAACTCAGGTGTAAGATATAAACACATAGGTACCCCTAATACTCATTTGCATGTAGTATGTATACACATATATTCAGAGCATGCTATGTGGAGCCAAATTGGAGTCTCACTTTTCGTGTCAAACCATGCATCCCTTAAAATTTGAAGCGCCTAATATATACAAAGAAGTAAATATTGTTTTTATAACTAAAAGTAATGCTTTTATTTTATTTATTTATTTGAAAAATTATTTAAAATATCCCTTATACTTTCAGCTAAGTATTGAAGCTTGGGCGAGTACCGGTATGACACTTTCAGCTAAGTTGAAGCTTGGGCGAGTAGGTATGACATACTTGAGAATTAAAACAGTGCAAAGGACGAGACTGCATGAAGGAAGACACAGACGTAACTGACTCAACTAAATTTTATTGACTGTAACAGTGCAAGCATATATTGCACTGCTAGGTTTTTTGTTCTCGACTTTGCAAGCATCTATTGTACTGTTACGATCAATAAAATTTAGTTGTGAGTCAGCGCTGTCTTTCTACATCCAGCCTCTCACCCTTTGCTCTGTTTTAATTCTCAAATACTTCCAACAGTTAAATTTTATGTGTAAAAGAAAAAAAAACATTTATTGAGAAAGCATAGGTCACAATTAGTATAGATATACCACATGTCAGTGGAAGTGAGGCACGTGCAAAATGTTCCATAGGTCCTCAGCTTTTATGAAACTTGCCATAGATCGCTACGAAAATTCTCCATACCACCTGGCCGCCTTACCAACACCACCACCGCCCGTTACAAAGGGTATAGCCATAAAAAAACCTCCGACACTCTAAAAAAAAAAAAAAAATTTCATGCTAGGCATTGAAATGGTATATCAGGACATTACAAAAAAATTGTTTCACTATGGAGTTGCATAGTTTTTTTTGGTTTTTTTTTAATAAAAAATAGAAATATGAGGCCCAATTCAAAGTTCCCGCCAGTGCACTGTGACGTAACAGTGCAAGGTGTCGGGGCGGTCAGAAGGGAGGAATCGACCTACGTCACTAAAAGTGGGTTCGCCGAAAGTCACGTGAGTTTCACTCCTCGTGCTCTCCGCAATCGTGCCTAAGACTTTTTTTTTGTGTGTTTTTGTTTTTTTTTCTGCTCTTTGTACGAGCGATCGTAGAAAACAAAGTTTCAGTTCCACTAGCTCTTTATCGCTGTACCGTTGGTTAGTTTGCGTGCTGTAAAAGTTGAGGACAAAGAGTCAGTGAATCGACGTGATGGAGGTCAATGATGACAGCGTTGCGAGTACAAGCCAGTGTACGAGTGCATGCCGTCAGTCCGATGATACAGAGCTATACTGGTATCGAGTTTTGAAAAAAAAATTTTTAGAACGCTTGCAGAAATTAGGATTGCTAGCATACGACACGCCCGATTGCATTGCTGAAGGTACAAACACCGAGGTCGTTGAATCATCGGATACTCTCCAGGCTGAAAATTCCTGCCGTCTAAAGAATACGAACTGATGATAGTTTTGTTTAACCCGAGACTGGGGTATTTCGGAAAAGGGACGAGAAGAAAAGAGGCCACAAGGAGGCGACGTCTCAAATTTTTGAGACGTCGCCTCCTTGTGGCCTCTTTTCTTCTCGTCCCTTTTCCGAAATACCCCAGTCTCGGGTTAAACAAAACTATGGTTAACTTCCACCAGCTCGCCTGCACCCTTACAATTTTTTCACGAACTGATGAGTGTACCAACTACAAGTAAACGTCAAGCATAAAGTATGTGTTTTGTCTAGAACATGAGTAGAACTTGTTTACTAGGTGCACATGCAGCCGATGCGTCGTGATGCCTGAATTCAAGCCTCTTGAGTGCCGCTGCTGCAGGGAGATGAGCAGGAAACTTACAGACCTGCAGTTGAGGTCTCACATCGAGACCTGTGAGTTTTAGTAAACTTCGCCTAGGGTTGTAATCTTCATCATTAAAGTGCATCGAGCATATCCATCGCCTACCCACGGATTCTAATAGCTGTCCTGCGCGAACTGCAGTCAGCCACCAGTCCATCTCTTGTATGTCTTTCGGAAATGCATGCAGTGTGATCTCTTCTTCAGTTGTTGAAATACCGGGACAGTCCCTCACACAGCACCTTCTAGGCATTGTAGTTGATCACGTCAATTCACTGACTCCTCTTCTTCTACCTTTACAACAACATTAAGCGATGAAAAGCAAATAAAAGAAACCTCGTCTGCTTGGATCGCTCGTGGAAATGCAGAGAATAACAAAGACATTTTAAAAAGATATTACGCGCGCTCACGGTAAGCACGAGGAGGGTTAGAACTCACGTGACTTCCGGCAATGCCTCCCTTCTGACCACCCCGACACCTTGCGGTACACTGTTACGTCACAGTGCACTGGCAGGAACTATGAATTGGGCCTCATATTTCTATTTTTTATAAAAAAACAATGCAACTCTATAGTGAAACAATTTTTTTGTAATGTCCTGATATGCCATTTCAATGCCTAGCATGAAAAAAATTTTTTTTTTTGGCATGTTGGAGGTCTTTTAACAGCTGCAGTATGCTTGTCTTAAAAAGACCCTGAAAAGAAAAAAAAATTTTTTTTAAACATTTACTTTTTGACGCATGCGTGTCAAAAAGTAAATTTTAAGCAAAAAAAAAATTTTTTTAGAGCAATATTGATGGCGAGAGATTTATTTAAATTCTGCGCGCAAAGTCCATGACGTCACGGAATAGTCATTGGCTCTTTCCACCTCAACGTGAAGGTGAAGCCGATCCACCTCTCCTCCACGCGCCCGAAATGCCGAGAGAGAAAACAGGTGGAAAGAGGTGACTACCGACTAATTCACGTCTCGCGCTGTCAATATTGCTCTAAAAAATTTTTTTTTGTAATAAAATTAATTTTTTGACACTTGTGTCCCAACCAGACTGTTTAAACAACTGTTTAAACAGTCTGGTTTAAAACTGTTTAAAACAACTTTTTTTTTTTCTTTTCAGGGGCCCTTTAAGACAAAAGTAAATTTACAAGAGAGAAATATCATTCCACTTATTAAGTATACTGACTGCCCTAGTAGGTAAATGGTCCCCAATTAATTTACTATGTTAGGCATCACTTAAATAGTATCAGTTGCCGCATAAATTTCCTGGCAGCTTGTCCGAGCGTAAACACTTCTATAGCATGAAAAAAATGCATTCCTTATGGCCAGCCAACCGTTCAGCCATTATCGGGGCATGAGAATGCAGCCTCCAATGACATTCATGAACTGCTTTATAATAGGCAATCATTTTTTTTACAAACAAGCAAAACTATACCAGAACAGCTGCAATCCTTGTAAATACCCAGAAAGTCCTTCAACAGTGAGCAAAAAATAACTGCCTAGTGCACCACTAGGTAGGCCTGCTGTCTGTTTGTAGGCACCACAACATTTCCAAATGAGTAAATAAATAAATAAATAGCCATTTTGAATGTTGCCGTCAGATATACAAAGGTGTATATAAATTGGGGCTGGGAGGGGTGGAAGGGCAATTTGTAAATACCTTCTTTAAAAGAAGGGTTTCGATTTCTGAGCTCTTGTTGGGACGAGGAGAAAGCTAAGATGGTGCAACAGTCACAAACAGATTCTACCTGCTCCGTTCCTAACTCGGCCTTGTGCATCGCTGCTTTTATCCAGACTTACAGCACAAGGCAGTGCCTGATCACTGGACTGGTCTGTCTGTGGGGCTTACGCCTCTCCACATTCCTCCTTTTTCGCATCATCAAGATTGGACGTGACGAGCGATTCCAGGAAGCGGGAAAAAACATTGCACGCTTTGCTGTCTTCTGGACATTTCAGGTCAGTGCAGCGATCTGAAACCAAAACAGCTCACCCCCTCCTTGTTTTTGAGGTAGCACCCTCACACCAGACTTTTGCTGATGCGCCAAGACAACTTTACCCAGGCAATTCTAAGATCTGGTTCAGATAGTGGCCGGAGCATGGGGGAAACATCCCAGACGACACGACCACAGAGTCCCGTATATGCGGAGAGCAAGTCGTCTGCTTCTTGCGCAAGAGTTGTGGTGACGTCAGAAAGACACCGATTGAAAGATAGTGGGTAGACCAAAGCAAGCTGCCTTGAGGTCTACCCACCATCCTTCATTCAGAACCAATCACAGCTCGGCATTCTGACGTCACCACAACCCCTGCAAAAGAAGCAGACGAACTTGCACTCCGCATAGCCAACAAGTGCACTCGCGTTCCCTCACCTATGGGTTACCGATAGCAATCAACTCATTCACATCTACTGTGAGAGTGACATACTGTAGTGGCTCTGCCACAAAGACACAGCCATTCCTACTTGCACATAGTTGTACCAGTTAAGTGCACCTTTCGTCAAAATGGTGATCGTGGTGCTTCGTGAAGGGAAAAGACTTGGATGGATGGATGCTAACAGCTGTACCCTTTATAATGGATGGTAGCTTGCGCCACCTAGCCTAGAAACTAAAAACCAAAAGTGTGATTTCTCCTTTAACCCTTCTAAGCCAATTTGCTTCCTCTCTGCATTTTTGTAACTTACCAGGTGGTGTGGGATACCACCAGGATGACCTTTGGGGGATCGGGCAAAAAAACTAAAAACATCACCCCCCTGCTTCTTCCCCCCAGCGAAAGAGTCGCCAATTTTCCTCTAGTCAAACCTAGTCGATGTTGCCCCAGCGTTGGGCCTACTGGAAGACAGGGTTAGGGCTTTGAGCCGGAGCCATGCGAGAGGGAGTCCCCATTTTCCTCTATCCCGCCTGTCCTTAGCTGTGCTAGTTAGTTTATGCATCATTCAATTTTCCCTAGATAATTTGCACCAGTCTTCCAATCTCCTCTTTGTTATTAAAATTAAACAATATTTAGAGATACTAATGTTGCTGCTTCAGCTTACCTGCAGGAACAAGGAAAGAGATTAAGGAAAGATGGTAAGCATAGAACTTTCGAGCCCCCAGAAGGAGGTGGGCGTACCGCTCCTAGTGGGTGAAGCACTAGGTAGGTGGCCCCCTAATTAATAAATAAAAACAAGGAAGGAAACGGAAAGGATTTAAAAGCAGAGTCATAGCTTGTTCCTCCTACAAAAATACAAAGGACAGATGAGCCTGAGGATAGTTAATGTCCAGCTAAGACCAAATAATAAGATATGTAGATAACAGGGACGGGCTCCTACCCTTTTTCTGCATCCACCGAAAGAGCATGCACATGTCTCCAGTCTTAGGTAGTAACGCGTTACTGTAATTTTGTTACTTTTTTGGTAACTTGTAACTGTAAAGAGTTACTTTTTTAAAATGTAACTTGTAACTGTAGTTCTATTACTTTTTTCTGAGGTAACGATGAAAGTAACGACGTTACTTTTGTCGTTACTTTCCAGTGTTTTATGAATAATATATCACTGAACGAGTACAATTTAGATATTCCTTGCACTTTTCAAATCGTCTATTCTGACATTTCGAGTGTCAAACTGGCCTTGCACAAACTTGTGAATACGTTCCTTCTCACGAGTCACGACCCGAATATAGCCACGTGTAGATTTCATGGAAAAAAATCTAATTATCTTTACGCACGCGCTTGTACTTTGTGACTGAACACTTACATCTTAGTGTCTTGAAGCACTATCTATGTTGTGGTTTTTCTTCTTTTTTTTTTTATGAAAACGCTTTTTAATCGGGTGAATCAACCGTGAAACAACAATACATGCGGAGGGCACTGCGCAGGTTTCATATTTTGATTAGCGCCAGTACTCCGCACTGCGCTTGTTTCGTATTTTGATTTGCGCCACTACTTTGGTGTGGAAATTTTCAAACACTGATTTCGAGAAGCAACTTCTGCTAAGTTACAATATACAGTAAAAAGCATACTTTTTAATTTTATGTAATTAAACTTGGTGATGGGCATTTTCTAGTTATTCCTAATTTTTTTTGTGTTATAGAAAAGTAACTGAAAAGTAACGCCGTTACTTTTAAAAGTAACTGTAACGAGTTACTCTTTTGTTGCGGTAACTGTAACGGTAACTTCGCCACTTTTTTTTTTAAAGTAACTGTAACGAATTACTTTTTAAAAGTAACTTACCCAAGACTGCATGTCTCCATCATTGTCGTTTTCACGATTTTATTACTTTGTTTTAGCAGTGAAACCCTTTCAACACACTCGTGCAACAAAGGAGAACCCTCGAGGGTTTCAAGTGAGCCTTCGGTCAGTCACTGTACTAGCTGAAACCACCAGCGAGGGAGTTCACTTTGGAGCAGCCAGAGGTGGATTTGCCTTGCAATCCTGTCTGGTGAACTTTGCCCTGCAGGCGGTGTGGGTTTACACGGTGAGCCTGCCAGTGATTTTCGTCAACTCCCCGCGGAAAGCTGAGCCCCTGACTGTTAGCACCATGACCCGGCTTGACATGGCTGGCACCATCATCTTCTTCATTGGCTTCGCCTGCGAGGCTATGGCGGATGTACAAAAGTATAGCTACCGGCAGAACACGTCTAATGCCAGGCACTGGTGCAACGTTGGTAAGGCACGCCCACACTCGAATCATCCGTCTGTATTCTCTACGTCTGGAGTTTACAGCCAAGGCTGCATTTTAAAACTTCACTCAGATTGCGAACTCTCTTTTGAAAGACCACAGAGCACGTAGAAAGCCCAAAAATGCAAAAACATTGGTTTGTACGCCAGGAGTTATTCACTCTAAGCGCGTTTCCGAAATATAGCAAGTACAGCCTAGTAATAAAAAAAACACTAATTTGTGAAATATGAACAGATAACAAATCAGTAAAGGCTACATTAGTTAATGCACAAAAATCAAGTTAAAAACAAGCTAATTAAAAATCAGAATCCCTTCCTGAAAGAAGTGACCCCATGTTCATATTTATAATGGCAGAGTCGGGCAATGCATTCCACTCTGCAATTGTGCGAGAAAAAAAAAAATATTTTTTTTTGCGCAACACGGAAATTCTATGGTTTCCATTGAGTTATCTATGTGACTGGACACCTAGTTTGGTCCTTCCAAATAGCAGTTTTTGTTAATTCCTGTCAGGGTATTCAAGATAGCGTACAAAAACTTTGAGGCACTGGCGTTTCCATTATAATTTTCCGATACTAACCTTGCGGCACAACTCTGAAGATTTTTCCAGCTTATCTGTAAGCTTGTCTTGAAAGAAGTGAAATGAGGCTGTTATGGCAAAAGTAGCTCCTCAGATGAAAGCTTGTATTCACCAAGACTTGAGCATGAGGCCAGATGAAAATCAACAATGCCATTCTATTCAGGGTTGTGGAGATACTCGCGGCACCCCAACTACTTCGGAGAGATCACGCTGTGGTGGGGCATCTTCCTCATCTCGACCAACGTGCTGTGCGGGGCCGAGTGGGTGGCTGTGCTTAGCCCACTCTTCATCAGCGCCATCATCCTCTTCCTCAGCGGAGTCCCCCTGCTCGAAAACAGCGCTGACATGCGCTATGGCTGGTGAGTTCACCCATGATGCTCACACTATACTCAGTTATACTCCGTTTCATAACTTGGCGGCAGACCCCACGACCCAATAAGAGCGCCACGGAGCAAGACAACACTCCATGGTCAAGGCAGGGGGGGGGGGGGGGCCTTAAGGAATCGAAACCCCCCCGAAATTCCAAAACTACCCCCCCACCTCCCCCCCCTCGGGGGCCCGCTCACTCCCCTGGTTACGCAGTCGGTTTTGCACGGGGCATGGAGCAAATGTGGAGCGCAGACTATCTCCAACTTTTATGCTTTTGGAAGAAGTGTTTGTGGGGTAGAAAATGCTCAAATCAATAAAATAGGCAATATTTCTTCAGTCATGTTTATTTGATGGGATGCAGAACTTGATCTGAGGTATATAAAGAACAGATATTTTGAAACATTTGTCGGGTGAAAGATGGCAATTTCAAGCCAAGTATAGCAAACTATCCTCACTAAAATACACAGGTCAATTAAACCAAAGCAAACATAATAAAATGAACTCATGGTGATAATATAAAACAATGTCATTGATGTAAGTAGTATTAAATGAATTGTAAAAACAATAGCACAGTAATCAATGGGTGGCGCTGCACTCATGCACACCTTGAGTACTGATCAGAATTACATGCTTTCGAATAGAAATTATCACAAATAAAAAAGTACAGTAAAACCTCGTTATAACGAAACGGGATATAACAAACTAATGGATATAACAAAGCAATCATAATTCCCCTTGCTTGCTAATAGTGGGAAGAAATGGACATTGGCTATAACAAACTAAAGGTTATAACGAAATAATTACGACCGCTCCTTCAACTTTGTTATAACGAGGTTTTACTGTAACTGCGACTAGTTATTTCATAAGCAACTTACAGGCTCTCTTGATCATCTCATTTATGCCAAGCGCCTACACATTAAAAGGGTGCTGAACCGAAAATTTGATTTCAGAACACAACGCGGAAGCGCTAGGCGGGGCACTACAGGCCTGAAAGCATCACTCATAAAGCGATATCTCCAACGGATGGTCATATGTTTGTGAAAGGAATTAAAAGCGTGCTTGAACAAGGCCAAAAAAGCCCGTGACGTCACAATTCTCACTTCTTCCTCTTCTCGCTTTGACTCCACAACGCGAAGAGAGAAGGAAGCAAGGCCGTTTCCTCCCCCTCAACAATTCTGCAGGAAACGTGACGTCGCGATTCTCACTTAATCGTATCCTTATTTTACAAAAATACGGCCATCCGTTCGAGATATCACTTTATGAGTGGTGTCTTGGGGTTTGTGGCGCACCATTGGACACTCCTGCTGCCTTATTTTGTGAAATCCAAGTTTCGCTTCAGCATCCCTTTAAGATGCAGCTGCCTGCGTTCACGGCAAAGAATATCCAGGGCGTCCTCCGCTTCAGCTGCAATGGCACGGTGAACATTCAAAAGCGCTGGACCGAGCAGTCGCTCATTTGAAGTGGATGCTTTCAGGTATCTTTTGAACTGTCATATATTGAAGAGAGCGAGCGCTCAGCTTCCGCCGTTATTACGGGAAAAGTCGCTAGGATCTCGAGGGGACGACGGACGTTTGGGAATAGATCCTCTGGGCAGAGGGCGACCGCCTGTAGTGAGACGTGACGGGCGTTTCACATTTCTCCTTCTTGCATATGGCAGCCCATATGAGCAGCTCGCATTGGAATTCAGGAACTGAAACCAGGCCCGAATAGAGCTCCAAAAATTCTTCAGCGTGGGGAGCAGCCCTGTTCTCCGAGATCTTTGCAGGCAGAAGCGACGAAAGTAATTGCAACGTACGCCGGTGCTTTTTAGATCTCCCATCTAACTGTGTGATCAGGTAATCCATGAAAGGAAGGAACACAGAGCGCTTAAAATGCACTTCTGTGCTTCCAATGGGAATGTTAGTGCGGTGACGTTGTCGCCTTGTTACTCGCAGCATCTGAATTTCATCTTCTGCTGTCTCGGCCATTTTAATGAAGGCTTGGAATATTGCCTAGTGTTTGTGCGTGGACACTTCTGATTTTTCAGCGTCGAGATTGTTTTTTTTTTTTTGGTAGTTGTTTAATTTTTTTGTGACAGTATAGCTGTTTTTTTGTTTTGTCTGGTTGGCACACGTTGGTAATGCAGCAGTACCTCAAAAAGCGGAGGGAGTTGTGTGCTGCGAGGAAGCTTTTGAAGTTAATGGGCCGCAACTACTACAGCAGTAGAACAGTAAGCCACCACACTCGTATTCCTGTATATGAAGCCTGCTCCGTTTTGAAAACTGACAATGCAGCTTTACCCATTTTATCTTAACAGCGCCTCCCTAATCTTTGTGCGAGCCTCCATACCGCCGAGCTCAGTCTACTCCGTCATGGGTACTTAATAGCAGAAATAAAATCCCAGCTACGCCACTGCCGCCACAGCACCAGCGCCGTCCGCGACAAAAAGTTGTTCTAGTAGTGTTGCGGTAAGGCTCGTCTGATTGCTATACTACACGACATAGAAGAAAGACGTAGACATGGTAATTTTCATGGGTACTTAATAGGGATCAACCCTTTTCCGAGCAAAACATGGCTTTTGAACGATGTTTGAATGATAGCAGCCGTGTAATCCACCGCTCTTGCTCAAAACATTGCACTCGGCCCTGGCAGTAGCACCCCTCACAGATTCACGGGTAAATTGAGCATATGATTGTCTCGCGAACTGTTCCCAAAGAGCTCACTACTCTAGCAGATGGCAATGTTGCGCCGGTGAATGTTGATCCGAAGTTGGTTGGTTTCGCAGCAGACGACTCTTGTCCAGCAGACGACAGACGGTTCCTCAGGGCCTCGCATTTGGCTCAGTTACACAAACATTCCCGTGACGTAGTGTCACGTGCCTCGCTCAGACACTCTTATTGGGTCGCGGGAGCTGTAGCCTCCACAGTTCGCTGTGAAACGGAGTATCGTCTATGGTAAAAAGGGGACCACAGCATTTAGTAATTAAGGGGGGACACTACCTTGAATTGCACTTTTTTTCCAAAAATATTCATATTCAGAACTGCAGAGTTTTGGCATGTATGGATAACAAGGAACACTCTCACAAAGTCTTGTCAGTGTGCACTGACAAATAATATCAAAAATAATCATCCTTTGTATGTTGGTGAGGTGTGCTGCACTGCGTAGCACTCGTCATCCACAAGTGAAAATAACTGAAATCAATATCAGTATATCAGAAGAAGTTTGAGGAAGACATCACGTACACTGCTGGAAAGAATTTCTGACATTTAACTTGCAAAAAGAAATTTTTTAAATGTTATCTTGAAACTTCAAGGGCATTTATCTCAGCTTCACTTTTTAGTGTCAACTATCAGTTCAGGGAAGCTATCATTTCATAATCAAATTATGCGTGCAGATATACCGTAGTTTGGTTTTTCTATATTGAAATTTTCTGGAGAACACGACTGTGAACTTACTTTCCGCATTTTTCTGCTCTTATGTTATGAAAAGTTTATATTTCTTTTAATCAAATGTACACAAAAAAAACTTTTTTCCATATTTTTTTGCGAATAAATTTTATAATTTTTGAAATTTCTTTTCATAGTCGTCTGAAGCAAGTATTCTGCTGTATGTTCCAGCAAAAAAACTGGCCATTTTCATTGCCCTTTCTAAACGATAGCTTTCCTCAGCAGATACACTTTTTTATTATGAACTTTTATGTAACTCATCATGGGATAAATTTGTAGGATTGAAAATTTCCACGGCATCCTTGTCCAGTGCTACGAGTACACCCTGCAAATTTCATGCAAATAAGACAAACGGTTCAAAAGTTAGCCTTCCGGTGCACTTCTTTCCTGCTAGCTGCTGCCTCATTTTCTATCCTCTTGTAACACGGACTACAGGTGTACTCCTCGAGCCTTGGGTAAATTCACCATGCTATTTGTCCTTCTTTTTTTTTTTTTTTTTTTTATGATTGTTGGAATTTCGAGTTTGGATAAATCCAAAGTGACAAAAACTGTACCAGCAATTATTCTTCGCATTTTTTTTTTATAAAAAAAATTACTTTTTAGCGCAATATTTATGTCACAAGGCTCAGTTTGAGTCTTGCAATGTACTTCTATCTTGAGTCTATGTAAAATAAAGAAGCATGTTTTGGAACCGCTCCCAAATCAAAACATGTCTCGCAACATAAGTACTGCGCTACAATTTGTTTTGTTTTTTTCTGACCGGGGGGGGGGAAGGGGAAAAGTTTTATTAGTAGGTGACATACCCTACATGTCCTATTCAGTCACTTGGTAGTACAATTTTTTTTTTAGGAGTTCAGGGTTTTTTTAGTAACTCTGCAGCAGGTGCTTCTGCCCAACGGTATACAGCACTTGGGAGCGACATGTACAGGGTGCGGCGATTCGAGCCAGCCCAGCGGCGTTCAGGCCGGGGCGGAACAAAAGCAATGCGGGGAGCCCCGGGTATGTTAAAAAAGAAGCTGGAATGGACTGCCACAATACCTACTGTCGCAATGTGGCAGTCGGTTTCACAGCTTAGCATGCCGTAGGCACCCCATGGGGTATTTTACCCCTTTTGGGGCACTAAACTGGGCCAGCTCATATCGCCACTCGCTGATTGCATTAGCCGTTTTCACATAAAATTGGCCCCCAGGCCAACGAGGCAACATTGCATAGAAAAGACGAGGCATTCGATTAACGTAATGCTGCCTGCTTGGCTCGTGCATGCAACAGCATGGAAGAGTACCAGCGGTACAAGCGCACCACAAGCCCCTTGCTACCGCTACCTCCAAGCATCTACGAAGAAGTGCCAAACTGTTTCAAGTGTCTCATCTGCTTCGAGTTCCCAATCTACACAAACTCCAAGGCAATTGCCACTTCCATTTAATAATGAAGAGTCACATTCACTCAACGGAATGGCACTCTTGGGGTCAGCAACTAACGGGAGCCAGTAAGATAGCAGAAGTGTCCTAGGCAGTGTTATAGAACGAGCGGAAAGCGCCTCGCTGTTGAGCTTTAACAGTGCTATTGTTGTTTTAAGTAGCTTTGCAAAAGCTTACTTGCTGTTATGCTGCTTAGGTGTAGCTCTCCTCAACATCAAGGTCTTTTTGGGCACATGTTAGGGTGCTATCCGACAATTAGGTTTAAGAGTAGGAAACCCTCAACAACTGCTGCATTCCAATTTTAATATTTGCAGTTGACTCACCAAACCTTAAATTTCTTCCCCAATCCCCCCCCCCCCCCCCTGCACTAGGGCACTATGGCAAACTGCTTTACCTTGACAAATTGTTAGCCACTAAAACAATGCAGGAAAAAGAACTGTAAAATCATACAAAAGTTTTTTTGTTTTTTTTTAGTTTGAATTTTATACATTTTCCAGACTCACTGGTCCACTTGCCCCTTGTTGATCACTGGCTCTACCCAAACTGGGGATAACCGATCACTGTCTAAAATAAGATTGTATCCAGCTCCAACCAGAGCCCTGTCCCAGACTTCATAGGTTGTGTGTACCGTCTACGTAGATAGCAACATTTTGAGACACTAAAGGGTGAAATATTTGCCTTGGAACCCGTCAAGTATAAAAGTAAGGGTAATGCTGACAAATACTTACTGCACCGACATTTGTCGGTTTTTGTGAAAAAGCTGCTTAACAATCGCACTTGCAGTAGTTCCCAGAGAAAGTATACTTTTCAATGCTCCTACGCTAGAGCGAATTAGAGTGCCAAAGTGCATGCCCCCTGACCAGGGCTTGTTATCTCTTGTTATGCAGTTGCAGATATTTAACTAGCTAGACATTTATGCTCAACGCAACGTACAAGGCTGTACTCAGAGTAGACGAAGTAGGACTTTAGAAGTGCAATCTGCAAAGCACAGTAGTACACGGACCTTCCAGGGCCAACACCTTTTCGACCATGCTCCCGAGATTCCTGAAGAGTCTAGCCGAGTTCAGAAGCCCCTAAGCCAACACTAGGCCTGATCATCACCCAGAGTAACTTGCATTTGAAGATAACTTATTTTTACTTTTACCCTGATGTACAACTTTAGAGAAGGAAACAAAAACTGTACCCTCTTTTGTTAATAAAAGATACCTAACCCTCTTCCTTGTGTTCTTTGTTTGCTTACAATGTGCACGGCACACAGCCAGACAGGAGAGGGCAAAAAAAAAAATACTTTGGAGGTACAGTCTTTCTCAATAGTATAGAGCCCACCGCACGTGTGGCCGGAGCGGGCTTGCTCCCATGCAGCGGCGTTCTTTCATCCGCGCTCGCTGGCTGCAACATTTTTTAGAGCGAAGGGGAACTTCGTTCTCGCTCTTTTGCACCACTTTGTTATCGAGGCAAGCGCGACGCGAGAGTGAAGTTCCACCTTGCTCTCAAAAATCTCGCAGCCAGCTCTAAACTTTTGAAAAAGACAATAAGTAATATAAAGCCCGAAATATTGTTTGTAGAGTACTTCAACCATAGCTATAAATAAGGTTGTTTTTTTTTTGTTTTTGTTTTTTTTGTTTTTACAGACTGTGTTTTTGAGTTAATGGGTTTTAAAGGGCAACTCCGCTCAATTCCAAAGATTCCGGGATAACAAGTGATTTCGAATTAAAAAGCCCTAGTAAAAGACACTACGTCATTTGCTTCGCGAAAAATGAGATATATATTTTTAAATCTAATTTTAAACACGAGCGGAAATCGAAACCGAAAGTTCGGCTCCGTCCGGCAACATTGGCTTCGGGCCGCCAAGTACATGGCCATCACGTGGTACGAGATGTCACGTGATCCTCGGCCCAACGACGGGCGGGATGAGGGCGGGCGTGCCGCGTGCGGCAGGCGCGAGTGTCGTCTGCACCGCACTCTTCGCCACGTTTTGGTGTCTACGGCATTCGACGATGTCTGCACAACTGCGGCATAAGTCTGCGACTCTGTGCACGTGGTGTCCATAGTGTGGACGAAACTCCGAGAGGCAATAATCACAAACGGTGAGACGACGACGGTGGTTGTGACGCGGAAGACGGCGGTAACGGCCGGACCACGGCGGGCGGTTGGTCTGCTTCCAAGAAGCGCACTGCGCAGGCGCGTACGCCAATCACGTGGACACCGCTGAGCGCCGAGAGGCAACGTTGCTGACGTCATGCGCTGCGCTCGATCGGAGAAGTAAAAACAAGCAAAAGGGGGCCATGGTGATGACGTTTAGCTCAATGTTGGCTCCGCCTATGTCGTAGCCTTGACTGCGCTGTTGGTTGCGCCTGAATTCGCCCGCTCGAGTCAGCCGATTTCGGCAACTTGGCGAGTTGCAATGTTTGCCGGACCGTTTAAGAAACACTTAGGCAGAACTGCGTCGTAATATTTGACGTGTGGTCTTCCTAGGCGACACTGAAGAGGACTGCACTGTTTTTTCAAAACCAAAAATGAAGCAGAGTTGCCCTTTAAGTTATAACCAATTTAAACGAAAAAAAACAGAATCTGTGGTTCTAAGGAGTCCGAAGTGTGTGAAAGGGTCTTAAAGGGATGCTGAACCAAAATTCTGATTTTACAAAATAAGCTTGCAGATGTGTTCAAGAGGGCGCCGTAAAACAACGAAACATTACTCATATAGCCATATCTCGAGCGGATGGTTGTATCTCTAGAAAATAAAGGAGCGAATGAGGGAGAATGTTGACGTCATCTTATCGCAGAAGAGTTGAGAAGGAGAAGAAATGGCCTCGCTCCCTTTCCTCTCTGCGCCCTCGCGGAGTCCAAGCGAAAAGAGGAGGAAATGAGAATCGCGAGGTCACGCATCTTTCGGCCTTGTGCGAGCGTGCTCTTCTTTTACAAAAATATGATGATCCATTGGATATACCGCTTTATGAGCGACGTTTTGGGATTTGTAGCGTCCCGCCTATCGATTCTGCGTTTTTTTCTGAAGTTCGATTCTCGGTTCAGCACACCTTTAAGCGCCTGAATTGTGATACTGTTATTTTATGGAAGAAAGTAATTCTGGCTACAAGTATTGTCCGACCGATTTCCTAGGAGAAAGAAACCACCCAGGGCTCAAACACTGTACAGTCTACTCTCGTTAATTCAAAATCTCTTAATTCAAACTTTCGGATAATTCAAACTAACGTTCAGGTCCCATCCTATGCGTCTCTATGGGAAGAAACTCCTGATAATTCAAACTTTGCTTTATTGAAACAAATTTTCGGCCCCCCTCGAGTTTGAATTAATGAGAGTCGACTGTATTTTGCACTCTGGAGGCCAATATGGATCCTAGGTGCTTCAGAGGAAGCCTCGCACTAACGGTGTGTGGAGGCTCAAATCGACACTGCCAACGTGCAGCTTGGGGTAGGCACACCCGCAATAGCAGATGCAGGAATTTACTAATTAGCACAAATGCCTCCCCCACCCATTTATGACAATTCCATAGTTGAGAACACTTTATTGTATTGTTCCCTCCATGCAGACAGGCTTTACAAGCACTCCCTTTATTATCCTAGCCTCAAGAAACGAAAGAAAAAAAAAAAAAAAAAACACAATGCGGGACCCAGGTTTGGGCTGGCATGCAATTTCATTCTTCACAAATCCAAACAAAAATAATTCCACAGTTGCAGCGACACTGTTACACTCCTCGCATACTAAACACGACCGAGACAGATGTCCAAATAGAAAAAGAAACAAACTTTTTGGATAACACGACCTTGATAGCCTTACCCTTCCAAGCAGCAGCATTTGCAGTGGTGCCCTCTCGCACGTAAAGCATGACAAGGAAGTGCAGCTGAATGGTAGGACAAATTACCCCTAGCCCAAAACGACATGGCCCGATTTGCATTTGAGCAAGACAGTGTGCCCTGCTGTCCCGAAAACGACGAGACCTCAGACCACAGCGTTCAAATGTGGCGACGTCTCCACTGTCACCTGTAAGTGCTGCAGATACACCCGTGATAGCTACTACAAAGATCACACAGCCTGAATTAACAAAGGCAACAGAGTCAACAGGTAGGCCAAAGGTGGCAACCCAATTTACACCATCCCTTGTCATTTCATAGTGTACGCATGGCCGAGGCAACGAAGAATGAAGAGCCCTAAGCCACATGTGCAGGTTCGCTGAACCATGCCGCTGCTTGTTATTTCGAAAGGGTTCCACCACCTGCCGCCAAGAGGTCACCTGTTCCTCACTGCCCGGTCCCTTACACCAACTTCCTTAGTGCACGAAAAAAGGCTTCCATTCATGCCCCACGAAAAAGTGATGCGTAAGTTGTGCCTTCTTTGTTGTCTTTTCACCACAAAAAAGCGACAGGTGCTTGGATTGTATGAAGCACTGTATTGTTTGTTACTCCAGCATAGAAATGGACAAGAACCAAGCATAAAGAAATGGAGATAACGGGCACAGCGCTGCAGTAGGAACAAAAGAGGAGCATGAACTTAGACAAGAGGGGGAGGGTAAGAACGGCCTTCATTGGGGCAAAAAGGCACACAGAAAAAGCAACCACAGGTGTGACGAGAACAGAAACAAGGAAGGAAGCGGGGGCCAGGGCTGTTGTTTCTAGAAGCTGGATCCTTCAGGGGGCTGCGTCAACCTCAGGTTATCCTTGAGGGTCATGGCACGCCTCAATTCCGTCAGAACCGTCTTGATGGAATAGCTCCTCTGCCAACGGTTTAGCACCGGAAGGGTGCGCTTGTCCACCTGTGCAAGCAGACACGCAACCTTGTTAAGTGCATCACGTCACGCTCGCCTAACACATTAGTCTCCACATTTTACAAATCGAGACTTATTCTAGGACCATACTGATGTTTTGAATCCCATAGCAACACCTGAGAACTATGCTCCAAGCATCACCTAATACCACGGCCATGGCAGCCATTCGCCCACTCATGCCATCCCATGCAACGCTTCTTTATGCGCTAGTTGCACGTCGATGATGCCATTCTGTTCTGTACAGTTATGGAAATACAGGCAATCGTTTTCTACAGCATCAAGCAAAAGGATCGATGACCATTTGAAGGTACCGCATAAACTTGTTTGTGAATGTATTGGGCTAAGAATTTGTACAGAGATGGCCGAAGAATGTTCATTATGGGTATAAAAATTTCACTGAACAAACTTACCCAAGTAAAAAGTTAGAAATGAAAAACTTGAAATACCTACCTACAACGCAGTCTGCTAAAGAAAGGTGTCTGTTTGGTGCAACAGCCAACAGATGGAGGCACGTAAGATAGCAAGCAGCTAGCAGGCAGCCACGACGGGCGCTTCCCTCGACGTCGGCCATACCAGACAATGTTTCTGAGCAAGAAGCAATGCGCTCTTTTTGTGCACAAATTGTCGGTGCATGATTATTTTAGTCTAGCAATAAAACATTTTAAAAATTAAAACAAAACAAGGACAACAAAACAGATGTGTTGTCTTGTGCATTTCTTTTTCTACAGTTACTTTTGACTACATGTCATTGTCTGCTTTGCACTGTCTGGTTGTACCGCATATCTTGTCTTGTCTGCATCTGTCATCTGAGCTTTTTTGGGGTGTGAGTCATCTTCATGGTTCACTTAACTCCCAATGAGTGAGTTGTTCTCTGGTATGGGGAGTGCCAAAGGACGAAAGAGGTCCACCGACATTTCCAGGTGGAGTTCCAGCGGCGACCTCCGGGCTGCCTATAATTCTATGAGGTGAGGTGCACCTCAACGAGAAAGGAGATCTTCAAAACAAGCCATCGACAACAGTGGCGTCATCACCGAAGCCGACGATGAAAAATGCAGTTTTCTGTGCCTTCACCACCTGTCATTGCGCCAATCAGACCAAAGGTCTGATTGGCGCAACGACATTTCAAGTTTTTAATTTCGAACTTTTTACTCGGATAAGTTCGTTCAGTGAGATTTTTATATCCTTAATGCACGTTCTTCGGCCACCTCTATGCAAAATCTTGGCTCGATGCAATCCCTTTGCTTCATGCTATAGATAGGACCTGCCAGTACATATTATGTTCCGGACGCCAATGTGCAACCTCAGTGCAAAGGAGGCAATAAGACACATCCGAAAATGACGGGCGTGGAAATCACGGCACTGCTTTTTCTATCCTTTTTAAACTCTCCGGGCTAAAAGTTATTACACACCTAAGTAGCCTGCCAGTGTCACGTTGCTCCTATCAATTCCCCGAGGTACACACATGTGCCCAATTAAGAGCCTTTTTTAAGCGGTTACAGCTTATGGTTGCGTCCAACGTCAAAGTCGGGTTCAATTAAAATGTACATAATCTCCGGTCAGATTCATACTTTATCTCACTATACTCGTTTTCACCTCAAGAAACGTTGTAAAAAAAGTCCGGCTCCTTGTGAAGCATTACTAGGTTCCCCCTTTATGTAGAGAATTAAGATATATCTTACCTTATTAAGACGCACACGTTTCAAACGCCAAAAGCATCGCTTCTTCCTCCAACAACAAATCCTGCAAGAACTACTTAGTGCAGTGTATGAACAATGCGCAAAACTGCTCTTTTTTTTTAGGTGAAAACGACTCTAGCTGTGCGCAGGGCTACCGAAGGTACAGAGACGAGAGCACAACCCAAGCAGTCGGAGAGGAGGCAAAAGAGGAACTCCCCTCCTCTTTTGTGTACCCCCCCAGATTAGCCAGCTATTCAAAATTCCTAAAAAAGTGCCTTTCCTCTCCCCTACCCGTGACTATCCCAGCACTGCATGCAAATAGAGAGACAAAGTATACCGTAGGTGCTTTCCCAAGCAGCCAAATACTGGCCTGGGACTAAGGTAAAAAAGTGGCCACTCACGCTTCCATTGCTCTCATTGATGCCTCCCATCTTGATCTTGGAAATGAATCTGATGCTGGGTGGCTCGTCAGGATACTGCTGTCCGCATTCCACTCTCAAGCTGTAGATCCTATTCTCGTACGGGGTCTGCGCAAGGAACAAGGCCAGTTCAGGAACAAGTCGTCTCCGGCAACATCACAGACGAGTACAAACATTAAAACGTAAGATAAGCGAGAGTTCAGTGGGGAATCTCACCCTAGGGGGGCCGATGATCATGCCGGTCCAGTGGGTCAAGGTCATGTCACAGTCGTCCTCGAGGCCCCAGCTGATGGTGCCATCACCAACCCCTTTCTGGCCTTGCTCCAGTTCTTCCAGGAGGCGGAAGTTACGAGGAACAACCACTCCTGGCACGGCGGGCGACGCAAGAGTACACATTAACGACCGGGGTTGCAAGAAGCCCAACTCCACTCCATTGATTCAGAGCGCTTTTGCGAGCACCTTGTTATCTGCACCTTCCGCAGCGAACCCAACTATGCTTTATGCCGGGGAGGGAAGCCCTCATCCCACATGCACAGCCCTTACCTACTATGGTTCCCCAAGCCCCTTGCAAGCAGTAGTACATTAATACTTTTCATTTTTTAACGAACAAATGTTGGTATAGTGAGGAATTCAATCAACTGAAGTAAACGGATAGAGGGCAAGGAAGATGACAGCTAGCCATCTTCTTTTATCAATGCATGCATGAAACAAGGTTTTCTGGATCCTGGAGGTAGCTCAAGTCCTGCACTAAACTTCAAGGCAAGATTGTGCATGTTGCTTCATTGCATCTGTCATTCTTAGCGCAGACTTGCAGCTCAGTTCATATAACATGTCTCATTTGAAGCGCAAACTGATAGTGCATGCTTGTTTTGCTTTTCTTATTTCCCCTTCCTTCTTTACGAACCCTGTGTAAGGGATGACAGTATGCTTAAGTAAAAATAAAATAAACAAAAATAAGATCTCAAAGTTGGAGGGCACCCAAGAGACTGCAAGGTACAGCTTGAGTAGTAGTAAGAACCATTTTTGGGGCAATACCTTTGCACAAGGGCCACGGCTGAGTCTACAACTAACCAAACCCCCATACAAGCGGATTACTTAAAGTCACGGATATATTCTAGAAACACGTTATAATCGTGCTAACAGCGCACACAAGCTATTCGAACCATGACCCGTGACCGGCGCTATCTAATGCCAAAAGATAAAATCTGGGATCATCAAACCGGCACGGCACAATCTTTCTTTCCTCGGGCTCACATGGAAGCATCGCGACGCCACTTGTCGGAATTTCCGTGGGTCTCCCCGTTAAACGACCACCAATGATGTAGGGTCGCAAGATAGAGAAGCGAACCGCGCCCGGCTCGCCAGTAACCCGGCTTGCCAGTAAGCGTCTTCTGAAAAAGACAGAAGAGCACACGACGGGACTTTCGCTTCGAATATGTCCCGAGGATAACGACGCACTAATGCTGTCTGAATAAAAAGCACCAGGTCGTATTGAGCGAAGAGGAGGAGTATGCCGCTGGTGAAATTCCGGTCATAGTTCTAGCCGCCATCACGGAGCACAAACTGCACGAGATTTTGTTACATTAGACGGAGCTGCTTTGGGAACCGGGCCGACCACCATCCCTGCGCGACCCAACTTAGATGCCAGCAGTATTCGCTACTAACAGAAGAACTCGATCTTTGCGAAAACTGTCACAGCACGCACAACCAAGGAAAATGGCTGACGCAGTTTTTTGTGCATCTGATCGGAGTCGATAGAACTGATAAAGTATGCTTAGAAAACATCATGCGTGCCTCGTGGAGAACGTAAAAGTTCGTATTTTCAAAGATAATAAAGTGCGTCACGCGAACAGAACACGGAAATTATGATAGATTATCGGAGACAGTACCTGCCCCGCCGGTGCAAGCCGCCATGTTGTGTGCAGAATAATTGTGCGGTGGTTGCCGGGCTGGAGAGCAGAACAAATCAACGCGTCTACGGTCTGCGACGCAACAGACAACATGAAAACATTTGGGTCCCAAAGCATATAAATTATTTTTTATTTTTGTAGATATAATTCAAAATATTGACCAGTTTGTTTCAATTTTTGTAACTTCCAAACACATCCGCGAAATTGGTTGAACTCGGGCGGCTACTTCCGCCACCTAGCCATAAGTGGCAAACGTAAACAGAATATGTGTGCGTGCGTGTGTGTGTGTGTGTAAGTGTGTGTGGGTGGAAAAAAAAACACGCACACATCACGGCTCAATATTTTTTGCTGATGCAGTTTGGTTCTTGATGACGTGTACGTTGTTTGCGCCTTACTATTAGCTCTTGCAGGTTAGGAATAGCAGGACAAGCCCCTCCTTCAAAGTTCTCTGCTCATCATGCTTTGGCTTGGCAGCTCCCTCCTTTCCACTCGCCTTCTCTCTGCCCTTCACTCTGTAAAGTGGGAAAAGTGGAGGTCTTTGTGTGTGTGTGTGTGTGTGTGTGTGGGGGGGGGGGGGGGGGGGGGGGGGGGAGCTTGTCTTGTTTTTTTGCAACAGACTATAGGTCCTACCTACGAGCCAACCTAGCCTGACCTAGAGGGTCTCCAGGTCGGAAAAGAAATTTGAACAAAAGTGGAAAGAGCAAAGTGTATGCCAGCCCCTAACATCCACCTGCACGGAGGTCGTAGAGTCTGGTATGAGCCAGCTGAACTTGTAACGACTCGCCCAATAAAAATTTACCTACCGTACTCTCTGGATTACTGTAAACAACTTAATTTTCGCAAGGACCTAATTTTCCGAATTTCCCAAATTGCCTACAATTCGCGAAAAATAAGTCCCACGAACAATTCCGGTGAAATGTGAACAGATTGGAATCTATATTGATATCCCACCGCGTCGCGAAAATTAGAACTCGCGAATTATTACAAAACTTCAGCTTTGACCTGAATCGCGAAATATTGAGCCTGCGAAAAATAAGTCGTTTACAGCATACACATTTAAAAGTTGAAAATTTATCTGGTGCAGACTCTGCAAGGATTTGTTTGAAGGCTGTACATTATCACCAGACAGAAGTAGTGTAATTGTGGTGGTCACTATGTTTTAGATCACTTGGCAACAGTTTAGTGTGTCAGTGTGTTTCCCTTACCCTCAATGCTTTTGTGAATGACGACAAAGAGGACAATGTAGGTCAAGCTTAATAATAAAGAAAGCTCTGGGATTAGGTGATGGGAGGGCACAAACACCTCCTCACTTCGGTTGTGAAAACATTAAAGGACCCATGAAACGAATTTTGGACTGGAGTAAATCAATTTATATTGGGATTTTACTAATAGCACATCGTTCAGTGGGCCAAAAGAACAAAGGTAGAAAGTCAGAAGCCTGACTTTCGCTACGAAAATTTGCAAAACATAGCGGACTATTTCGTACCTCCTTCCCTTCGTAAACTCTCCGCCTTTTCACTGCGATACATCCGCGGACCCCGCAGCGCGTCATCGGGCTACTAGCCAGCATAACCGGGCCCCCGCAGCGCGTCACCAGGGCCCAAGCGCACGTCACACGACACCGGACCTCACTTAATCCCTTTACCCCTAAGCTGACATTGCGGTGGAAGCTACGCGCTTGCCGGACCAATCAGCCGTCTCCCTTTCATCACCTGACCTCATTCTCTGCGGGTCGGTATGCGCGAGAGAGCATGATCACGTAGAAATTGTGTGGCTGGCCCAACGAGCACGTAGCTTCCACAGCACTGTCAGCTTCGGGGTGAACGGGGTGGGGAAAGCAACTAGTCGGAATTTTGAGCGACGGGCTAATCTTCTAGGGGGACAATAGCTGTGATCGGCTACACAAGCGAGATTCCGAGCAAGAGGGGACTCCCCCCTTTCCGACCTCTTGAACTGTTTGGTACAATGCGCGATTTATGAGTTGAGGAGGAAAGCTAAACAGAAAAAAAGTTGAAAAAGCGTTTCATGACTCCTTTAATAATGATAAATAAGTGACGGTCGAATCTTTCAGGAAACACGATCACAATGCCCCCAAAACCAAGTGAGTCCATGGCATCCTTGGAACTGGGCATGAGCGTGCAAAAGAGCTCAAGTCAAAGCATTCCGAAGGACTTTGTTACTGGTGGGCAGAGTGCGAAGATGTGGACATCTGCAGAAGTCCCGAAAGAAATTCTGGCACAAAAGGAAACCAGAAGACAAGATGCAACGACTTGGACTTGACTTGGAATAGAAGAAAGAGTTGCTGCTAGGGTTCACCAACAATGTGAGGCAGGATGCTCGGTATCTATGAACAGAATCAGGCTGGTAGGCTGTACCTATAATGATTGCAAATTAAGGACTATCCAGAAATATTGTGGTGTGTACTGGTGCAGATTATGGAGTAGGCACACGCTATCGGTGCAAATTTAGTTCCTGGAGTCTATACACAGAGTTTGGACAAAATTCCGGAAAATACGGCACACTGCCATTAGCCCAGGAGGTACTGTAAACAGCTTTTACTAAGAATTATTCAAACAACATTTGAGTCCAACATAAAAAGAAAAAAAAAGAAGCTTCATCTCAAGGTTATAAAAGGTTTGCTATCCCTCTATCAAGGTTCTCAGGCTTTAGACTCCAGTTTATGCATCCACTGAGGACTAATAAGTTTTGTTAAAAGGAACATGAACACCACCACACTGTCCTCGCAACACTGGGTTCTGCTGATAATGCCCAAACAAGCAATTTCTATTTTAGCAAAGTGTACTCCAAATCTTTAGTGCGCCCGGTCCACGGGCTTTCATACTCAGTTTCAGCATACCGTGCATGCGTTTCAGCATGCGAACGCTACAGAAAACCAATCAGGGCACTGGAACGTGACAACATACTACTGGAGTGCACTCGTCCAGTACGGAATAGACACATACTACCGTCATGGGCTGTAGCTCTTGCCAAGTTAGACTGAAACGGCGCATAGTAACATACAGTGATAAGCCTAAACAGAGACTAAAAAGGCAGCTATAGAGGGAACTTTATCGGTTACCTTATTACAACAGGCAACTGGTACATGAGTGCCGTAAGGTTGAAAGAATAATTCAACCATGTATCTCATGGGCATGCCAAACAGATCAATATGTATGTTTCCCTATACTGTCAGAAAATAAATTTTGGAGATGTCGCCTTTGCATAAATCTAAATGACTTTGTATAAAATATGTCAGACAAAGTACCGTTCTAAAAAAAAACTTTTGAGGTATACAACAAATACTGCCTTCTTCACCATAGATTCATTCATCTCGAGTTTTAGTATATACAGCTCTTTTTCTCCTACTTTAAACTACAGTTGTGCATGCAAATCTTGTGAGGTTTAAGAACTATCAGTGTGCTTGATACCCCATATCTTCAGTGTGAATATATATGCTTTGCACATGACGTCATCCCGTCAGCTCTCTGGCCACCACCAGAGAAGAGGGAAAGGAGGAACTCCCCTCTCACCGAGACTCCCTTTTGTGTGTCCCAGATGTGCCCAGAAGACGTCGGTATTCTCCCTCTAGAAGGTTACAGAAGATTAACCCATGACTCAAAATTTGTTTAAAAGCAGCTTCCCACCTCACTTCCTTAGTGGTGCGAAATGAATGATGCGAGTTCAATGCAAAGCATGTATAGCTTACATTCCATCAACACCCAGTTTCTGTTTTCTGGCTGTTTTCCAGAAATTCAGTGTTGTCACATCAGCCTCAAGAACTAAATGCTGCCTGCTTGCATGAAAACGTGCTCTGGACAGTCAACTTGCAACAATAAACAGCACCAAGACAACAAGGCAAGGAAAGAAGTTCAAGCAACCGTGTGATCCGGGGTACCATCAACATGTTCAATCGCAATGCCTTCAAATTCTAGGCCCTACATATCGCTCAAGGCATCTCGCACGTCAGCCATGGAGATGTCCTCGGTTTCACGTTGCTTGGGTGCAGGCCTCCTGCGGTGCCACGCTGGCACAGAGCCCCGGCCGAAGCACACATGACTGGGAACCGGAGCTTGAGGCCTTCGGTGCGCGCTGGAGGAGGCGCGCGAAGAAGCATCGCGCGGCAAGAATCTGAAGTTCGCTGGGTACTTGTGGCACGATATCGCGTGTTCCTTCCTCTCCACAGCGGTGGCGAACAAGTCCGGGCATCCCTCGACCACGCACACATACTTCGGGATATCCGCGGGTCTAGCTGCGAAGATAGGGTCGTGCGTTTCCGTAATGTGCAGCTCGAGCAGGTGCGCCGTGGGGAAGGATGCCCTGCAAGAGGAGCACACGCTGCGGTGCTTGACGGCGTAGTGGGACTCGAAGTCCTGCACGTTGTCGAACTGCTGCTGGCAGCTGCACTGGAACTCTGGGAGAACACGGCGCAAGGCATCGGGGTCGCAGTCGTCGTCGAAGACGCACTGCTTGGAGCGGAAGCCACAAACGCTGTCACCATCCAAGATGAACGAATCGCTCGGACTGAACAGGACGCGACAGTCCTTTACGTCAACCTCCATGATTCCTTTACCCGACTAACGATCTAGCCCCGAAAACACCACAGCGCAAAGCAGCACTTTCCGTACAAGACCGTTTAGAAAGGCGCTCCGTCGGCTCCGTTGTCAACGTTTACAGCTACAACGCTACAGGGCTACATCGTTACGAACACCGCTTTATTTGTAGTTTCGAAACAGCTCAAAACACACTCGCGCGCGTCGCGCGCCGAACGCTGAATCCACAGTGGCTGAATCGGCCTCCAGGATTCAAGCAATTCAAGGGTGATTCCCGGCGATGTTGATTGTCAGCTTCGTACCTGTGCTCGTCAATCCGAATTAGACATAAATATACTTTGATTTTAGCCTTAAAATGATACAATAAATGTTCAAAATAAACTGTGTAATTTATAACTCCGGATGTGCTACCGGAAGTGTGGGTGAATAATCAAAACAAAACTTCAGTCCCCCGGTGCCCTCGGTGTGCGATCGGAAAGGACTGCTTGAAATAGGAAACATGGGGCTACAAACTGCTGTTATCGGTACGTAAAACTAGGCTTGAATTGCATCGATCAATGCAAATCAATGATCGAAAGTTGTCAGAGCTAATGTACTTCATTCGGCGCATTTTGTTGTGAGCATTCAATGTAAACCAAAAGAGGATGACGGGGACTTCCTTGGCATAAAAGTCGGCGAGGCAGCGAGTACTGGGGTGCTATGTTGCGCTTTTTGCACTCCCAGGAGACTTGGAAGAGGGAAGTGACGTCAACGACTAGAGCAAATGAAGATTGGATGTTGACAGAAGAAAACAAAATCGACATCCAATCTGCATTTGCTGCGTTGTTGACGTCACTTCCCTCTCCCTAGTCTCCTGGGAGTGCAAAAAGCGCAACATAGCCCCCCTGTACTCTGTAGAGTTTGGTTTGCACGCGTGAATGCAGTTTCTCCACTGCGTGAGTGATGCGTTGTGCGATCGTTATTTGGCGTTTCAGGTGGCGGCACGGGGTTCATTGGCACAGCGCTTAAAAATGCCTTAACGAAGCTAGGCTACGATGTACTGGTCGTGTCACGAAAGCCGGGCGCCAACGTTCTGACATGGGTAAGACACTCCCATGTTGTTTTGCAAAGATGACACTTGCCCGTCATAGTTACAAGTTAGTACACGAGAGAGCACTGGGGATAATCCTTTCTCAATACCTGCAGACCAGCTTGGTGGAAAAAGGGTTGCCTCCCTGCTCGGCAGTTTTTAGCCTGGCTGGTCAGAACGTCTTTGACCCCACAAGAAGGTATGTGCAGATTTACTTGCAAAAACAGTGCTGTCAATAAAAGGCAGAAGATGTAGGAATTATAAGCTTTCTCTTCTACCACAGGTGGACGCCCGGGTTCCAGCAGAATGTTTACGCAAGCAGAGTGGAGACCACCAAGGCTTTGGCCGATGCTGTTACCAAGCTGGAGAAACCACCCGAAACGTTTATCACTATCTCGGGTGTAGGCAAGTCCTACCAGCTTCAGAAGAACATTGTGTTTATGTATGAAATCCCCCCCCCCCCCCCCCACACACACACACATATTTACTGGGTTTTTGTTTTTTTTTCACGGGAAGAATACATTCCCAGGCGAAAATTTCTAACTGGGACCAGTTGGCACCTCAACTGGTTTCAACTGGGACTAACTGGTCCCAACTGGGAAGCAACTGGGACTAACTGGTCCCAACTGGGAATCAACTGGGACCAATGGGAGTCCAACTGGGGCCAGCTGAGGGGTCAACTGGTTTGAACCATTCCCAGTTGGGAGTCAACTGGTTTGACTCCCAGTCCCAGTTGGGAATGGAGTGCACTGGAACCAGTTAGGAAAGTAACTGGTTGGAGCGATTCCCAGTCGAGCTTCAAATGCCTTTCCCGTTCCCAGTTAACATTGGGCAACAATTTGGACAAGTTGGGGGTGTATTGACCTTTGCTAATGAAGAAAACGAAAAAAACTAACATTTTTAGATTTATACAAATAGGGAATTTTTAATTACTGGGGTACATTTATATATTTATAAAAATAATATAAAAATTTTAATTAACTAAATATTTTTTTAATTTGAAAATATAATTAGTGACAAAATGTGTTCACCTAAATGAACATTTAGTGCATTATTAAAATATTTATTTAAATACCAACAGTATTTTTTTTTTTCTTTTAATAAATAAATTTATCTTTTGACTAATCAGAGCTAGCCGGCCGCCGTGGCACGCGGGTGCGGATTAGTGGTACGCGCTGTCGACAGATGGCGCTGCCTATGCTGACGCCGGAGTCGGACGGACGCGGTAGGGAAGGGTCGCCATCGCCCAAGTTGGCGTCGTTATGAAAATGTCAAAACTACAGCTGCGCTTCTTTGGACCTAACCGTACACACGCCATGGTGGCGGCGGTGAACTTCGAGGATGGAACGATGCAGTTCAGCGATCGGAGGGCACCCAGGAAAGACCGGACGGAAGAGAACACGCCGCGGAGAGCACAATGGCGAAAATGGCGGGAGGTCTACCTCGAAAATGTTCGACTGTTGTGACAGAGATTGCAAGGTGGGAGCGCTACCGCATCTTATCAGGACTTCACCTGCGCAACGCAGGATCACGGGTGAGCAGCTTTCTTCACGCGATGGGAAGAGAAGCTGAGGACGTCTTCACTAACAGACGCCAGCGGCCGATCTTCCTTCATCTCATGAATACCACCTCTGAAAAAGCGATTCAACCGTCGCAAGCAAGTGGCTAAACCCGGAGCGTGTACGTCACCGAACCTATTTAGTTTCATTCTCCAAGTTTTTGACAATAAAGTCTTGTCAACCTTCCATTTTGTGCCGTGTTTCATTGTTGCTGGAGTTGGTACCAACTCCAACTGGGACCAGTTGGACGACTCCAACTGGGACCAGTTGCAACTGGGAATTGTTCCATAAACCAGTTGCAACTGGGACCAACTGGTCCCAGTTGGACAACTCCAACTGGGACCAGTTGCAACTGGGAATTGTTCCATAAACCAGTTGCAACTGGGACCAACTGGTCCCAGTTGAAAATTTTCGCCTGGGTTGTTTTCACGTGATGTCACTTCCCCTATTCGCGACTCCAGCTAACTATAGGGGGCGCGCTGGTCAGGCAAAATAGCGGACGAAAGGAGGTTGTTTTCATCATTCAGCACGCGGACCACCATAAATTTCTTGCACTGTAGCGTAAAATCAGTGTCACATATTATAGCATAGCGATTTTTCGACGGTAGAAAGCTTCTTCTAATCAGTGCGTAGGAATGACACGGTGGAAGCATAAAAATAATTACTGGAAACAGTGTTTGTTTCTATCTTGCCTACAAGAACCAAGCGGTGATAGCAGACGACAGAGTCAAAACAACCTCCTCTTTCGAGCTACGCGGCATCGATTTCGCTGGCGTCGCCAATAACCGCCTGCCGGCCGCCATCAGCAGGTACTGAGAAGCGGACGCCACCGCCGCTCGTAGGCTGCTCAGTTACGACCTTGCTATGGCCCGTGTATCGTGCGTATGTTACAGCATCCACATGCATGACTGCAACACAAAAGTTCCCATCCGAAGTGCAGGATCACTGAACTGAACATTTTAACTAAAAAGATTCATAAAATGCATTATGCAAACCGGCAAGGCTCATAAAGGTCAGAAGGTTGTTCACCGCTGGCTTAACCACTGTGGCAAAGCGCACAGAATATGGACACAAGGTTTCAGCAATCCACGTATTATGGAAGACACATGTATTCCTTACCAGTAATGGAGCAACGATCACAGAACACAGTCATTGTTAAGGTTCTTCAAATCCTTCCAATGTATGCGTGCAAGCCAGAAGCTCCGGTGTTTCTCGGACAGCAGTATTGTATGCTCGAACTGTCGGTTTATTACTTTCTACGAATAATGCAGCCTTATATTTGGGATTATGCTACTCTCCTTCGCGGAGGACTTGCTTCTGCTGCAGCAACCAAACATCGCACACGTAGGCATTGCGAACGCTCATTCTCAGCCCAAATGTAGCGCCAGCAGTCTGAACCGGATGCCACAGTTTCAGCACTAACCATTATTTTATTAAAAAGCTATAAGCGATTTGCTGAAATTTTTACTTGGAAAATAATGACCGACAGAGCTCTTAAACACATGGAGCTCTATGGCGCCAGTTACCGAAAACGGGCAAAAACGGGAAAACGGGCCATTTTGCCATTGAAATTTCCAGGAATTCACTTGCAATTTTAAGTAAGATAACGGTTAGTGCTGAAAGTTTGGCATCTGATTTGGACCACTATCACTATATTTGGGCACAATATGAGTTTTCGGTGATGCATAGTTTATTTTTGCAATAAAAAAAAAATGCCCTGCAATTTTTTTTTTTTTTTTTTTTTTTTTGTGACACCTTGTAGATTGCATTTAGAAAGCAATGTCAGTCTAGTGTCAAACAAACTCCAACATTTCAAAAAAAGAAATATATATATATATATAAAGCCGGAAGTTAGTCTGCTTCAGTGGGCGTCTGGTGTCTCAGCTGTAGAGGAGCAATTTAGCCAGTGCGGTACAACCGCTAGTCTGGGGTCTTTAACGTGCACCACGCAGTAGTGATACACAACCGCATGCCAGTACAATGCTCATCCAGATCGAAATGGGCAGGGATGGGGGATTGAACTCAGGATTTGCAGTGCGAGCTTTCACTCCTCTTGCTCCCAGCTGGAGTGAACTAGCCCACTCGGCCACCAATCCCCCCATGTCAAAGAAATTGACACACTGCTCTATCCTGCAGAGATTGTAACTAGATAATCGCTCACATGCTGCATCTAAGTATCCAAGATGCATCAACCAGATCACTTTCTTCAGTGTGTTGGAGTAGGTGACTTGCTCTAAAAACCATTGGGAATTTTGTGGACTTCCGGTGCACCGAAGAATAGGTTGTTTTTGCAGGCTACTACAAGCCGGATCCTGTGGCAGAGTACACCGAGGAGAGTCCAGGGGGAGACTTCGACTTCCTCTCACGACTGTGCACCAAATGGGAGGCGGCTGCCCAGCTACCTCCCAGCGTCAACTGTCGCACCGTTATTATACGTTCGGGTATGGAAATGTGTCCGCTTTGTCAGTCGCTGCCTAAAAAAAAATTGAGCTAAGTCAGCATATTTTTTAATGCAGGTAAAAAGAAAAGCGGAGTCGCTCGCAGTAGCTAGCATTAATTAAACGTAATATTGAGTCGGCAAGCCACAGAAAAGCCAGTGGCACACAAATATGCGTATTCCTGAAGCTTGTCACGCTTTTCCGACACGTTCATTTCTTCGAACATCCCAATCACGACGGTTCCTGTGCATGTGTCTGCTACCACTTGCAATGTGCAATACCGGTACTAGAGCCACCGAATGTCCCAGAAGTACCCCATTCCATGCAATCTGCCTGGGAAGAAAATAAAGCTTGTCAGTCAAATTACTCGCAGCCATATAGGTTCCAGCAAAGTTGTTCAAGCTACAACATTCTATACAGAAACATTAAACCATTCGCAAATCTTTGTAGAGGCGAGGCATACTCGCTCATATTGTGTCCTGTCGGCTGCAAACACTTCTTTTTTTTTTTTTTACCGTCAACTTGGCTCACCCTTATACAATCTTGTGCGCAACAAAAACGAGGACAAAAGCAGAGAAGAGGACACAACAAGGCGCAACTTTCAACTGAATTTTATTGAAAACGTGTTCCGGTATATGTAGTCTCAACCATCGTTACAATGACAACAAAAGACAAAAGTAAAGGAAAAAAAAAACACCATGACAGAGCATAACTGGGAAACAACACTATCTCGTTCTCAGGAAAAACAATTCCTTCTCCGATAATGCAATCGACGGCATAGCAACACACGTCTCCTAAATAATCAATGTGCTCGGCTTCTATGGTTTCGCGTGTTACCGCTGACTTGCATTTCCCAATTTTTACGCATTCGTCCAACAGTGGGGTACAGCCGCATGTCCTGCAATGCAAGTCAAGAAAGCCACCGTTCTTTTTTTGCACGTTGTTATTGTGCTCGCGAAGCCGATCATTTATGCAGCGCCTCGTCTGCCCGACGTAGTGGCTGCCACAGGACAACGGAATGCGATAAACCACGCCATCTGTACAGTCTCTTCGCGAGCACAATAACAACGTGCAAAAAAAAGAACGGTGGCTTTCTTGACTTGCATTGCAGGACATGCGGTTGTACCCCAACTGTTGAACGAATGCGTAAAAATTGGGAAATGCAAGTCAGCGGTAATACGCAAAATCATAGAAGCCGAGCACATTGATTATTTAGGAGACGTGTGTTGCTATGCCGTTGATTGCATTATCGGAGAAGGAATTGTTTTTCCTGAGAACGAGATAGTGTTGTTTCCCAGTTATGCTCTGTCATGGTGTTTTTTCCTTTACTTTTGTCTTTTTGTTGTCATTGTAACGATGGTTGAGACTATATGTACCGGAACACGTTTTCAATAAAATTCAGTTGAAAGTTGCACCTTGTTGTGTCCTCTTCTCTGCTTTTGTCCTCGTTTTTGTTGCGCACAAGATTGTATAAGATGTCAAACCAACTCGCCCAAACAACCACTCTTCTTGGCTCACTCCACTCAAATCCTTGGCGCTTTGAATGCTCATGCACTCTCGTGCGAGTAAGCCTTGTACGGCAGCTCTCGTTCAATGTCAGTTCGAAGCTTGTACATCCAGCAATGGCAAGTAGGAGCTTGGGAGTTGCGACCCTTTGGGGCTGTCGGATGGCGCCGCCTCGAGCTTACCCACACTCTACCGATGCATTTATGCTGTGTGCAGGCGTGGTGCTGGGCCACGATGGAGGCATGATCCGGCAGCTGTACTGGCCCTTCTTCTTCGGCCTGGGCGGCCCCATCGCCGACGGCAAGCAGTTCCTGCCGTGGGTACACATTGACGACATTGTGGGCATCCTGGTGCACGCCATGAGCACCCCGGGGCTCTCGGGGATCCTCAACGGGGTCAGCCCGCAAGTGGTCACCAACGCAGAGTTCACGCGCGAGCTCGCCAGGGCCATGTGGCGCCCGGCTGTCCTGCCAATGCCCAAATTTGTGCTCAACCTGGCCTTCAGTCCGGAGAGGGCCATCATGATGACTGAGGGACAGAAGGTGATCCCCAGGCGCACCCTCGAGTCGGGCTACGAGTACCGGTACCCCGAGATCAGGGAGGCCTGCCGAGAGATTGCCTGGCATCCGTGGAACCGCTAGTTTGCCTCTTGCCCACCCCCGCATGCCTGTGTCACTGCCAACCAGACGTCAACTAGAGACTCTGTCTAGGAACGTTAGCCTAGGATACTGTTATGACCTTGAAAGATTCTGAATAAAGTCTGCCTGCAGATTTTTGTTTTGTTTGGGGGTTGTATGTTTGTATTTTGCTACTCTCAGTTCTTGGGAAGGACTTCAAGTGTGCCACGCAAGATGATGCTCTGGCAGAACCCAATTTGACAGTTCTTATTAAGGGATTAAGGGTAAGTACCGCTTCAATCTGAACGGAACAAACAAAACATGCAGAGGTGTAGGCCACATCTCTTTATTTAGAAAACGCTGCTCAGCAAGGCTACTTTCCTCTACACAGTTCCTCGCCACACAGCCCATTTATTGGATAAAATGTTCACTAAGTGACCTGTCCCCTCACCATTACTAACACATCTAGGAATCAGCTGCCAGCTGGTCTTCAGACAGGACAATTTTTTCTCCTGGCTTGAATGCAGGCAGGCCTTTGTACGGGCAACTGGCACACCGGAAAGCGTCGCCCAGGTAACACTGCAATTGGGAACAAAAATGCTTCAGGATGGTGTAATATAACCCCCAATAAAAATATTGCAAAAAAAAAAAAATCTTTTTAGCACATGAACACTGCCATTAAACTATTTTCACATCTTCCTACCCTGCTTGGCTACTCCTCGCTTCATTTTTGCTATAACAAAAATGGCGAAGGCATTTCAGAAATGTAGAGGGTTTGCAAGTTTCATATTTCACAATTGTTATTGCCCTTCAAATGTATTTTTTATGATTACAAAAGCACTACGCCATTGATTTCGAAGTATTTGAAACATCGGAGTTAAGAAATGTTGGTGACAAGGTATCGGGCCCCCTTCTGGCTTTCGCTTATTACTCTATGCGGTGCGCCCGACTTAGCAAAGGCACCAGCAAGGAGGAAATTTTTAACAATAAATCTTGTTACTTTTTCATATACAAGGGCTTTAGCCAAATCCAGACTCTTCACCGAGTTCTCTAGAACATCATGCCATGCACATTACAAATTCCCTTTTTCCCTGCCAAGTTCAAACACCCTCTTCCATTGATGAATGCAAGTAAACTAAGTGGTCAGCCTTTTAATGCATGCAGAAGCTCAAACTGCAAGGAAGCTAATCCTGCAATAAGCATCAATGGGACAATGAAAATAAACACCTTCCACCACAAAAGCAGTAGCATAACTTCAACTAAGAATGAAAATTATCCCAGAAAACATCAAATAAGGGTAAAGGAACACAAACAATGTATACATTAAAAATGGTACAGCTAGAAATAACAGGAAACTTGCTAGACATATTGCAAACGATTTGACTGCTGTGAGGCCTTCATTTTCACAAATGGAGATATTTCAGACATTTAAGAGCTGCATGCACAATAAGTGAAGTCATGCTGTGCTGATAAAAAAAAGAACCGAGATAAAATAACTGCAATGAAGCAGTCATTTTACCACATCAACATAGCTGCTAGCATAATAACGGCAGACGTAAGTGTAGGCAATCAAAAATGGTCAAACCTAGCAGAAAAAGTTGCAGCTCATACTGAAAATAAACAATGCTTGTTGGCATTTTTACTGTACTGCCTAAAATTATCAAGTGATGGAACTGAACAGTAAACTCACATTCCCACAGGAAGATTTAGGCTGAACCTTGGCAGCTGCCTCTTTGTCAAGTTCCTCAGCCAAGCCACAAGTACAGTTTTTGCAGGCCTTGCGTTTCTTCTCGCCTCCACAAGACGCTGTTCGAAAGATAAGCTCAAATCAAGACCAGCTTTATGAAAGCATGCTGCATAACACTCCGGTGTTTGTATTACCTTGTTTATGAGCTTGACGATTTATCGCAAACCAATAAAAGTTGGTACAAGCAATAAGGGCACCAAATCCAACAGTGCTTAACAGCAATCGGAACATGTTCTCCACGATAGAATTATGCTCTCCCAGTCACATAAGCCTAACTAGGCAGTAACAGTCTTCTTTTTACATGAGGCTTGCATGTGATGTCACTGCACCATGCTGGTGCTAATTCTCATTTCTTCTTTCCAAGAGAAACGAATTCTACGGTGCCAAATGTATGCTGTAGAAGGTACAAGCTCAGCAGCAAGGCCTCCATAATGGCCACTGGTGCGACGTCTATGCAAGCCATGTACAGCTGCGACACCACCTGCCCCAAGGAAGTTACTGCTACTCGGTAACAAATGTGATTTATCAAGGTTGCTTCTAATGAACCATGCATGATTTGTGTAGACAATAACTAAAGCTTTGCACAAAGTTTTCTACAATGTGATTTATAGAAAACAAACCTTTAAGTGTACTTGGGTCTGGTTTTTTGAAATCTTCCTCACTGATGAGCTGGTCTGGATCAACAAGCTCCACATCTCTGTCAAGCACGTCTTGTGCAGAGAGCGACCAGATTTTGCTTACATCAGCTGAAATAAAGGCCAAGTCAATTACCAGTGGCATCTGCTGCTTGTAAAGAGGAATCCATGCTATGACAACACATGAAACAAATTGTGTTTCCTACCAGAAGATTTCTGGTTGCTTGAAACAGCGGAAGAAAATGGCAGCTTTGAAGAGGAACCCATTTCGTAATTTGGCTTAGAACACTTGATTTCCACAAGATCAGTGCTTGAGCCCTGTGTAAACAAAGAAACTATTTATAGCTGAGCTCGAGTTTAACAACCTTCCAGAAGCTCATAGCGAAACTACAAAGTATGTAGTAATTGCTGCCAAATCACTTACCATAGAAACATCAACATAGCCTGAAAGCTTCAGGTTATAAACTAGCTTATCGCAGTCCAAATCTGTTTCTGTAAAGTATAAAATGACCATTTGTATATGGATATAGTTCCAGCTAGTTATTTTTCAAGCGCTGTGAAGAGTATACATACTAGTAAGTTGCAGAAATAGTTTTCCGTTAGGTTTCAGCAAACTCAGAAGATCAACTAAACAGTCGGATGTTGGCCTCATGTCCGGTGTCACAGCTCCAAGGAGCACTGCGTCAAAGCTAGAAGTTTGATGATGTGCTGAAAGTAAGAACAAAATGGAAATGGCAGTTGTAGAATGTCTGACATCCGTACTCTATTTGTGGTCCCTAGTCTTACTTTGCAAGTAAAATATTAAGGAATTGTCAAGTGCGCGAAGAAGTAATTAGAGACTAGCAAAAGGGTGTTTTTGACCACGGTACATACATTCTTGAAGGGTCAGGCTCGTGTGTTGTTTTCCACAACATTCCCGTCCCACCTTCCCCAAGAGGGGATTCCTCCTAAAACTGTTTAGTCTAAAATTCTTGTTTTTAATTACCCGTAAGTCTAGCTATAACGTCAGCCTGCGCTGCAGTCCAGTTGGCCGCATGTCCACTTTGGTTTGACGTACTGCCTAAACCAAAATGTGGACGTGATCTTCCATTCTGGCCCATCCACACAGCGCGGAATTAATTCCCACCAAACCGAGAGCACGGTTTTCTAGGAATGGAACTTTCACTTTCCACCAAGGGTGCGGCACTCACACTTGCCAAGCTGTTGCGAGTTCTCCACTTGGCAAAGTTTGTCATCTTTCACAGTTGCTTGAATCCTTCTGACGAGCTCGGTCAGCACGTCCGCCTTGACCTGTCCGTCCCACAAGATGAGGACCCTACTGCCCTCTTGTAATCCGTAATCCATGCCTGAAAAAGAATACGCATCCCTCAGAGCATACTTTAGATGACGAAAGCTTTAGATGTGATACTCAGTGATACTTTAGATGACGAAAGTATTCCGGGAATTTCGACATCTACAAATAATTTCTAGCTACTCAGCGCTAACACCTAAACCCGCGCAATATAAATTTAAAACAAAAACAACAACAAAAAACAGGAAGAAATGTATAATAACCGAGCCTGAGGCACTAATGCCTACTGTTTGCAATGCGTAGTAGAGTGGTGCGCATGAAATGTTTTCCTTGAGCGCGTACCGTCCATTGCATGACTCCGTTTCATCGTCCCAAGAACCACAAACGATAAGCCGCAGCAAGATTCGCCTTGACACATGCATATGATTAACAGAACTTACCTCACGAATGATCTTCACGAAATTGTACAGAGAAGAACCAAGAAGGAATTTAGCAAGGCACTCGCTCACGCGTTGAGGCGACGAGTCCTCGGCGTTTCTTGGGTCGGAGTTTGGATCGGACTTTGGATTGTTTTGGCTCTCAGTGAGTCTGGTCTTCCTGGCGCCGTATCCATCAATTTCAGTGATTTCAGTCAATTTTTATAACCTACTAGTCAAACGCTAAAGTAATAAGCTTCACACGTAGTTTTTTTTTATATTTTAGTCAATTAGAAAATAAACAATGTTCTCTAAGTTATTTAAAATATTAAAGAAAAAAATTGCGCAGTTTTGGTTTGAGAAGCTAAGTTTATGAGCAAACGTGAATGCGTCTAGGTTAGGTTTAATAATAATAATAATAATAACAATAATAATAATAATAATAATAATAATTTTATTTGCACTTCCAAGGGCGCAGGTGGTGGTGTGCTGGGCTGAACAGAAGGGTGAGAACCCTTACGCGGAGCGCCTGTCAGCCCACCACCACCTGCGGGAAAAAAAAAACAATAACTTAACAGACTGAATAATAACCAACGTTACTAAAACACTCAGTTGGGAAACTCGCCGTCCAAACCAGGGCCGCTGGCGTCCACCGAGACCGAGCTAAATGCGACAACAGCGCCACTCTTTTTCGTTTGTCTGTACTATGGTCACCTCGAGCTTTTTGAAAGCCTGTTTTTGCGTAAAAACAAACGGAAAAGACTCTTTTTGTATGGAGTTTATTGGAGTTTAGTACCAAATGATGGGCGCGTGATGTTTTTATCATCTTTAGTTCGCAAGGTTTTGCGGAACAATTAATAGTTTTCATACAACCATGCCTCAGCGGGCCTTTCAGGTAGCACGTCCTGGCCTAGGTGCATTTTAACGTCAGTAGTTGAACGCGGCGCGTCCGCCGGGGAGGTACCCCTGTAACCTCTAACGCTGTATCTGTTCTTAAAGCCAGAATAGAAGTCACGTGCAGTTCTTCGAGAGGCCGCTGCGGGAGAAATGGTGGCGCTGTGTTCGTCATTAGCTCGGTGCTCGGAGACAGATTGGGGCCACTTTTTCAAAGCTGTCTCTATGGGAGTTTCCCAACTGAGTGTTTTAATAACGTTGATAATAACTAAATCTGACCACTGCGGAAAGGAAGGCAGGGGGGGGAGAAGAGAGAGAGGTAGTGTTGATCACGAGGATGCCAATGTGGCCCCATACACATTCGACAGCTCCTTTGATTCAGTTCTGTTGAACTCTCTGATGAAGCAATGAAGTTAGAAGCTTTAACGATTTTAACTTTCAGGCATGGTTTATTCCTACAAATTTTCTTAAGCCCGAAGAGCGCTCTGAAAAACCCTGTATAGTAGAAGCAGTAGTAGTATTACGATATTGAATTTTGATCAAGTGCGGAGCACACAAGTAACGTCATGACGCTGTTAAGTCTTTTGAACAATCAGGTCGATTGAAGAAATACTTGCGTGTCCATATGTGTGTTTTTAGCTGCTGCCAAAAGATGAACAAGCAATCGCGTCAAATGCATTATGCTCTGGAGCCCACCATCATACAGCTTTCTACTGGGACATGTGCAAATGTGCAGGTCTTCGAGGTATGGGCGATTTAACTTTCTGTGGCGCCGCGGCTTTCCTGGGCTAAAACAAATGTATCATACATCATATCATATCAAAATTGTTTTCAATCCCACCAGTGGCGTCACAAAAAAAAAGGGGGGGGGGGAGGGGAGAGGGGGGGAGGGGCATCGCCCCGGGTGCCGCTCGCCCTAGTGACGCCACTGACAACGACCAGATACTTTGCAAACAAGAAACACGAAATCGTTTCACGGTCCCTGTATCAGGAAGGCCGGGAGTAAGGTGAAACGGGGTGTCGTAAATCAAAATTAGGCTCGCAATTTTTTTTTTTTTTTTTTTTTTTTTTACATTTTACATTGTTATTACAATGTAATAACAATGGAGGCAACCGAGTTGCGCAGAGTGCAACTCGGTTCCCTACATCGGATAGTAACAATGTCAGAGGTGAAAATGCTATTTGTTACCGAAAAGCGGTTTAGACGATAGACCACTTTTATCGAAATAAAATAGAAGTCACCCTGTAAACTCCTTGTATGGCTAATTGTGTTAGAGAACCGTTTTGTGGAGTGCAATCCAAATAGTTCAACTACAAACGCCGGTCCCCTAGTTCTGCTTTCTACGGGGAGGTCCGGTTCTTTTGACCTCTGAAGAGTCCGGCTCTGAACGTGGTTTCCAAACAACGTTGTCTGCAGTCATCTATAGTCTGATTTGTGTTTGTGTTTTCAAACATGTGGGTACACACGTTCGCGCTGGCCCCCGATGAGCAAATATATTAGTAGTAATAATATATATTAACACTAAAACGTTTTGTTCTTCTATGAGACATCACTGCAACAACACGCTCGCGCTTTGGCAAGCCTGCGGCTGGGCAAATTAATTTGTACAGTTGTGCGACAACATAGATTCAGAGTCTGTTGGGATTTACAGTCATTCGCCCCATTTTCCCTTCGTGGTCTTTCTTGGTCTTTGACGACATTTCAAGCACCATTAGCCACACGCCCAATGAGGTTTATGACTGATTCAAATGTAATTCATATCACGACTTCAAGATAATTTGCACGTTAGTGTATCGTTTGTTCGAAGCAGTGTTTCATAGTTACAAGTGGGCTAGCGCACCGCAGCGTGGAGCACTAGGTAGCACTCATGTCCTGCGGAACTCCGCACGACATTCATAGCACGTTGGGACGTACTCAGAACGTTCACCAAACCACGTGGGCTGCCAGGGATGAAGCGAAAGCTCGTGCTGCAAAACCTTGGGACTAGAGCCACTAAATAAGCTATGCTTAGAGTATCGGCACTCCGTTCCTCGACATTGTTGTGGGCGCCGCCATTTTGGCTCGTATGCAGAGCAGACACAACTGCCGATCGTCATGATTCAAAAGTGCGACTTCCTCAGCATTAGATTCGGTGTTAGAAAGCTTTGCTTTGCTTTGTCGCGAACTGTTTAAACATTTTTGGAGGGCGGAAAAGCATTTCCTGTGATTTGAGATAAAGCTTCAGATAACTGACAACCATGATTTTAAGACACAATATGGCCAAGTGTCGTTCCTCTGAAGCGTAGCTTATTTAGTGGCACTACTTGGGACCTTAGGCTGAATCCCTAGCTTCGCCCATTTCGATGTGGATGAGCATCGCAGCTAGGGTGACCACCTTCCTGGGAGTGAAATGCGGGACACGCTGACCGGGGGGGGGGGGGGGGGGTCAGAGTTTTTACAATTGCGGCATCTAAGAAAGATACATTAGAGGACATGTATTATCACGCACACCACGAAATGTGGCTGAAAGCATATTATACACCTGCACACTGTATTGCGGCTATAAAGGCTGAACTCCATGGAGCGAATTATGCGACGAATAACTGGCAAACGCCGCCCGACGGCACGCTTGCTTTTCGCGCGACGTAGCTCTCACTGTTCTGATGCCACGCGCAGAGCAAAAGCCGCCGGGCAAAATTCGTCAATTTTTCGCAGCACATTCGTCCCATGGAGTCCAGCCTTTTAAGCTGAAATAATTTTCACACCCAGTGATGTATATATATATTTTTTTTTTAATTTTAATGACAACTAAGGTATTGAATGTGTCTAAGTTTAAAACATCAAAATTGACTGCAAGAGAGCTCAATGCATCAAAGTAAAGAAGAAACTGTTAACCTTCTTTCGGCTTATTGTTTCCTGTCGATATACTCTTACCAACATACTCTTACTCAAATTTAGAGCGCGATGTTTTCTTTTTTTTTTTTTTTTAACTTCGGTTTGGGCGAGTTGGCCCACACTGAATTAAAAAGTTAAAAGCGTGAACAAAACGAGGACAATAAATACACAAAGACAACAGGACAGGCGCTACCTCTTCACTAAAAAACAGTTCCCATCAGCCCTTTCGCATTGACACAGTTTGATTTGAAAATAATTACAATAATTTATATTTTATATTTTGGCTAGCAATTTTCTCTTGTAGTATTTTTGGAGGAGGAGCACAACAGCACATGTGTGTCTACCTCTTGCAAGAACGACGGTCGCTTCCCGCAATGCTAGGATAGTAAATAGCGCCCCATCGCAATTCACACGATTACCAGCGGCCTTCACGCTTACCCGCGCCCCTTTGTTCCGGAGCGCCATGAGATAAATTCTGAATTTTACGACAGCGCAAAATGCGGGACATTTTAAACATTTTTGGAATATCTTGCGGGACGCGGGACACAAGCCGTCAATGCGGGACAGTCCCGCGAGTCGCGGGACGGGTGGTCACCCTAATCGCAGCGGCCCGTGCCCGCGTAATCCCTACTGCGTGATGCACGCCAAATTGCCCGTATACGGCGGAAACGTTAGATCCCCCTTGAGGCAGACAAACTTTCCCCTGTTCAAATATCCAGGTAAGAAATTTGCCTATCACCTCGGGAGCTCAACGGAATGCAGTTCCTCTTCCCCTGGAAGCTAGCTCCGCTGCAGTTGCAGGGCTCTAGCGGCAAAGCACGCTTCTCGGAAAAACCGGCCCGGTCGTATTTCGCGGGCAGCAGTCCTGTCCCGAAAGTCCCCAAAACGGAGCGCAGTGCCACCGCCGCCGCTCGCTGGACGGGCCGAAAATCAGGCTGCGGGCCACGCCTAGGCGTAGCAGACGAACTCGGCGCGATCGATCCGCTGGTGATGGCGACAAAAGCATCTGAAGAGTCGAAATTAGGGGCGACCTGCGAGAAGATATCGCCGCCGAGCCTCTTGCAAGGGGTGATCCGTCGCACGTAGCGTACTTCGCAGGTCCGCGAGAAATGGGGCCACGACGCAGCTCGGCGCGGCTCAGCGGGACGACGGGAGACGGCGGAAGACGGCGATGAGGGATTTCCGGGAGCGGACTGACGCTGGTCTCTGACTGCATCCCCCGAGACGAGCAACTACTGCGCGTCGATTTCCCGGGCTTCTCACCCGAGCTTGGCGGTCGGCGAGCAGTCGACGCCGCGAGGCTCCTCCGAGCATCAAGTAAGTCGCTGCTCCGCGTACTCGCGCCGAGCAGCGGCGGAGAGTAGTCCGCTCACTTGGGGTTCGCGCATCCCGCCCGCTCTGTTGATGTTCCTGCGTCGCTCCCCTCCCGTGCCGCCTCTCCGCGTCCCCGCGGTGTTTGGCCGAGAGAGGGGCGTACGCTCGTCCCAGCACACGCTGCACGTCTCCCACAGAATGACCGCGTCGAGTTTTAAGCTCTAAAACGAGATTGTGCTCACTTCGCCGTACGCGAAGAGTGCGCAAATGTTTTGCACTCGGGGGACAACCCAGGAGTCGGAAGGAGCCGGGACGCGTAGTAGGTGTTCCCTCTGCTCTTTCGCGCCTTGGGAGTGGAAAGAAGGAAAACCGTCGAAGGCGTTAGGCCTAACGTTACGTACGGACCGAGTGCATAAGCAGAACACAACAACGGGGAGGGGGAGGGGAAGGTCCAATGAGAGAAGACAAAAGAGCGGCGCTTGAGCCGCGGCGATTCAGACTGGGACGACCCCCGACAGGTTTCCTGAATCATTAATCGAACTTTGGGGCTGCGCGTACGCGCAATTCATTTGGCTAATGGGGGCTCCATTGCGAGAGCCGCTGATTCACTCTCGTCGGTTAATGACCCGGTTTTGTTCGCCTTTTAGAGGTCAGTGTGCGAATGCACTTTGCGATCCTTTCACGCTTGAACAAAACAAAATAATAATAAAGCAGGCTCGCTAATGAGGTGGATATTTTAATTATGTAAGGCGCGACAAAATTAGACTCTTCCTTTCCGGTCTGGACGCAACACTTGTTCGCTCGAATAACGAGACGCAGGCTCTTGAACGCAATACGTAGTTTGGACACCGCACGTCGCGGGCCACTCCTCCCGCCTCGGCGTGTGTGCTGCGGCGCGCATATTAATCACGGAGCGCATGTCGCTACGAAGAACTCAAGGTGACGTTGACGGCGGGACCCCAAAGTATACGGGGACACCTAAGATCAAAGGCTTAAAATTAATTAAAAGAAAATAAAAAGCCGAAGAAAGCTGGAAAAAAAGAAAAAGAAAAAAACATTGAAAAGTGGGGCGTGGGCTTGGGTGGAGCGTTCATCCCGTATTCCCGAACTGCACTGACGGCATGATGGCGAGGCGTCACGCCACGGGCCTATCTGACTCTTCTGGGACCCCCTCAACAGCGACCTTGAATTAAGGAAAGAAAAGAGAAAAGGGGGAGATGTCGCGCGTGTATCGTCGCTGCGGTTTGTAACACGCTGTTTTCCTGCTAACTCTCACCTCAAAAAGAAGAAAAAAGAACGCGCAGTCGAGGGCAGGGTGTTTTAATTATACGCGAGCCAATAAAATACAAAAAAACAAACAAAAAAACTTGATTAAACCAGCGAAGTGTGCTTGGAGTGCAGGCCAGTCCAAACCAGAGCACTGGCGGAGACGGCGAGGTCTAAATGAAAGGAAGCACTCACGTGTACGCACACACAGAAAAGATGGATTCCTGATTGGATATATCCCTCTGTGTTGTTTCTCTCTCTCTCTCTCTCTTACCCCCCTTTTCGTTCAGGCTCGATTGCCTGCCAACTTACGTGTTCAAACAATTAAGAAAAGGACAGCAGAAGACAGGAAGAAGCAAATGCTCTTCAAGGGATCCCGCTGGGAAGAGTTGGTTCTTTCCCTTCCTTCATTTTTCTTTCCCGGTATCATTCGAGCTTCATGTCGCTGCGTGTTATTTTATCCCTCCAACAATCCGGCTTATACGTTCTTTTTTTTTTTTTTTTTTTTCGTGCGTTTGTCATTGCCTGGCTTTCTCTCTGAATGACCGCAATTTCAGTAAGATCTGAGCCGAGATGTGGGAAACCACTGTCGGACGGGCCCATAACCTGAGAACAAAAAAAAGGACCAACAAAAGAGCAGAAAAAATGGAACCACAGTCAGAACATTTGGATCCCCAGAGCCAGCTTCTCCGAAGCCGAGAAATGGCTCGCTCGAATTCCCAACCGCGTCCCCGAAACAACCCTTCAGATGAAAGACTCCCCAGGCCGACACGGGCGTTGAGCGGCGTGTTTCACCAACCGTTATTAACCTAAAGAAAAATAATAATAAAAAATAAAAGGAAGACAATTACCTAGGGGTTTGGTCTTCATAGAACGTAATTTATTCTATTTTACTTAATCACCTTCAGCTTGTAGTGGTACACGGCGGCTACAAGAAATTTGGAGGGTATACGGAGATGAGGAGCCCGTGACAGCAACTCCGCCTGACGAACGTCGAGTTTTGAAGCGTCTCGCCGATTCCTGTGCTCCGAACGGAAAATGTCGACCTTCAACGAGGTCGTTTGGACCAGGTCAATCCATTAAACACATCAACAGAAGAAAAAAAAAAGTACAAAAAAAAACAGTCGCATTTTAGGGGATGTGAATTGTCTCGAGTGGAATTTAGATTTGTTCGGTAGTTTTTATGTACTTGGCAAAACACGGTTTCTTTTTTATTAATGCGAAAGCATTAACTGTCTCCTGGAGCGAAGCCGGCGTTATCTGATGTCTGTAGCAGAAAAAAACGGCACCTAAATACCCATTGGCTGAGCGAAACGGCACCTAAATTCCCATTGGCTGAGCGAAACGGCACGTGAATTTCCATTAGCTGAGCGAAACGGCACATAAATTCTCACTAGCTGCAAAGCGGACGCACCTCAGAAAAAAAAAAAAAAAACGCAAAGAAAAGCACAGCAACGCAGATGCATCGTCCCGGAAACCGGCGGGGCTCTCAAGGTCAAAGCGGACGCGCCTCAGAATTAAAACACAATGAAAATCACAGCAAGGCGGATGCATCGTCACGGAAGCCGTGGAGCCGTCGGGGTTCGCCGCGCCTGCGCAGTGGGGGAGCGTGATGCCACCGCCGGAGCTCCGTGTGAAAAAGGAAGACGTGGCGCGCTGCTTGTAGGAATGTGTTGCGTGTAGGAATGCTTTCGCGTTCCTACACCTAAGCAGTCTTAATTGTATCTGCCGAATTTTTTTTATTATTATTAAGTGGAGTAGCCGGCTCCATATCAGTCATGCACATTCCCTAGAAAGCACAAACTATGTTGTTGTTTTTTTTTCTTTCTAAACGTTAACATCACCTATATAATTACGGTAGACGGCACTGTAACGAACACCCCTCGAAGGTGCAAGGCAGAAAAGGCGAGCGAGCGGGCGCCGACAAACCGCGGGTCAAACGCCCTGAAACCGACGGATACGTATACAGAGCGGCGGTTTTTGCCGTTTTTATTTGAAAAAAAATGAAAACGCTAACTTCTTGTGGGCAGGAAAGGGCTTATTTGCGTGGGACGCTAATTTATATGGTAAAGGGTGATGCTCCTTTGTGCGGAGTGTACGTACAGACGTGTCGGGTATGTTGTTACAGCGCTGTCGGATTAAGTCGGGCTCCAAAAAAGTCCACTGGCGTGTAAGAATTTCGGAACCATGCAGCGGAGTGCGCTGAAGAACTGGCAGTCGTTAAACACCATGTGCACCGATTAGTGTCCTTCTCTCAACTCGACTACTGGATCTTAAGCAGGGACGGCGCCAGGCTTTCCATAGTGGTGGTGGGGGGGGGGGGGGGGGGGGGGGGGTAGTGGGGAGGCACACAGCATTTTGGGGGAGGCATGGGCTTTCGAGACATTATTACCAGGAAAGCGATGATATTTGAATGGCAAACAATGGCTGAGTAAAGACGTGGTCGCTCCCAGCGGGCATGACGGTTGAAGATTCTATATCACATTATTGAAGGCAGGCTCTGATAATTGGGTGGTTTGTCAACAGACACAAGACAATAAAAAGCCCGACGAGAGCGGCGTTGGAGGCTTTATGCTGGCGGGCTGAAAGTTATGTGTGCTATGACTACTGGTCAGAATAAAATGTCGAAGCTGCCTAGACCGAGATTATCACTGTTAGCTATCACATATATGTAATCAAGCGCGGGGAGCACGTGCCGCTCCATGCAAGCTTCCACAACCAGCTGACCGATTATTTTGCTTGCCAACTGAAAGGAGACTCTAGAGGAGACAATCGGCACCCATATGGCCGTGGGCTCCCTCCCGCTCTAAGCTCTTCTAGGAGACTATCCGAACTTATCGTGTCACCAGGCCTTGGCTTGTCTTGAAGCATCGGAAGATACTTTCTTGTTTGCAGATGCTACCAAAGGACATGCCTCCCTCGCCCGCTTAATGCCGCTTATCTGCTTCTCGCGGCCGAAAAAAAAAAAATGAAGGTCCGGTATGAAGGGGATTTAAACTTATGCTCTTGTTTACCCAATGCTCGTTTATATTGGGGTGGCAGGTCAAATTTGAGTGGAGGCGGCCGCCACCCCTCGCCTCTCCTTGGCGACGTCCCTGATCTTAAGTTACGCGGGGGCAGTTTGGGACAGCAGTCGGCCCGCGAGCCGATCGCTTCTGCGCAGCGCCCAGCTCCCGCCCCGATGGCTCCGTGAGGCAGAGCGGCAAAGCGGCTTCCGGATGGCCGCCGTGCAGCCGCCGCAGCTGGGCTACCCGGCGCCCAGCCCCCCACTGGCCCTGGGGGCTCCGACCCCGCTGTTCCGGTCCCTGGACCGGCGCATGCATGCGGCTCCGAGCCCGGCCGCCCAGGGCTCCGGCGACGAGGCCCAGTGCGAGGACCGGCGGAGCTCCCCGCAGATCGCGGCCAGCGGCTTCTGCTTCCTGGCGGCCGTGTGCTGCTCGGCCGGGGGCTTCTGGGTGTCGGCGGCCCAGACGCGGCTGCTCGGGGTCGTGTTCCTGGTCGTGGGCGCCGCGGCCGTCCTGTCGGCCATCCTGTTCGTGCCGGCCGGGCGCGACGGCAAGCTGCCGGCCCACCGGCGGGCGCTGCCGCTGCTGTTGGCGCTCGTGCTGTGGGCCGTGTCCGGCTGGATCATCTTCCTGCTCGCCCAGAGCAGCGTACACGGCAAGGGCGTGCTGGCCGCCCTGGCCACCTTCCTGCTCCTCTTCTCGCTCGTCCTGCTCCGCGTGGTGTGTCGCCGCTGCTGCTGCGCTCGCAGGCGGAGGCGCCGGGGCCTCAAAGCCGCCGGCGACTCCGAGGACGCCGTGCAGCTCGAGGACTTCCACCACGTGAACACCCAGGTGCGCGACACGCTGCGCTTCGGCGAGCTGCGCGCCGACCAGGCCGTGGTGCCCTTCGCGACGGACTCGAGGGCCGTCGTGCCCACGGCGCCGCCGGAGACGCCGCCGCAGCCGCTCCAGCCGCCGGCCAGCTTCTCCACCTTCGTGAGGGAGCCGCCGTCGGCGCCCGCCGATCACCCGCCGCCCTACGAGGGCTGCCCGGCTCGGCCGCCGCAGCAGGGAGACCGCTGCCGCACGCCGCCCCCGCCCTACTCCACCCTCGTGTAGCCGCAATAAGTGTTCGTCGAAGCAGGGCTGCTCTCCGACGCTCGGGGGGCCTGTCTCCCGTCGACGAGTCTGGCCGAAGCGCGTACCAAAAGTCGCTCACTCACGTGTCGACGTTCCCGGTCGCGCAAAGCCCCGTGGCCCCGTGGATGAGGACCTTCGGTGGAACGCGCACGGGCGGCGCGGCCGGTGGGATGGCGAACACACGGGCGTGCCAATGAAGACCGACAGGCCCACGCGACCGGGCTGTCCCCAGTTTGGGCTCCTCTCTCGAGTTCCAAGACGTTAGGCCAACTTTGTGCCGCCAAGCTCAAAGCCCGTGGCACGCTACGGGAGCAAGCGCACTGCCCAAGTTTGCTCCAATTTTGTTGAAGAAACACAAAAAAATAATAAAAAAATAAACTTGACGCGGAGCCCCGGATGCGTTTCGCAATATCTTCGCGGAATAGTTCCTAATAGCAATCCCTCGAAATAATTTTACAGTGGCAGGAAATAACAGTTTTCGGGTAAACAAAAAAAAAAAAAAGGGGGGGGGGGGGGGGGGGAGGAAAAAAGACGAAAGATACGCATCCCGCTCTATTTCTAAGGTTGTGAGAGAGTTCGGGCCACCGGCGTTAAATATTTTTTTTTTTGTCGTTTCTGCGTTTTTTGTTTGCCCAGCAAGATTTAGGCATTTGCTCATTTGAACCACGTCCCCAACGAAATTGTTAAGCTTGCGATTGGGGCTTGTGCCAAGTTTCTCGCAACTACATATCGAGTTTGGTCTCGCACTACGTTGTTCAAATAAAGTTTGTTTCCATTTGTACCTACTGTGCATTCAAAAGACCGTGTCTTTTAGTGGTAGTATGTGCATGTTTTCAATGTTCACATATAACAAAGGCAGTTATAAGGGTTTTTTTTTTTTTTTTTTTCTTGTTTGTTTTTAACCGACGGGGCAACTTTAGGGTCACGAAGTCTGCTAGGCAAGGGGAACGACGGCTAGAAAACACTTTGGATACCGTATGACATCCTTGTATTTAAGGTCGCACTATATCCATAAGGATGTCCTAATCGCACAACAAATACAATCGCCGCTTCATTGCCCGGTTTCAGATAAACGATTTTGTAAAACAGGACCAGCGAACTGAAGGCGCACCAGTTGTATCGTAATAATGTATTATCAATTGGCACAGCACAAAAACAAATACTTGAAAGAGAAAGAATATAAACAAGGACGTTCACAGACAACCACACTCATCTAGTCGAAAATAATCCCTGGAGAAGGGGGACAAAGGACAAACACAGCTAGGTGTAGCCGTCGTTCAGTTGTCGTTGCTAACAGAAAGATTGCAATTGTCTGTGAACGCCCTCCTTTTTACTCTTTCTATTTCAAGTATTCGGAATTACCAACACGCTCACTTTAACCACTACAAAAACAAATCTTGCGCATATTATAGGTTTTCTTTTTTTTTTTTTTTTTTTTCACATTAACCTGGGTGGTAAACAAACAGCCAGTTGCATAGTTGTAGGCATAAATGGTTGTCCACACTGAAGACAACTTTTGGCGTACTCGACAAAAATCGCATCTGCGCCCCGTAGGAGGCAAAGCAAAAATAGGATGACGGTGGGAAGGTTTGCGTGTGTACCTATGGGATGCAGATACGATTTTTGTTCTGCCTGAAAAAAGTCGTGTTTAGTGTAAACAATCCACATTTCCAATACTCTTTTTTTTTAATGACGCTTGTATTTTTGTGGTCCATTTTTTTCCTTAGAAATTTAAGGTGAACATTTCTTTACAAAATAGAGCACGCAAAAACCATGCCGGCACCAACTTTACTGTGTGACGTTGTCAGGGCTATACTCTGTTTCACCTTATGATGTACCGCAGAAAAGGCTACGAGCGCGAGCTTCCTGCACTAGGGCACATCTCGTCGGCACAAGCTCTCGTGCAACTGCTAGCGCTATGTGCTCGCGCTTCCCTTCGCTGTGGTACAACATAAGGTGAAACTGATCATAGCGTAGTTTCCGCAGCGCTGACAAAGCTATCTCTCGCGCTTGTCTTCCAAGAATCCACCCTTGGAAGCAAATGGTGGTGCAGCTACACTGTAGCGCAGCGCTGGAATGAGCAGCCCTTGGAATTAAGCGAATGGGGCGGAGCACTCGCTCGCGACACGTGTCTCGCGCCTTCGCGTGGTTGTCCGGTAAGAAACGCGAACTTTACCTAGGGGCTTTTAATGCGAGGCTTTTTTTTGGCGTCTCCTCGCGAAAGCGCATGACGCCACGTCGCCATGTGCTCGCGCAGAGGTAGCACCGTGGAAACTACGCTAGGCTCCACCATAAGTGCGAGCGAAACCAAAGCTACAAGCGCGAGTATGTCGTCCCGAACGGCGTTTTCACCGCACGAGCTCGAGTCCTCAGCAGGCTCGCCCGTTGACCGTCTGCTTCGCGCGGTACCACTGCCCCGCCATGCGCGCCTTTCCATCTCCTCCCCGCACGCGGCGACACAGGGAGTTCGATTAAAGCTCGGTTCGATAGGTGGGCTAGAGGAACTGTATAACCCCCGCTGTTCAGATTATTTGATCAGCGCTGAACGGAACACATCTGTGGCATGCTACAACTATTAAATTAAGCTTTCAAGAATATTGCAATGTCCGTTTAAAACACTAAATGCCTCTCTCCGAGGGTCTGCGGTTTCGGTAATAAAAAAAAAATGGATGCAAACCGAAGGGAGCGTTGACCCTTCAAGGAGAAACGAAACGTAAGTACTTTGATACAGTCACATGAGCTGCAGCAATAGCTATCACATCAGCATGTTCCCGGGTGAGCGTGGTTTAGGCGAGGCTGCCCTTGCACTAGGCGTCAACTTACACATGATTGTAAACCCGAGACTGGGGGAGGGAGAGAACACAACAGAAGGTAGTAAAAGAGGAGGCAACGTCTCAAACTCAGCTCTGTTGAGTTTGAGACGTTGCCGTATTATAGCTGAGTTTGAGACGTTGCCTCCTCTTTTACTACCTTCTGTTGTGTTCTCTTCCTGCCCCAGTCTCAGGTTTACAATCATGTTCAACTTACACCAGCTCGCCTGCACTCTGACTATTTTTTTGCGTCAACTTAGTTGTGCCAAGTTGTCAAAGTTAGCGTGGTTTCCACAGTGCTGCAGCCCCGCACAGCTGAGAGCGCGCGCGACGCGGAAGTAGCTTTGTCAGCGTTGGAGCACTGCGGAAACTAGGCCAGCCTTGATCACGTGGTACAAAAGAAGTTGACGTCGGGTATGGCCATAATTAAATTTATACATAGACTAGAGCACCAGGAAACGGCAAGTTTCTGAGATCTACCAAGTTCCCAAGAAGGAATGCGTCTTGGCTTCTACCTTCCCTTCAAACGCAGCTCGCGGTGAGGAGCTAAAGCTGAACCGCCTGCGCGAGCCAACAAACCCCGCTTCGTATCTGCCATTTCCCGCGAGCAGTCTGCGAGCTACAAATTCGGAATGGGCGTCTGCCACTCGAGCGAACCAAGTCACTGCGCCTAGCCTCGGTCCGCTTTGATCCTTCTGAGTAGGTTGTAGTTGACGTAAGAGCACCACCTCTCAGTCACAAAGGGAATGTAGAAGACTCTTCCGTAGAGCGACGACCTCTTGCTGTCGAGGAACTTGATGGAGGACACCACCTCCCAGTCCGGGCTGGCCGAGTAGTTGGGCTCCCGCTCCGTCACGTCCGGGCCGTCGGTGTCGACGAGGTAGTCGCACTGCGAGGCCTGCACGTACCTCGAGCGTTCCTCCCGGTTCTGGTCGTTCATGTCCCGAGGCACCAGTCGCGTGGCATGCGGCCCCTGGGCGAAGGGCTTGGGCAGCTGTCCTCGGAACTCGGACTCGAGGAAGGCCAGCTGCCAGTTCTCAGGAAGGAAGAAGGACGAAGGGAAGCGGTACCACTCCTTTCCCAGGCATAGCGTGGTCGCCCGGCCGTCGCCGGCGAGCGGCGCCAGCTCCATGTAGATCTCCATGGGAGCCCGGAAGTTGCGATATAGCGCCACGGTGCGCGAGATGGACAGCAGCGTCGTGGTGGCCAGGAAAGCCACCCAGAGGAAGCGGGAGGCGCTGGAGCCCAGACGCTCGAGTCGCCTCGCCGATCCGCCGACCAAAGCTTCGAGACTGTCCAACGTGACGGCGGCACAGAGGCAGACGAGCGGGTAGACGGGGAACAGGAAGCGCTCTTCCTTGTGGGCCTGGCTAAAGAAGATGGCGAACCAGAGATACATCGGGGAGATGTCCAGCACGCCGGCGGTGCGCTTCTTGTTCAGGTAGCGCGCCAGAGCCAGAGCCGGCGCCGCCAACAGCGCGGCCGGGAAGGCGAAGTTGAAGTTGAGCGCGCCGTTCTTCAGGTAGAAGGTCCACGGCTCGACGCCGTAGAGGTTGGCCCCGTGGCTACTGAACACGTTGTACAGCACGATGTTGAGCGGTGCCAGTACGGGGCGCCCGAAGTAGTGGCTGTCCACGCTGATGAGCGCCGGCAGCACGATGGCCAGCGAGACGGCGCACCAGGTGAGGAACGGGCGGGCCTTGCGCTTCAAGAGTACCACGTCCAGGGCGGCGGGCAGGCCGAGTGCCGCCGAGAAGGGCCATCCCACCAGGGCCCCGATGGCCGTGGCGAGCACAGTGACGCGCGTGTCCCCCATGAACCAGCCGCCCGTGGCGACGAGCGTGGCGTACATGGAAAAGGTGCTCGGGAGGTACGCCGTGCTCGACACAAACATGCCGGTGCTGAAGAGCAGCAGGACCAGCGTGGTCCGCGCCACCACGGGCCCGAAGCGGTGCAGGACGCCCCTGTAAAAGTACACTTCGCAGAGGGAGCACGCGAAGCCCAGGATGCAGCGCATGAAGTAGAAGACCAGCACCCGGTTCGACTGGAGCAAGCTGCTGTAGAAGAGGCCCGGCAGCACGTGCAGCCAGAGGTAGGCGTACGAGCGGATCGCGTACACCGGCGAGTACTCCCACGTCTGCAGGCCCTTGCCGTACATCAGGAAGTGCGTCGGCTCCCAGTAGTTGAACGTCTCATCGCAGTCGGAGATGCTGCTCCACACTGCCGCACACAGTCGAGCGGAGAACAGCGCCTTGAACGCCGTGTAAAGTTGGGGTGCCCAGGGTCCCATTGACCCGTCGTCGCTCGCGTTTGGGCACTGTCGAGGATGCTGAGCGGCCAAAGGCTTGCGTGGGACGTCTTTGAGCTCTTTGCGCCGCTGCCTCGCCATTTCGACACGCTCAACCCGTATAGCCGCCTTACTTGATCTAAACTGCAGAAAGCGAGGACCGACCTGATAACATTTTTAGAGAAGAAACACGTCGCACGGTGTACGCCAACAGAGCCAACAGAGCAAGCAGACGATGGATAAATGGATGGACGGACGGTTCTGATGGATGGATATGTCTATGCTGAATAAATCATTTGTGTCGGGCGGCAGCTTGCGCTATCTAGCGCAATTTACCGTCGTAGGCGCTGTGGTAGGCGACTACTACTGCTACTGCCGTATTAACCTAAACTGAATGTATGTAGCTCACTGTAGTTGGTTCCTACAGTATTTTTTTTTTTTTTGTTTACGAGTCGACGTCTCAGGACGCTCCAACTTTAACCAAAATCAGTGCGGTGCGGTTCGTTTCAGTCGGCATTTGCAGCAGACCGCTCAGCTGATACCAGTGATTATTACAGAATAATTCTTGAACGCGACATTAAAAAAAAAAAAGATGTTGAGGAAGGATTCGCACAGAACATGGAAAGCGATGCCGTTTTCTAGAAAAACAGTCGGGCGCAACGTTCTACTAGGAAAGAGCGAAAATATGCAAGCCAGCTGGTTAGGAAGCTATCTAAACCTTGAGACAAGGAGAAATAAAATAACGGGCAAGACGACACATAATGCAATGCTCTAGTAAGCTTTTAATAACACAATTCTCTTCATCCACAAGAAAGCAGAAAAATAACCTGACCATCACAAATTTCCTAAATGAAAACCCTCGCTAAAAGTATGCAAGCCGGCTGGTTAGGAAGCTATCTAAACCCTGAGACAATGAGAAATAAAATAACGAGCAAGACGACACATAATGCAGTGCTCTAGTACTTCGAAAAATACAATTCTCTTCATCCACAAGAACGCAGAAAAATAACCTGACTACCACAAATGTTCATAAATGAAACCAATGAAACCCTCGCAAAAATACAAAAAACAAATATCACAAGTCATAAACTCTCGAGCCAAGAGTAAATGTGGTGAACACGCCGCGCAATTATGAGCAGTTTAATTAACATTTACTTTACTAAAAATACAAGTAAAATATGAGTGTGAACGCAATATTCATTGAGTGATATTTTGTCGTATCACAGCTTGAGCTAAATTATCTCAAGGTCACGTCCTCGTATTCGTCCGTTTTGATCTGTTTACTGTTTACATCCGTAGTTATGCAGCTGTCACCACCCTTAGAAATATAAATCTGATGAAAAGCGTGTTAGGCGCGTGGATATTTCATTGCATAGCCAAATGCACGCCCTTGTAGTTCTTTTCTGTTTAAATAGGCAACGAAAACAAACTTAAAGGTACCCCCCCCCCAACTGCGCAGCAACAAGGATGACCCGTAGGCCGTGGGTGCTTGGCCTGGTGACGAGAGTACGGGTTATTTTTATGTTCTGTTGATATGTTTCAGCTCAGACGCTAGGATACTGGGGGTTAGGTCAGCATACCGAGGTACGAGCCAAAAACGATAAGGCAGTTTGTTTACTATATTTAAGCGGACCTCTGCGCGGATCCATCGGGGAGAAGTTCGTGCTTGAACTCTGCCTGTTGCTAAGCATCAGTCGCTTCGTTAACACCGCGGTCCGGTGACATAGTTTCGTTTGTTAACCTGTGCCTCACGAGCGCAGATTCGATCAGACGCCATTTGGGTATTCCAAATGAGAACAGCGATCAGTCGTCGCCAGAGCGTAATGAACACTGGCTCACTCGGTAAATTTGAAAGTTTCGGTGTCTCAACGAGTTCGGGAAGTTCGAAGAGCTTCAAAAAAAGTAGAGTAATACTGAGACAACGGTGGACCATCGTTCCGAGTCTTTCCTGCTGAATCCGTGAGCAGCTTTGACATTTATTTGGCGGTTTCATTTCTTTTCCTTTCGCTATACGAAAAGTGAAGCTTTATCAGTCATCGTCATTACTGAGTTACCATGAAGCTTCTCGAGAGCAGTCGTTTCGAGGCGATCAACGCATCGCTGTGCTTCGAGACTGGGGACTGCAAGATCGTTGGAAGGTAAGCAGTCTACAGTTTTTTTTTTTTACCGCTTGGATTAAACGGACTTCTGCCGCCTCGAGAATTGTTATCGTCGCAAATATAATAGCGCAGGTTGCTCGTACGGCACCCCCACTGCAGCAAAATACACATTTCGGGGGACTGATCTCGCTTGTCAGATATGTGTCCCACCGTAGCTCCCGTTATCGTAAATCGTCCATGTTTTTATTCTTATGGTACGCGTTTTTCGAAACCAAAGGGAACGATCGTTGGGAGCTCGAAAGCGTAGTGCATTAAACCCCTTTCGAAAATATGCTCTCTTTGGAGCTAGAAGTACTGCACAGTGGCGTGTACAAAAGACACCATAGAGACTTCAAGTTCATTATATATATATATATATATATATATATATATATATAGAATGTTCACTTCCAACAACATCGTGCAAGTTCGGCACCTGCAGGGCTCCATGAGTGTGCAGGATTTCCAGCTCTGCTAGAAGAGGTCATAATTTTGATGGGAGTGTTTAGGAGCGAAAAACGTGGGCGTCTGCACAATGTGCATAATTTCGTTCTCAGGATCGAAAGCTACTCCTGCAAAATGGTGGGCAGCGATAAGCGCCTGTTCAAGTCGATGAACGCTGAGGCGGGCGGCGGGCCAAACGACCTTCAGGCACTGTCCCCACCACAGAGCGCACTCATCTCGCAGAGCCCAAACCGTGTGTACAGGTATGTTGGCAGTAGTCTGTATGTTCTGAACTTGAATTCTGAATGTTTAAAAATTTAGGCTGGGAAAAATGGGGGCAGGTTCTCAACATATAATACGCTGGCCCCCTCCTCCCTTTCCTCCTTCTCCCCTCCCTTCCTCCCTCCCTCCCTTTCTGGGAATACTTGCATCCACCCCTGCGTTAGTCGCAGCAGACCGGGCAAGCCACAGGCTCTACTTTGCCCATGTTTCGTCGTCCCAAAAGGTTCCAAACCATGCTGGTCCATGTTACCGTAAAATACCACGGAAGCGCCCACTATTAACATTTTCCAAACTTGGGGAGTTCTGAAAATTATGCGGAGCGTAAGATCATCTGCTTCTTTTGCAGGGGTTGCAGTGAAGGTGGGGTGTGCGCTTCCCCGGTATTTTATGGTAGATTTAGATTTAATAAACATAGATTTAATAAAGTTATTGGGTTTTAGAGATAGTGAAGGAAGAGTGGATTTCAAGACAGTAGAGATTACCAAGCAAAGATTAAGTGAATGGTGGGAGAAAGCGAGAGAAAACTAGGTATTTTCTTATTAACTGATGGCAAGGGGGTTTTATAGTCTCCCTTTCTTTGCAGTCGGAGTGAATATAGTTTTCACATTTAAATATTCTAAGCTTACATGGCAAACAAAATGGCTAGGTGGCGTTAGCTACCGCCCGATCCAAAGGGCTCAGCTGGATTCATCCATCCATCCAACGGTGCATAACATTCTGCCGGTGTATTTTCTTCCATAGCCCCATATTTCTGCCCACTGGATAAGTGGATTAGGAGGTAGTAGTCATGCCCGAATTGCTTCACCATCATAATGCACATTTACCTTTCTGTAGACTATTTCTGCTTAATTTGAAGTAGTTTTTGTTGTGTTGAACACAGCCGTGATTCTGCCCCCATGCACAGGTACGACCAGGTACACAAGTTTTTTCACCCGGCAGTGGAGAGCAACATCTCAGATGTATGAAGTAGGAGGCAAACATCTCTTCCAATTCATCTGGGAATGCACTCGCTGTATAAAAGATGCCATGGTCAAGCCAAACTTGTGCTAATCTGCTCCGTCCCACTAGGAAACAGAACACAAGTGTGTTCTTTTTCCATGACAGCAGCATCTGAATTTTATTTGACCGTGTAATCGTCTCACATTTTTTGGCCCTAGGAATTTATTGCTCCACTTTGTGTTGCTTCTTGCCTGTGCTGCCAGTCGTAAAATTCAGCTCAAGTGTGGCTGTCTGTGTAGAAAACAAAGGCCAGCAAGTGGAACTTTCACTGTTGGGGCCCAGTTGACGCATGCCTGATTATTGTGGGGGTTCTGCCAACAGCCGAAGCCAGAGTGACGATGGCGAGGGCCACCTGTGCGACACCATCAGCCGCAAGACCCTGTTCCATTTGATCGGCACGCTCAACGCTTCCTTTCACCCCGACTATGACTTCAGCCAGGCTAAAAGCGACGAGTTCAGCAAAGAGCCCAGCTTGGACGTAAGTCACCTTTGAGCAACGCTACTGAATGTCCACTTTGTCATCAGTGAGCCCAGAGCCTGCAATGCCCTTGCAGTGATGCAATTGGTTCGAGTCGTTTTGGAATGCCTTTTGGAGCAGCCAAGAATTTGGTGCACAAACATATTTTTTATTCTTAAAGGGTGACTCTGCTTCATTTTTGGTTTTGAAAAAATGGTGCAGTCCTCTTCAGTATCGCCTAGGAAGACCACACAACAAATATTACGACGCAGTTCTGTCTAAATGTTTCTTAATTGGTCCGGCAAAAGTCGCCAAGTTGCCGAAATCTGCTAACTCGAGCGGGCGAATTCAGGCGCAACCAAAAAGAGTCGAGGCTATGACGTGGGCGTAGCCGACATTGAGCTAAACGTCATCACCATTGCCCCCTTTTGCTTGTTTTTACTTCTCTGTGCAAGTGTAGCAGATGACGTCAGCAACGTTTCCTCTCGGCGCTCAGCCGTACGGCCGGCCCGCCATGGTTCTGCCGTTACCGCCGTCTCCTGCTCAAAACTACCGTTTTCGTCTCACCGTCTGTGATTATTGTCTCTCGGAGTTTCGTCCACACTACGGACACTGTGTGCGCAGACATATGCTGCAGTTGTGCAGACGTCGAATGTCGTAGACACCAAAATTTGGCGAAGGGTGCAGGTGACACTTGAGGTGCATGCCCGCCCCAAATCCCGCCCGTCGTTGCATAGAAGATCGCGTGACATCTCGTACCACGTGATGGCCATGTTTTTGGCAGCCCAAGGCCAATGTTGCCGGACGGAGCCGAACTTTCGGTTTCCGCTCGTGTTTAAAATTGGATTGAAAATTATATATCCCATTTTTCGCGAAACAAACGATGTGGTGTCTTTTACTAGGACCTTCTAATGCAAAATCGCTCATTATCTCGAAATCGAGCAGAGTTGCTCTTTAAAGGGCAACTCCGCTTCTTTTCCAGTAGTGCAAAACTATACAGTTCTCTTTGTTATCATCTACGAAACCCCCATGGCAAATATTAAGACGGAATTCCGCCTAGAAGTTCATTAAAATCGCTGTCAAAGTTTCACAAGCACGAATCCGCTGGTTTTGGATGAGACGTGCGGGCCAGACAACACTGCCCGGCTGCATTTCCGCTTCCTCCAAATTCCTTCTACCGGCACGTCCGCGACGTCATCAAGCATGTACAGCTTCTTTTTTTTTTTTTCAATTTTGTTTTCTATCCCGGGGAGAGCACGGGTGGCGCCAGCGCCGTGCTCTCCCAGGAGAGGGAAGCTGCTTTTGTAAGAATTTTGAGTGACAGGTTAATCCTCTATAATCTTCTGGGGGGAAAATAGCGACGCCTGTGCTAATCCAGGAGGCACAAAGGAGGATCCTGATAAGAGGGGAGCTTCTTCTTCCCCTTGTATATCACGTGGGTGTACATGCTTAGTGATGCCGAATATACAATGTTGTCCGGCTTTGCCACCGTTTCGGTTTCGGTTTGTGATCATGGCTAGAGTAAAATTACACGAAAAATATATTATTTTTCGCGAAACAAAGGATTGGGGATTGTTTTTGAGTGCTTCAAAAAGCAAAATCGGCCACTATCTCAAAATTTTTGAAATTAAGCGGAGTTGCCCTTTAACCGCTCTACTGCGAAAACTGTTGGCCTGTCCGAATTAAATGCAGCGCATCTTTGCCTTCCCATTTTTGTGTAACTACCTCTCAGCATCGGTTCCAAAGTGCAATTAAATTGCAAAGCTGTGCATCAATGACACTTTGCATGTAGACATCTATGATGTTGCAAATGCAGCCTCCGAAAGATAAATGTGACTTGTAAAGTCAAGCTGAACTTGATTTTGCGAGTTATTCTCCGGAATTCCGGAAAGCTTTTTTCATTCCACTGCATATGTTAACTTTGTTTTAATTTAAACTTTATTGACTGCATCCAGAAAGAGTTATGAGCCTATAGACCATTTGCGATATCCTCGAAGTGGCCCGGGTCGCGCTAAAAGGATCATGGGAACGGTGTTTCTTCAGCCCCTTAGTGATCGGTAATTTCAACCCTATTCTTGGTTACACAGGTTTTCAGCGTAATTCGGAGTCACCCTGAACAAGCGCCTGATATACCCCAATGACCCGTCATATCGCTTTTAAATTTTCTCGTCAATGTCGGCATTTTTGATACTGTGCATGTTGTCCACCCTTCAACCTGGATGGGCTGCAGAAATCTCTTACATTATTATCGTGCTGATATTAAGTTACAATGCTAAAAATGCTATAAACAGCCCCGCGGACTCCGAGCTAAATCCTGGTTTTTGTTGTTGTGAATTATCGGCTTTTTAAGCAATTCCTGCTCAAACAAGAATCACGAGAATGATAATATTGTAAGAGATTTCTGCAGCTCGGCCAGGTTAAAAGGTGGACCGCATGCGCAGTATCAGAAATGGTGACGTTGAAGAGCAAATTTAAAAGTAATATGACAGCTCCTTGGGGTATATCAGGTGCTTGTTCAGGGTGACCTCGAATTATGCTCAAAAACTGTGTAACCATGGAGTTGGTCGAAAATTAGCGATCACTAGGGAGCTGAAGGAACATCGTTCCCATGATTCCTTGAGTGCGGGCCGGGGCGCTTGGGAATACTGCAAATGGTCTATTGAAAGGTGTAAAGTAAACAAACAAAAAGTAAACCTGTGGCCCAGTCCAGCTACACCTAATCAACGTAATTGATTAACTCTTTCCCGTTACCCAAGTAAAGTGTCCACCCTAAAGACTATATATATAAAAAAAAAAAAAAACTACTGCAATTAATGGTGTCTGCGACTTCTCAGGATGTCGCGGTCCGTCATATAAACTGACCGCAATTTTAGTTCTCACTTTTTTCTTTCTTTTTAATGCATGACATGCAGTTTTGCATCATTTCTTCCTGGAGAAGTGTTTTATACCTCAGCATAGTGTTGCAGTGCGGCGAAGTGACATGCACAAAATTTCAATGTCTACTCTGTGGGCGTAACTTCTCAGCAGTGCTCCCTTGTACAGTGACAAGCATACTCGACGCAGCTATAACGAAACTGCCCGAACAGACCCCGAAAAAATGGGAAATGTTCCAGAAACTCCCAGTACTAAGTGATATTGAATCACACTTTATTTTAAGCTATACCCAAAAGTATGGAAAATTCATGCAAGCTTATTATAGAAATCTGACAGTGTAGCAATGCCTGAACCATTATTTGTATTGGTAAAATGAAAAGAGCTCTTGGTGCAATGTTAGCGCAAATTTCTCATATTTTGGTGAAATGTAGCAGGGTAAGCGCTTTGGAGCAAATACTGTAGCAATCACATCACTGTGACGACATTGCCCGGTCGGTCTCTGCGCAGTGGGTCATGAGCTCGGTGGACAGCAACCTGTTCGCCATGGCCAATCAGGCGTACAGCGCCCTGCGGCCACATCTTTGGGCCGCCATGGACAGCGAGATCACGCTGGCCGAGTGTGACATCTTCAGCTACAACCCAGACCTGGTCTCGGACCCCTACGGAGAAGATGGCTGCCTCTGGTCGTTCAACTACTTCTTCTACAATCGTCGGCTCAAGCGCATCGTCTTCTTCACTTGCAGAGCTGTCAGGTCCGTCGACTGGTCACATTTTGCACAAATTTTCTTTTCGGGTGGCATGGCACTTTGCATTTAGGGCGGATGAATATTACATCTTGCTTGCATTCAGCTGTGCACTCGTTATGAGCAGAGAGAACTAAAGCCCTTGGGTGGTGAATGTACAGTACCAATAGCATAGCTGTTTTTTTTTGTACCGAGGGAACAAGCTGTGTGTGGAGGTCTATTGAAGTGCAGATATAGTTTTTGTAGCAAGAAGCGTAGTAACTCATTGGGGATTCATGCTAGACAGAGGGGTGAATTGAAGTCCCCTAGTTTGACAGACATGCTTTGAAGCTGACATGCTAAAAGCATCTGTAGTAGAATCTAACCCCATCCTTTTAGGCTCATCTTAATCCCGTTGCGTATAAAAAGGGAATGTTGCGTCTTTTCTGCTTCCTGCTGTTTGCCTCTCAGTGTGGCTTCCCTTTCCGTGGTGCTCCTGTTCTTTTCACAGTAGTGACCACCTCTGCCGTCGTGGTTAGCCTATTTTTCGGTTCTTTGATTCCTGCCTGGTAAGCCCCATAATTGAAATCTTTTTCTCTTCTGCAGTGCCAACAGCTTTGAGTATGGACAGGATGAGCTGGAGCACGAGATGAACATGGAGATGGAGGAGGAGTCTGCGGCCAGTTCTGGGTGAGCAGCTTCATGCAATATCCCCATTTGTCATTCCTTTGAGGAAAGTCGAGTTGCTACTACTTTAAGTGCTGCACTGGTGGATATGAAGTAAATAGTGCTCAACGGAAATGGCATGCCCAACCTTCTCGCAAGTTCAGTCCTTTCATGTCTCTGGTCTGGAAACTTCTTTTGCAGCATGGCAGCGTGTCCTCTGGAGCGAGCTGAAGACATACAGGCGTGTTCTGAGCCCTATGGCAGAACAAGACGTAGGGCAGCTAGACACATGTCTATATTGCAGATCAAGGTTTTGCACAATATTTTCAAAGGGCTTTGTTCCAAAGTATTTCAAAAGAGGGTGCCGCTGGTGAGCACAAAAACCAGTCACCACCAATGCAGCCGAAGCTGTTGACAAGTCTTAAAAGTGGATTGACGCTTTTTTCATTAATTGCACTTTCTATTGGCTCGTAGGAAGTCCCAATCTCCATGACGGAAAAAAAGTTGCTAAAGCAGAAATTGGCATAGTTTCCATCTATGAACTGTGGTTCTTCCTTGGATTGTGTTTTGAGCCCCTTTCTTCAAAATTAAGATGCCTTGCCAACAATGTGATAATTTAGTTAGCTTTTGCAACTGTGAAGGAGTGTTAATGCCCAGGAGTCTCGTCATTCTATCGGACTTTGTGACACCAAAGTAGGAACAGTAACTCATTATTAATACTAGTACATCCGTCCATATACTGTGGCTTAGCTAGTATCTCGTTTTATCAAACCTTTGTATGCTAGGAGTGTGTGTCAAAACTAGTAGTACAGTTCTATGGTTTTCCTTATTTATCAGGCTCCACGGTACTGGGTCCAAGCATTTACTCGTGATTAATTCTTCCAGCAGTTTTCTTCATGGTGCGATAGTCCGCTTAAAGTTATTGTATCTGCCTATTTGGCTGCCTGTTGATTTTGTCTATAATTGTCTATACTCCATTCCACCTTAAAAAGCCCCTGAAAAGAACTTTTTTTTTTTAAAGAGTTTAATTAGGACAAGTGTGTCAAAAAATAAATATTACGCGAGAAAAAGAAAAAAAAATTAGAGCAATGTTGTTGGTGAGATTTATTTGAAATTCTGCGTGCAAAGTCCATGATGTCATGGGTCATTCCGGAATGACCATCGCAGTCGTGAGGGCGAACCTGACCCTCCTCTCCTCCATGCTCCCAAAATGCCGAGAGAGAAAACAAGTCGAAAGGAGGTGACTACCGACTACATCGTGTCTCACGCTGTCAATATTGCTTTTTTTTTTTTTTTTTTTTTTTGCGTAAAATTACTTTTTTGACACGCGTGTCCCAATTAAACTGTTAAAATTTTTTTTTTCTTTTCAGGGGCTTTTTAAAAAGACACTAACACCCCCCCCCCCCCCCCCCCCCATTTTTTTAAAACTTTTTTGACAGGCGATTTGGTATGGTGGTGGAATACTACTCAATCAATATATTGCTGCGGTATCACATATATTTTTAAATAAAATAAAAAAAATGCAACTGCTTGAAACTGAAACGACTGGGGTTGGAAGAAGAAATATAGAGGAGGAGAAAGATATCGGAAGTCACATGGCTGTGGAACTTTTTTTTTTCAATTAACGTATTTGCAGCGTTTTAGAAGCCACAAAAAATGAATATCATATTTTTTTGTCCATTTCTCGTAGCAAGTGTATGCCTTCGATGACCCACGACTTTGATTATCTTTGGTGGTTGTGTCTAAACCATAAAAACCGGCCAGTTCTCGATCGGTGGTTTTCAGGCGGAAAGAAAACGAATTTCGGGCCCCAAATTGTGTTTTGGGTAGTTGTGCTCTCATATGTCATGTACAAATAAGAACCCTGGCGAACATAAATACCTCGTCAGTGTCTCTTTAAGTGCGAGCAAAGCAGAAACTACAAGCATGAGGATGCTTTCAATGCTGCACTAACAGATATGCATGACAGCTATGATCAGTGTACGGGACTCGTGCATTTAGCTTTGGTTGCGCTTGCACTAATGTTGAAATGGGAGTATAGATGTGAAGTTACTTTAAGGTTTAAAGAAATGACTGCTAAAGTTCAGGTATGGCATCGAAGACGGGTCAAGTTTCAACCAAACATTGTGCCTTGTGTGGCTGGCCCCACTGATGCACTGCATTTTCATTCAGATCCTTACAGGTGGCATTCTGAGCAAGCAGCTCCATTTTTGTCTCCTGTCCCAGACCAGAAATGAACCAGCACCGCCACCATTAGTCACTCTATGGAATCTCCCACCCCACGGCCCTGCCCCATTCGCTTCATCCAACAATTGGTTTTTTTTTTAAAAATGTACATAAAAAATTCACCATGTTTTAGAGTGTACAGCATCTTTCACTTAAATTGTTTGCTGTCGGGCTGTGTAAAGAAAAAGGATGATATATATATATCTTTTTTGTGGTGGTTCAAGCTGCTTTTTCTCAAATATTTTTAAGAGAACATACCAAAAAAAAGATTGGTTATGGTTATGGTGTGCGCATTATGTTCATAACCAACGTCTATATGTAGAGTGAACATTATGTCTGTATCCACGTAGTTCCAAACAGGATGTTGAGGATTTTATCCTCAAGGTTTGCGTTCGTTTGGCCAAGCAAAAGCTTGCTTCTGCGATAGACGTCCAGCAGCATTGTAGTTTGTCCGAATTGAACCCTTTGTACTTAATTTGTTTTGTTGAGTGGTTTGCTTGTCCCCATTTTATCACAGAGATATTGCTTATTTAAACCCAAGAGTCCAAATAAAGTTCTAACAAAATGATAATTGTCTTGGCTTGTTTGTTGCTAATTAAAAGGTAAAGGATGGTTCACACAGATGTGACTGCTTACGATCGGAGAGGCTAAAAAACAGTTTTTAAGCCCTTTCTGACTGCTCATGACCTGCTGCTCAGCCGGTCGTAAGCAGTTGCAAGAAGTTTAAAACCATTTTTTAGCCTCTGGTCGGTCATAAGCAATTGCAAGTGTGTTAACCAGCCTTCAATAATTTGGGATACATATTTTTCTGATGTTCCTAGAGTGCAAAAAGAACTTGAATCTGGACAGAACATTTGAACACATATAAAGGATTCATGAAAGTTCCCAGTAGCAGTACTCTTGCCACGAGTGAAATGGTTGGCTGGTTAATTGGGGTTTCATGGCGCAAGGGGGCTGCTAAGGCTAAAATGCACCGAGAGGATACGAGCGAAATACTCTAGTGCAATCTGGAGCGAACTTACTATTTCAGCGTTGAGTAGTACCTGAATGTGATGTGTCATACTGAAACTATCTTGGCTCATTTGGGCAATGATTGGTGGTTGTGAAAACACCTCCCTAAATTCTGTGTACAGTTTGCTACAGGTTTGGACACTGTCCTTCGGACTAGCCACAATCACTGCAAACATAAATTATGTCAATGCATGTTCCACTGTGACCCAAATGTCCGCCATCCCTTGGAAGAGAATATCAGCGGCACTGTAGATTGGCAAAGTGCAAGGTATGGCAATGTATGGATTTATGAGACCTTGAAGCAGATGCAGTGCAGGAAATTCCTACATATTTTGAGCTGGAAACTCAATGCTTTCACAGAAATCTGGAAATGCAACGTCGTCCTGTGCCATTTTTACAAGTGGTTGCACAAACTGAAAATGAACATTTTAATGGCACAACAGAACTGTGGAGTGGCGGGGATGCTGTTTCGAGGGGGGGCATGGACTGAAAAGTTGATATAACCCCTGTTAAAGGCCGGCCCGAAAGCAGAGAGAAGGAACCAGACCCTCACTTTCCTTCTCGCCACAATGTGAAAGCAGCAAATTACCTCTTCCTCGCGTGCAAGTTTGGGGAAAGCCTGAAGGATTTGAAACGATTATCCAGAAGCCAGCCGGCACACCCGCAACGAGCTAAACCACCCGAGGAGCTGTTTTGAGCGAGCTTGGCACTTGCTCTTCCCAACGAGTTCGATTGGCTGCTTTTAGCATGGGTTTGGAGAACAATTTTTGCTGTTGTGAGAACACAAATAACTTGTTCTGTTTAAAGAAGTAGTCGCTGAAGTATCAATTTTGTTACAAACCTGATTTGGCATCTTTCATTGTTTAGGCGAATTCGTGGTGACAGCAAGAAGTACGGGCAGCGTTTTTCATTATCTCGGGAATCGCGTTCCATAGACCAATGGTTCTAAATCATTATGGCTTAGGGACCGGCAGAGGTGACGGAAGATCCCATCCGTGGTGGGTCTAGCACTTTTCAGTGTAGAGCGTTTCGCTGTAGGACATTTCGGTGCCGACTTTTGGTGCACAGACATTTCGGTGTACGGACTTTTTGCTGCAGATACTTTTTGGTGTGGGACTTTCCGGTGCGCGGATATTTCAGTGCACGGACATATTAGTACATAGACAATTAAAATCTTTTCTTTTTTTTTTTTTCTCAAACGTAATAAGCATTGTTTTAGCTAGCAATGAATTTTCTTCACTTCATAATTTTGTAGACTTACCGCCGAATTCAGAAACCTCACTCAAACTACACTCAAACTGAAGGGCCCCTCCACTTCCTCGAGGAAGGCACGAGGGCCGGCACTGGCCAATCGCGACGGCGGATCCGTCCTTGCAATTGGCCAGCGCCGGCCCTCGTGCCTTCCTCGAGGAAGTGGAGGGGCCCTTCAGTTTGAGTGTAGTTCGAGTGAGGTTTCTGAATTCGGCGGTTAGTCTTCCATCTACGGTCACTTACTGATATACGACCTAAGTGACTTTGTTAGGCATAGCATTGTCCTGCGTGAGGCTCAAAGACGTTGGACGCTATGGTTTGCCCTCGCCGGTATCTCTTTTCCAACGTACGCACTACACGCTTCACAAATTGTGTTTACGCGTTGAGTCTATAGATGTGGTCTCCTCTATAAGGTTTCGGCTTTATTATTGGTATTGCATGTAGGAAAGGCCCCAAACTGCAAGAATCTTGAGAAGTTGTTTGTGTACGATAGCTCAAAACAATTGAATATCTTCAAGTGTGACTCCACCGCTTAATCGTAGAGCTTCGATTCTTAATAATTTGTTAATAATAGTCAATAACCTCACACGACGAAAAACAATGTAATTATCACTTGTAGCTAATTAGGGAATAAAGTAGGCGTGTGCAGGTAAAAAATAATAGTAATCGCATCAAGTATCAATTTGAGTTTAGTAAACAGGCCGAATTGGTTGAATGCTAAATCCAATTTATTTGGTATCAAATGTTTGCTAATTCTCGTATGAAAAAAACTGGCTGTGCATGATGTGGCAGTGGGCCAAAAGAAAAAGGTAGAAAGTAAAAAACCCAACGTTCGGTACAAAAATTTGAAAACACGGCTATTTCGTACCTCCTTCCCTTCGTAAGCTCTCTGCCTTTTCACTGCGATACATCCGCGGTCCCCGCAGCGAGTCGTCGTGCCCCCGCAGCGCGTCACCGGGTCCAAACGCACGTCACACGACACCGGACCTCACTTACTCCCATCACTCCTAAGCTGACATTGTGGTAGAAGCTATGCGCTTGCCGGACCAATCAGTCGCCTCCCTTTCATCACCTGACCTCATTCTCTGCACGTGGGTATGCGCAAGAGAGCGTGATCACGTGGCAAAAGTGGCTGGCCCAACAAGCACGTAGCTTCACAGCACTGTCAGCTTTATGGTGAACGGGTTGGGGAAAGCAACTTTTGTCTGAGTTTTGAGCGACGGGCTAATCTTCTAGGGGGAGAATGGCTGCGTCCGGGTACACAAACGAGTCTGAGCAAGAGGGGACTCCCCTTTTTCTGTCTTCTTAAACTGTTTGGTTGAATGCGTGATTTATGAGTTGAGGAGGAAAGCTAAACAGGAAAAAGTTGGAAAAGTGTTTCATAGCTCCTTTAATAATTAAAAAGTTCATTAGCAAATTTTAGGTAATCAGTTTGTTTTCTGTTGCACTCTTTCTTGAACCTAATCATCGCCTGGCCGTATAGCTCACATGCACGAACTGCAATCGCATTAATTTGCATGTTTCTTTTTATATCTGGTAGGTTTTTTGGCCTACAAAAAAAAGCCCGGGACATTTGAAATCGAGTCTGAAGGGGTAGTTGTCATGTTTACCACGGGGTATTTTGTCATGTTTCACAAGCTTCAATATTGGTCAGCAAAAATCCATGCGAGCCACATCACGTTGCAAACAGCTAATTCGGGTGTTTCTCCGGGAGCTCTAGAACCTTCCAAGTGACATTTCGGCTCTTAATACATTTAAAAAGTTGGCTAATTAGTCCTAAACATTAAATTTTTTTAGGCTTAATTAAAAATACTGCAACTCTCGCAAGACGTTTGCTAACAACATAAGGAACACAGCAGAGCTCTGCATTTCTTTCTTTCTGTACTTGTAGGCAGCTAGCCCACATGACTATATTAAAAGAATTGCCAAATCGCCTCTCTAACGAGGAACCTGTCCATGCAATCATCGGAGTACTTAAACTCGGCAACTTTGCTTTAATTAAATTCGCTACTCAACGCTCCCCACCATGTCATAACACAGATATAAGAATATGTCTTTGCTTTCTACGAGCATTCAGAGAGCCGTATTACGATGCAATAACTTTCAATGGGTTTACAAACAGTAGTTCTGTCACACCTGGGTTTGGTGATGTCGGAAAACCTTACAAGTTCCTTTAATTGTGGAACCTGTGCCTCAGTATAAATTAAACAGCGTGGTAGAGGGCCAGGGTTTGAGATGTGGTATCCGCAGAACTGGCTCCTGAACCAGGCTGAAAAGGACAAATTTGCAGACGTTCTTTCATGCAATATTAAACCAAAGTATTTGAAGGATTTTGTGTGTCAGCCTTAGGTCTCAATCTTAGGCCTTACCTTTAAATTATTTTATTTTGCAAGAACCTGCCGAAGGGCCACAGCTCACATTGGCAGTACTGCCAGAGCGGCTGATATGTAAAGTGAGCATTACGTGCACGAAGCATCCAATTTGAAAACTAAATAGCCCAGCAAAGTGAAGCACCATGCAAATATAGCGCTTATAGTTTGCCAAAGACATAACAAACAGCCACACCTCCAGTGGCGCACACTTTACGCACTTTCAAATCTGTGTTTACCACCGTACAAGTACGGCGACAACAGTCAAAGGGTTAATGAAGGTCTAAATGGGAACAATTAACAACAAAACAATCTGGAAAGTAGTCGGCTTGTTTTTTTTTGCTTTTGTACTAGAGCAGCATTGATCAGTTAATTTTCTCTTTGGTTGTCGCTTCCTTCATCCTTCTGCAATATTTTCTCGTAACGCTCTCAATCAAGTTAGTGAAATTGAAACCATGTCTGGTACTAAATCGTGTATGAATGCCTCGTTGCCCAAGCTTCAGCTTTGTAAACGGTTCCCAAAACCAACACTGGCAATAAGGAAGTTGCCAAACCCGGTACAGAAACAGCACGCAGGACTACAGACTTTAAACCTTTTAATATTATTAATCATAGAATGATAATAACGACGACATCTCATAAGTATAGGCAGCCCCAGAATGCAGACTCGATTCAGCAGAGCTTCAGCTGTATTTGGCAGCCATGTTGCTTTTGTACATGCACATGTAGGCATCACAAACAAGCCGGCGACTCATGTTGCCAAGATTCTTGCTGTCCAAAGCTGTCTGCAGAGTGGACGGTGTAGTGTTGCCCAGCCACAGGGCATGGTCGTGGAACACTACCACCTCGGGGATGTTGTGTCCATCCTCTGCACCTGAATAAGGACAGCAAAGAGGCTTAACACTGACGTCCCGTGTGCAACTGCACATGCATTACAGCTGGCATCGAGCCGCAGAAACGCAAACTATTCACAACTCTGTCTAGAGGTGGTGCCACTCGTTTTCCAAAATGGCGGTTATAATGAGGGTCAATGATGCATGCTGGTATACCAGTTGCTGAGCCTGTCTAGTGTGCTCTTTTCAATGAGTGATACAAATTATTCCCGCTTATACGAGGAAGCTAGGGTGTTATGCGCACAGGTAACCTCTTTATCCTGAAAACAAAAAAAAACTGTGTTTAGCGTAATGTTCAAGCCAGGAATCCGAGTCTGACAACAGAGGTGTGATTTTTATGGCAACACATGACGCATAGGATTTTATATTACATGCAGTGTTTTATGACTATCTTGATTAAAAAAAAACAAAAAAACAATACTTTTCTGTAAAAGCTATTATGGTTAAATGGCATATTTTTGTGATTGTGGCATTTACTAGGGACCCACATTATGGCAAATTGCATTAATAATAATACAATAAAGTTTTTCAAACTCTAATTTGTTGCTTACGAAAGTTATGATCTAATTTCAAATGTGCTAACAACTATGGTAATCCGAAGTTGGCAGATGATCATCACAGGTGCCAATTGCAGCAATCTTAAATAACAAAAAAAAAAAAGTTAAAATTAATAAAAACATTCTAGCCAACTACACCGCCAATCCTTCCAATTCCCCGAAAAAAAGAAAAAAAAAATCATTTTATTTTTATTACGAAATTTCTTAAAACATTTATCTTTTTTTTTTTTTATTACGCATTGCTGTTTTGCTAATTTCAGCTTCTCCAGTTCAAAGGAATGCCTACCCGCTTGCACGTCTGCTCACTGTAGCATGTTTCGTTGGCGTTGAAAACTGGTGAAAGAGTAGTCAGTTTTAGTGCTGCATACACGAGCGAATGTAAGCACTGCGTGTTTGCATCAGCGTTGCATTTTCCACGCTGAGGCAGTCTTGAATTGGCGCATGGCAACGACGCACATGACCAGTGTGGAGCACAAAACTAGCGCAAATGCACTACACTTGCGTTTGCTTCTATGTGCAGCATTAAAACTCTTAGTAAGGTACAATCCCCAACTGCAGCATTACATTGGAACAGTAAGAGTTGTTTTCATTCAGAAATGACTGTTGGCGAGCCATGACCACGAGCAGTTTCACCGTGCCAGCTGAGCAGGAGAACCAGGGGACCCTCACCAGAGCACTTCCCATTTCTGCCGTGAGAGGGCAAGCAACGAGTTGAAAACTGAATACCTATAACATTCTGGTTGTAGCCCTTCCCTAAAAGATTTGGCATGAAGGTGTTACAGTAATAGGCCAGCATTGCGACACCCTGGCTTCCTCAAGCAAACCTCATACCGGCGGTAACTGTAATGAAATAGTACTGGCACTCTTTCAGAGAAATTGAATGGCAAGTGAATGCTTTTGAGCTTTTTACACATCTGCTTGGCCAGCTTTGTTGCTGCCTCACTCATAAAATAGATCTGAATCTTGCACTCAAAATTGTGTTCATTTTGGTGTGACAGATCCCAGTGAAGAATTTCAAGAGGGGAGTGTAACCACCTTCTCGGTCGGCCATGCTGTCGAAGAAGACCCAGGTGCTGTCGGGGTCCTGACCACACTTGACGAAACAGACGTAATGACTGGTCTCGATGCAGACGACGGCACAGAGATCCATGTAATGCCTTTGGACAGGACTGTCTTTGCCGATGCCTTCAACAACCTTGAGGTTGCTCAACGTGTGCTGTACGCGGTCAGGGTGCTTGTGGACCTGCAGAGGACCAAGTGGCACGAGATGTGAAAAACAAATAAACACTCGCCACTCCACTGGAGAATGACTTCCCGATTGGTTTTCAGTAAGCGTGCAGGTGAATCCAAGTTTAGAGCCATTGTTTTGACTATAGCCTGTTGCAAAAGAATAATACACAGCAGGACAAGCTCCTCCCACAAAGCCCTCCACTCTTTCCACTTTAGCAGTGAGCATTGAAGAGGAGGAAACCATTAATCGTGGTGAGAGGGACTTTTCATGCTATTCTAAACCTGCTACAGACTATCAGTGTCATACAGTTAATACCCGTGCCACACGGGCAACTCGAATGCCATTTACAACGAATGACATTCGTGTGATTAACAAAGCGGCTCGCGATCTGTCGCGCGTGGAACGCCCCACGCTCGGAGTGTCGCGCGCTGATTGGCCGATCGTTTAAATGTCATTCGTTGTAAATGGCGTTCGAGTTGCCCATGTGGCACGGGTATAAGACCCTGGTGTGCCATTCACAACTGATTCAGTTACTCTGCAACTATATGCAGATTTGAAGCCAAACATCGGGCGCAACCATGGGTTCTTCAACAAACATGAAACTTATCACACGTAAGATCTGCTCCCGTTAGTAATTGGCATGCTAGTTCTCCTTTGCTGGATTATTTAATGAAGACTACAACATCACAATACTGGTTAAGTTTGTTAGTCTAGCTGTGGATGAAATTGCCGATGCAAGATACTTCTGGGTGGCTTGGCCGTGCACAAGGCCAACGCTGCTTTCCTAGGTACAATGACTCGAGAAATAAGCTTTCCTGAGGAGTCAGCCCTCAATAGTACCTCCAAGCATTTATGCGTTCACATAAAATAAATAAATGTTTGGAGGTACAGTCAGCGGCAATATGAGCTTGCCCCATTTAGTGCTAGCTGAAAAGGGTAGAATGTTGCATGGGGTGTCTTTAGCATGCTAAGCTATGAAAGTGACTGCCTCAGTGCGACAGTAGGAAACATGGAAGTACATCCCAACCTCTTTTTTAACAGCTTAACATATAGGGCTCGCCACAAGGGTGTTGTGCCACGCCGGGCTGAACGCCGCTGGGTCAGGTCACATTGCCACACCCTGTGCATCTTCCAAAAAGAAATTTAAGTGCATTGCAGTAAAGCATAGTAAATGTGTTGAAATCTGTACCATCTGCTGGTCTTGACGAAAAGAGTGGAACACTAGAGACGCAAAACAATGCTTCAAAGCACGAAGACGTGGCAGACTCATACCTCAGCCTGCAAACTTTGGGTGGCACCCATGTGATGCTCCAAGTCTGTATCTAAACAAACCGGAGGTCATCAATGGCACAAACTCACCGCTTCGCTGCAAGTGGAACAGTAGCTTGTACCCTCCAGACCGACATCGGGTCGGAAGCAGTCCCTGCACTCCTTACAGGCCAGCCTCCCGCACACAAAGCAAGACCGGGGAGCTGCAACGGGAAGAGGGCACTCGAGACGTCAGCCTTCGGTTGACCTGCTCAGCAACCTCACAAAGTATTGTGCCAAATTGCAACGAAAAGAAACACCAGAAACCAGTGGCTGTAGCTTTCCTTTAACAATGCACTGGAAGATATATCTGCATGTGCATAACCTTGAAAGGTGGTTGGCCGAGGGAAGACATGTTCTTTTTTTTTTCTTCCTTTAACCTCAGTCTTGGAAGTATGTTAGGTGAGCTTGTTCGATGTGATATGTTAGCAAAAAGGTGCCAAATTTAATTAATGGGCCAAGCAAAGAACACTCACAGTCCTTCAAGGCATCGGTGATATCCAACGTCAGGCTGGGAATAATGCGAGGGTACACCTTGAACTGCTTTCCAAACCGAGGCATCTGGATGATTAGGGCCGACGGGATCTAGAATGAAAGCACGTTGCTCGCTGTCGCAGAGGGTTACACACCTTTGCATTATTAGATTCTGAAATAAATGTTCACTAGTAAACATTTGTGTATGCACCCAATTGCTTTTTAGAGACCAAAAGTTGACGATGCTGAATTGCAAAAGCATTTTCACTTTTTGGTGAACTAAGAAAGTTGAGAGTACATGGCCTCTGAACCAAAAGGTTTATACACATTTTTGCCGTCCAAAATAATATGCGACTCCAAATTGGCTAGCAGAGTCTGGAGTTTGGCAGAGGGAAAGCAAAGCAAGCATGACGTCACTCGCCTCGTTTAGCTTGATGTTAGAGTCGTGGATAGAGTGATGAAACAACTGCTGCACAGTGGGAATGTTGGGCTCGTCAAGAAGCTCGTGCTTTTCCACAAACAGCTGGTACAAGTGTGTGCCTTGACCAGAACTGGACAAAATACGACACCCATTTATTGGAAAGGCCCAGGGCGCTGTGTACAATAACAGGGCATCATGTTTGTTAGAAAAATGTCTTGCTTACCTGAGTTTCAGGTAAGGCTCTACGCCCAAAGCCCTAAATAAAGAGTTGAGAAATTCTTCTGGGTCTGCACAAAGAGGACAAGAAATCGAGTTATGGTAATGTGACCAACTTTCAATGAAATCTGTACACAGCGCATATCTTGAAAGGAAGGGAAGCTTTCAAACACAAATTCAAAGACCCACCTTTTTCCTCGGTAGTCAGGCCCGACACACCTCCCTGAGCGTCCAAAAGCTCGCGCAGCTTCATCACCTTTTCGTGGGACACAAATTTTTTTCTGGAAAACAGAACATAGAGCACGGATACCTCAGCGTCACTGAATTAGTCAAAAAAAAGTTTTCAATTTGGGAAATTAACGTTAAAAGATAGGAAACAAATTAAAAAAAAGCATTGAAAAAAAGGTATGTACTTTATTTTATTTTTTCATTTGTTTTATTTTTTTATTTTTATTTTATTTTTTTTTATATTTTTTAATTCTTGGTAGTTATAAAACAATGTCTGCCAAATATATCACACAGCCGTAAAAATATCACCGTAAAATACTGAGCAGGCTTGCATTTGCACCCCCTTTCATTTTGCGTGAATTTCACAATTTTGTGCAATAGTACCAAGTAAGCGCCCTCCCGCTTCTTGCCGCTTTTGGACTTTTCTGCCAACAGGATTTCCTGGCTTCACTACGTATTTTAGTTAAAACTTGTTGCCAAAAATTATGTGTAAAAAACAGTCTAGCTTTGCTCCATGCTGTGTGTAGGTTCCCACCCAAAGCAAATGGAGATGCATAAACGCAGAACATGTGCATGCAGAACGGAAAATTGATAATGATCACGGCAGTGAGTCTTGGGATTTGTAACCAAGGTGTGGGCTGCCGCCCCAAAAAGAAATAGCAGAACTCTCGTTCAAGGGTTGCGAGATCACGAATGCGCTGGACCGTGTTCGAAAATGGCAAGCTGCACGACCACTGCATTGAAGCGCCAACAGGGACAAAGTTAAGGAGGCAACGACAACACGAAGCGCACTCGCAACTGAAAGTTTCTTAGAAACACACATACTTAAACAGTTCACTAAAACCACGTCACTTCCAGTCACCCTGCTCTCTCTCTAAAAATAAACTTTTCCTTATCTAACAGTGCCAAAGACTGTTCGCTGATACACTTAATGGCACCCCTTGTTTTTGACGACAAATGCTTTGTGTATTTCCCTAGTTGTTTTTCCACTGTGTCATCCCAGGATGGTTGTGTTTGAAAACAAGGGGGTGCACGGGCATCGATCGCAATATACGGCCAGATGCCCAGATGGCATCTGTTAGACATCTGCTGCGAATTCTCTAGCACGGTCATTTCATTAAGCAGCGGCCTGTTTGCCCTATGTAGGTGCGCCCGCAGGATACTGCGTGTCGTAGACGACAGAGGTTGCGGTCCGTGTTGTCGTTACCGCGCAATCTCTGTCGTCTACGACGTTCCACTTAGAGATTAAAATGCATTAGTAAATTAGCCTTTTAACCCCTTAACCATTTTGGAAGAGCCTAGCTCGTCAATATGGAGCCGCCCCCAAACCGTTCAGGACGAGTATAGCTCGTCTGCTTTTCCCGGTTCATGCACTCAACAGTTTTGGACTAACCAGGCTCGCTCATGGCTTAGTTTGCAGCTTTGCCAAAAAATGAATATTGCTTTTATACATATTTATTTTCCCCTTTTTTTGTCAGTGTGATGGAAGTATATATTTTTCAATTACTGAACGGTGTTTTGAAATGTTTTCTATAAGTGTATCATAATCACTTGTGCGAACCGGCTTGGTGATCAGGACGGAGTTTGCAGTGTGTTTTTATGTGTACTTTTTCGTGAAGATTGGTGTACTTTGCTGTACCACAGTGCCCTGCTAAAACCTCAATAAAATTGCAGTATTGAATAAAAAAAAAAAAAAGCTGTACTTTTTTATTTTTGCTTTTATTCTGTTCGTGGCTAGAAATAAGATTTTGAAGGCAACAAATTTTATATTGAAGATAACAAGTAAGCAGTTGAGGGTCAGAAATTCCCAAAAACTAAAAACGGTTAAGGGGTTAAAATGATGCAGACTAGACTACATTGTTTTACTTTTGCTGGAAGCTTTTTTTTTTTAACGTGACACATGTTTTGGCTTGTATCGCGGTCGCCAGATTTAGTTAAGACCCCAAAAATCTAAAGCAAAGCTCGACACCAATTGGCTGGTGGAAAGGTCACATAATCAACACGGATTGGCAGATTACGGTGAGTATGGGAAGCTCTGGAAAACTGCCAGGTTTTAAAGCCCGACTAGCGCAAGCATCTTCATTCCAGGGACCGCTATTGAGTTTATATGCCACGTGCAGTGATGGAAGCGGCATTTTACCTTTTGTAGCAGGTTCTGTAGCAGGCGAAATATTGGTTTGGAGCAGTCAACGACACTTTTGGAGCAGATGCCATCATCTGTTAGCACATCACTCGAAAATGACAGTGACTGCATTGCTAAATGAGCTAATGTTTGATACTTATTGAAGGTTCCTCTTTGATACTGTACCAGATTACTTATTATCTTTAATAATAAGAGTAGATAGGGCTTGAAAGGAACATGGAGCCTTCTTTTTATAAATAAAATTCTGGTCAGAGGAGATTCCATTTACAATGGGCACTCAAAAAATGGTTGAGGATGAATCATAGCGCAACACTTCAGTTGAGATAAAGCCTCTCTCTCCCCTGTCACTTTTACACCCGGTACTTTATTTAGCTTGTAAATATAATTTCTGTACAAGGACTAAAATAAAAACAGATATCTGCTAAAGTATGTCTATCAATAACCCCTCCCCAATTTATGAGCACACCAAACTCAAGGTACTAATATTATAAATTGCAAAAACAACCACCCACAAAGAGAACACGCAGCAGTAAAATTCCGAGAGACAGTCCACCTAAAATTGAGAGAAAATTAGGTGAAAATAAGGAGTGGGCTACCTTTCAATGTACAATCAAGAAACGTTGGGAAAAAAAATGCTACTTTTAGATTATGTGTCTCTGTCAAAGTTATCACGGCGAGGGGCAATGAAGATGACTGTACTTCCCTGTCAGCAATGCTCGCTTTTATCCCGCCATAGCTAACTAGACACATTTACGCCAAGGTCATCATGGATTCGAACACTACGATTACTAAGAGTGGGCTATCTTTTGGTGTTTAAAAGAAAATCGCAAATCAAGCCAAAAATAGGGGTGGGTTACCTTTCGCGGGTGGGGCATCTCTCGGGATTTTACGGTAGAATCAAGACCAAAGAAGGTATACACCTGGAATAGTTCTGAACATAATTTCCTAGTCTATTGCGCTAACCCAGGAGCTCACCCATGTCAGCCGCAGCTCCGAGCACTGCGGTGCAAAGCGGTGAAGCTCGACACGCGCGCTGGTGAGAGGCGGTGAGAGGCGCACGGAGATATGCGGCAGACACAATAATCAAGCGATCTCATCAGGAGTACAAGACTGGCTCTGTCTTATTAGCCCCCACCCCCCATTAGCAGCTGCCATCCTACTATTTTGCTATGTTTTCTCGTGACTTTTCATTCCTGCCATCGCTGACATCGTCTGGAAATTTAGACAATGTCGGCGATCAACCCGCCGGCGCATCAACCGGCCAGCACGGTTGATGAGCAATCTCTTCGTTTCACATTAATTCAAAGTGCAGACGACGCTAAGAGCCAATGGGACCAAGCAAACAGCACCAAAGCACTACATCAGGGCATTCGTCAATCTTCCTCTACATGTTCTTCATGAACTAAACCAATCAAGTACAGCGAATATGTCCCGTGACTTGTGCTTTTAGTATGTGCAGTTGTAGGTGTTTGAGCCTTTGACTGTGCCCTGTCCTAAGATGAAACAAACTAAACGGCGAGTAGAGAGAGCGTGAAATACATATTTGCGTCATTTTACCTTTCTTCCTACTTCACTGAACATTAGAGACGACCAATAATAAAATATTTTTACTTTTTGCTTTGCTTAAGCCTGTCTCGTCAATTTTTAGCGAATATGGGACTTGGGCGCAAGATGTAGCAGACTTTCGTTCATGGCGCAATTTGGCGCAAATGGCGCAGCACTTCCATCACTGCACGCGTGAAGTTATCTAGTGAAGAGCGCAGTGAGGCGTAGGTCTTGGTAACGTTCCAGAGTGATACCAGAACGTTTTTAACACAATTACCCAGCAATTTTCTACACAATTTTTGTGGCTTCAGTTTTGAATTTTGGGTCCTGATCCAACAAAGGGCCCTCTATCAATTTTCAGTGAATCATCTCTAAATTTTAGGGGGTGCTTGCTCGTTATTTTACAGCAAGTAATTGTGTGTTGACTAAACATGCTTTGAACACAGGGTGCCACTGTTGACACCCTTCATTCGCTGTGTTTTGCAACAATTGTGTCAAAAACTTGTCTATTAGGTGAGGTGCTGCAAATGTACACTGGAAGAATACATACAACTGTGGAGTCTCCATTGTAATTATGTTTCTACATTTCCTGGCTTTCCCAGGTTAAAACGATCAATACTAATGAGAATGATGCATCATTGCAAACAGTTTCCCTCTGCAAACTAAAAAAAAATTAGATCTGTGTTCTTCCATTCATACTTGCATGATTCTTAAATTTTACTGAGAGTTACCGATACACCGAAAAGTTGGGTTTGAATTGCGAATGAACAGAACAAGCTAACGAAAGTGTATGCATTCAGGTAACATTTATTTAAAAATTTCATGGACCCCTCCAATCTTCTCGTTAAATTCCCCCTCAATTTTAAGTTTTTCCCATTGGGAGCCACCCCGATTGCCAGCTATCACTTTTTAGAGTGCCGCTCTTAGGCGCCCATTTCCAGCTTGAGCAACGTCGGCGTCGCCATAACTGCGCGGTGCATTATGGGACGCGCGACGTCGCTGATGACTATGACGTCATTAGTGACAATGACGATGGCGTCATCACGATGACGTCACTGATGACATCATCACGGTGACGATGATGTCATTGTCATCGTCACGTGACCCCCGTGACGCGACAGCGACGCCACTCGGAGGGAGGAGTAGCAGACAGGATGAGGTGGTGAGGAGGAGGGACCAGGGGTACACCCTCCCCTCAGTACCCTTCCCTCCTCCTCCTCCTCAAAAGCTGCGCTATAATTCAGCGTTACAGGGAATTGTAAACGGCTTACATTTTTTTTGGCATACACATCTCTCATTTTCAGCCAACTGCAAACGAAGCCTCATTATTTACCAGTTGGTGCAATGCCCTTGAGGTGGCATTTATGCATCTCATGCTCCACGAAAAAGGAACCTCCTAGGTACTTTAAACCAAAACACCTCAACTTGGCAGTATAAGAAAAAGAAGCAAAAAAAAAACAAAAAAACCATGAGGCTAGTGTCATTTAAAAACGTTGCAGCACAGTTTGTCCAGGCGCTCTAATGTCAAGACACTAGTCGGCCCATAGCCTACTAGAAGCACTAGTACGCTCTTTGGGGCACTCAGTCTAAACGCAACAGACCTGCGAAGCTCGTTCACGATGTCATCCCTGAGCACCTTCTGGATGTCGCTGTACTCGTCAATGTCGCTCACTCTCTTTGGACGGTGGATCATGCTGTCGAAGACGTCTGTGCACGAAAACATGGCAAACAGCGTGGCATCCAGGTAGCACGAGTTGTGGTGGCCCTGAATGCCCCTTTCTCTGCCCACAAGGTCTTGAAGGCAATTAGCCGAGTGGCCAAGGGGCAACCAAGTCTGTGGCTCCTGCGGCGAGCAGCTCCGTTCTGCAATAGGATTGGCCCAGTTGATCAACCACCCTAAGGTCCAACCTTCACATTGGCTCGTGCAGTTAGGTTACCTTTCAGCTCGCATTTTTTCTGTACAGAGTCTGAGCAACTTGCGTCTTTCCCAGAGTCATTCGTTCGAGGATACACCAACTTTTTCTAGAGGAGTAGAAAAAATGCGCACTCAATGCTTGATACGACGAGCAATATTTAGCAGCAACGAGGTACCATGCAGGAAAACAGAAAAAACTATATTTTTCAGCTGAAGACCACCGGGTCAGTATAATAAAAACCACCCTATTTATGTGCATATAAACCATACACTTTTCCTTTCACTGAAAATTGGCTTCCACCTTTCGTTGTAATCGAACAAAAAAGTGAACCAAGCAGGAAGTTGAGATATGACTTTTGAAGGACTTTTCCAAAATCTAATCCATGCCTACATCTTGTAGTCCAATAGCACAGGGGGAGGCCATAAGGACCAGCACATTCGACAACTTTACAAAATTCAAATTCTAAACGTTCATACCTCAAATTAGGCACGCAAACGTTGTTTCACAAAAAGTTTCAAGTATATTTTGTTAGAGCTCAGCTCCGAGGTGGTGGAAGATTAAAAATAGAGCAAAAACCACAGCTGTGCATTTCCTATGTCCTATGCCAGCCTGTTCATTGTTTGCACACTGGTTTGGGAGTTTGCTCCCAGGTGGTCATTGTTCATTCATTTCGTTAACTATTACTTATCACAATTATCCTGCTTGTCACCAAATTCTACAAGACGTTGTCAGCGCTTTTGAGTTCAGCAAGCCACCCAGGAGCGAGCTCGCAAATCACTGTGCAGACAACGAACAGGCTGGTATAGGAGGTAGAAAATGCGTGGCCGCCGTTTTTGCTTTATTTCTAATATTTTATCACCTCCGAGTTGAGCTCTAAAAATATTTACATAAAACTTCTTGCAAAATGACAAACATGTGCCCGATTTCAGATATGTATGTTTGGAATTTTAATTTTGCAAGGCATGCCAAATGTGATGTTCTTTACGGCTGCTGCATGTGACACAGGGAGCAGCATGGTCAGACTTTACCTTCTGTGAGGCGTTGCTAGCTTGGGAGTCATGCCTTTGCAGATCTGAAAGCAATGCAATAACTGAAGCAACCAGACCAGAATGGACCAGTGCAAACATGACATGCTGAAACTGTGCTCCGAGGTTGCACATGGCACGAGGCTCCTCCATAATCCAAGATGTTGACGGGCCAGAGTTGACCAAATTGGACTGGTATATGCTCATGCAGCCAGAACTCGGTTCCTCTACTTCAAAAGGGTCATTGTCGCAACAATATTCAGAGAACAATACTATAAAAATGTCTCAAATTCTATTGCACTAGAAGCTGGTCTCACTCTCTGACTAGAGACATCTGATGACCATTTTTATTCCGGAACATGCAATGTAGGTGTTCTATTTCCTGCCCGCAACCTTATTCAGAGCACACTGCAGTGCTCCCTATTATGTTCCCAGCTACTACAATATATATATACATTTTTAATATAATTCATTTTATCGGTTTAAAACTCCGTGCCGTACATAATTAATTTTTGGAGTTGAAGATATGCCTCCTGAGATATTGCACTTACAATTAATCTTCATTATGAGAATTCCATAAAGACCAACACAAAGCAAGCACCTATGAAAACTACTTCCATAGAATGCAACACACCAACAATGCTTACACATAGTATAAAACCCCTTAACATTTTTTTTTTTTTTAATTTTTGATTTTAATTATTTTTTTCTTTTTATTGCATGTGCGGTTCATTTCTCAGCAACTCCGCAAACTAAGCTCTGAACGAGCCAGGGTCGTCCAAAACAGCCAAGGGGCAAGGTAGGGTGCGCGGACGAGCTACACTCATCCTAAACGGTTTGGGGACGGCTCTAGGCGGACAAGCTAGGCTCGTCCAAAACTGTTAAGGGGTTAAATAGAACTTACAATGCTTATAGTATTAGTAATGCCATTTGGCTTTTGGCTGATGAAGCCATACAACACTATGTCCAGTTTAATAGTTTTCCAGCCACTGTACATCAAGATACCACAATATTAAAAAAATGTATGCTCAACTTGATACAGACTTAGCCTACTCAAACATATTTACTTACAAACTGGCTGACCTTTTTACGAACAGAGCCCACATCAACTTTACCACTGAGTGTGTAGCGACGGATAATTAAAACTTCCAGCGAATGACGAGGCAAAGGTCACGCTTGGATTAAAAAAATGGAACCTGCACCAGGGCACTGAGCATGATGTTTGCATGCTCAAAATTTCAGAGCAGATCACATTTTGGAGCCCCAACATTTCCAGTGCAGCACCCTTTGCTCGTCTCCTTTCGTAAATAGCAATGAATAATCTCTTCATATGCATGGTGGGGAGTATGCATGTTGGCTTTGTTCATAAAAGGTCAAGCTATTTTCGAGTAAATATGGTAGAACAAACAGATGAGCGTAGAACTTCCAATAAGAAAGAAAAGATAATAATGAGCAGTGCCACCTGCTAGCGATAACACCAAAAAGGCTCTTGGGAACATTGCCTGCTGCTGGACGAGTCTTTAATTTACTGCGCCAGTGTGACAAAAAAACAAACAAAAAACTGTCAAACTGAGAGCGAGCAAGCATGCCTTCCATGCAGACCTGAATGCAGCATGCAGTTAACTCTGCAGTTACCTTTGCACTTTTCGTAAAGTGGGTTGACGTGATTAAAGGCATTGCTAGAGGTTAGTTCTAAAAGGAAGGTGCAAGACTGAGTGTTAGTCATTGGTACTAAGTTTTTCAGGGTGATAATCACGGCTTTATGCAAGTAACAGAGCTCATAGCTACCAACTGAGGGTTTTACAATATCCCACGCTACCGTGGTTATACTCCGTTCAGTCCTAAGCTAAGACTGCGGTGGGAGCTACGTGCCCACCGGACCAATCGGCCGCCTCCCTTTCATCAACTGATCTGAATTTGCGCGTTGGTATGGGCGAGAGCGTGATCAGATGGCAAAAGAGAAACGTGTAACCGGCTCAATGAGGACGCAACTTCAAGCGCAGTCTCAGCTTACGGCTGAACGGAGTATAGTTAGATGATTGGGTCAATAAGTAGTCTTGAAGGAAGCACATATTTATGTCTATAGTGCAATGTTAGCTCAACAGACAGACATCAGAAACACATCTCCTTACAAGGCAAGCACAGTCAAATTTAAAACTTTGCTTGCAATATCACACAAAGCACTACAACATTAAAGTGTTTATATCAGTACTGAAGTGCTCCTCTTGGACTTATTTTTGTTAATACACATTAATATTTGAAAGTTGAACGATTTAACTGAATTTGCCTAAGCAGCCCTGTCTGCCAAGCTCAGAAGCAGGAAACAAAAAGAACAATGTTAATGCAATCCTCACAAAGCATAAATTTACCCAGAAACTCACGTTCACGTTCAAAAGGGTCAGTTGGGCCACATAACTGGGGACATCGAACTGTAAAAAGATTTGAAAGGCAAGAAGGTAAAAAGCTTCCGTTGTCATCACAACTGAACAAACTTTTGTGTGACCTACAATACAAACATTTTAGTGCAAAACCCGAGACTGAGGTATTGACAGACGACGACAAGCAATACAAACATTTAAGTGCAAAACCCGAGACTGAGGTATTGACAGACGACGAGAAGGAAGAGAAGGAGAACGTCTCAAACACAGCTATATATACCACTGCAATCGGATCCCAGACATGAACGATGGATTAAACTTAATTATATCTAGTACTTTCCCATCAATGACTATGGGAAGGATTGAGAAAAAAAGAAGGGGAAAACATACACAACATCTTCCAATTGGGTAAGAAAGAGATTCGAAGCAGATCTCTAAATGTTGTACCACGACGAATATTTGAGACGTTAAAAAGTCCCAGAAAAAAAAAAAAAAAAATTTTTAACAGTCTGGTTGGGACACGCGTCACAAAAAATTAATTTTACGCACAAAAAAAAAATTTTTAGTGCAATATTGACGGCGCCAGACACGATTTAGTCGGCAGTCACCTCCTTTCCATTTGTTTTCTCTCTCGGTATTTTGGGCACATGGAAGAGAAGTCGATCGGCTTCGCCTTCACGACTGAGATGGTCATTCTGGAATGACCCGTGACGTCACAAACTTCGCGCGCAGAATTTAAAATAAATCTCTCGCCATCAATATTGCTCTAAAAAAATTTCTTTTTGCATAAAATTCATTTTTTGACATGCGTGTCCCACCCAGACTGTTTAAGAAAAAACATTTTTTTTATTTTCAGGGGTCCTTTAAAATTATTTTATGATAAAGGAATCATTTTAAAAAGCTGGAAGCTTACATTTGATACAACTGTACAGGGTGCAACACATTAAGCCCTAAAAGCAAACAGTGCAACAATGCACAGAGTGTAAAAGACTGGCAGCAGTAGCACTGTTGTCCGTCAGCTTTCTTTTACTCTGTCCATGTCATTGCACCATTTGTATTTTTTTATTTATTTTATTCATATACCCTTAAAGGCCCTCGTGAGAGCATTACATAAGGGGTGAGAGCATTACATAAGGATTGCGCTAGATGGTTCATTCTTAAGATTGAACCAACTAGCGCAATCGTCTATGTTATACAATAAGCCCAACTGTGCGATCGGCATGCACTCACGTTTTTATCATGCAGGCTAGTGCCTAGCAGGAAACTTTACAAGGCATGTTTTAAGCTGCACACCACATTAACAGTTTTTACAGCGAGCCCTTAGCCATACGAAAAAAATTTAAGCATCCGAGTCAACCGTGTTGTACATCTCTATAAACTGATGAAATCCAACACTAACATCAAGTGAGACAAATAAAAGATAATTTTGCTTTGAACAAGATATTGTTCCGAAGAGAAATAAAATAAATAAGAAGCTATACTTTATGGCACAAGCAGAGCTTAAAAGAGGCCCGAAATAATCAGTCAGAGAAAAAGATCAGCAGTCAAAAAAGGCATAAAACTAGAACGGACTAAGCATTTTTCTTGGTGTATGTTTCAGCTTCCGTTTCTTTAGGTTCTAGAATTGTATTTCTGATGGACACCTCAAACTAAGACCTCCCGTTTTCGTTGCTTTTACTTTATTTTTATGTACACATATACGTGTACGTCAGGACTACAATTTGAATATTAATACTGACGCTAATTGCGCCACTTCTGCTTTTGGGGTGACATGAAAGGCTCACACAACAAAACAAAGTACACAGTCTATGTAGTTGTGTTTAGATGAACTGCCCTTTACTTCCACATTTATATGTTCCAACGATTGTGCGGCCTGGAGTTGCGTCCATCATAAATAGCTATAATTAGATCATTTGGTCTTACTGAGGTAGATGCATATTAGTACACCTAATCTTGACAAAATGAATATTGCCCACCAGAATATCAACATTTGACCAAAGGACTCTGCTCTAATAAATGCCAACAGCTCCCTCACTGTTCAGTGTAGAAGACATGGGAACAAACTGTTTGCTCTCATCTAAGGGTGGAGGACAATAAAAGAAACAATATTCCTTCTCACGTCAGCAACACTGCAATGCTGAGGAAATCATCACAGGTGTCAAAAAGATAATAAAAAAAGAAATATCCATTTCAGTGAAAAAAAAAATTGTCAGCAAGAAAGAAAACAATATTCTTTTTCTTGCCGACAAGTGTTTTCTACTGACATAAATCCCACAAGCGTACACAATGTCGAGTTCTGTTTTGACAATATTAGGCTTAGGTAATATTAGGTAATTGAGAAAACAGAAAACTGTTTTCTCAATTACCTTTTTATCCAGGTAATGTCATGTTCTCACATATTCGCGTTCTATCCCAACCACTAGCGTCACATTCTCAAGCAGTTTAAGCTTTCTGGGATGTATTGTTCATTTAGCCGCGCCAAAAAACACTGTTCTCGTTTTTTGAGAACTTGCTGTACATCATCGGCTTTACATGGAAATGACATTCTTTTCTGCCACATCTTTGACGAATATAATATATGAATGTATGTATACTTCGCCTAGAACTCAAGTCTGGACGCAGCCAATGCTACAAGCGTGAGCATGTGGTCCTGAATAGTGCTTGCACTGCACGAGCGCACATACTTGGCAGGGACACAAAGTCCAGAGCTTGCTCTTATAGCTGCTGCTACGCAAACACTTAAAGTGAAATGGAGTATAGTGGTCGACCCCTAAAATGCCAAGAGTGTAGCAAGAAAGCAGCTGAACAGGTCGTGAAGTATTTTAACATGAAACACTCTTTGCATCGCTAAGGGGGGGGGGGGGGGGGGGGGGGGGAATCGCCAGATTTAGTAAAGCCCAAAAAATTGATTGTGAAGCTCGACGCTGATTGGCTGGTGAAGAGGTCACGTGATCAACACTGATTGGCTGATTCCAGTGAGTATGGAAGGTTCTGGAAAACTGCCAGGCTTCAAACCCGACTGGCACCAGTATCTTCATTCCAGGAACTGCTATCAAGTTTATATGCCACGTGTTAGCTGATGAAGAGCGCCGTGAGCGTAGGCGCCGGGCTCGTTTGCTATACAATTTTTATACTTCACCCCACCTGTACATTACAGAGTAAGTTTGGTGACTCCAGTTTAGACTTCTCATTTACCCTCAAACTAGGTCTCACTGAATAATTTGCACAATTAATGAGAGACCGAGGCAGACTAGTTTTTACTTTTCTGTTTGTGTAGGTAACCAAATTCAGCAGTGTTGGTTAAAGTACATCTAAAAGGTACTTGAAGTAAAGTACAAAGTAAATGAGAGGTTATGTACTTCAAGTAAAGTACTAAGTACACCGGGTGCAATGTACTATAAATACAACATACTAATGGACACCGGGCGTAAAGTATTATAAATACAATGTGCTTTCAAAGTAAAGTCTTTCATACAATCTTCCCCCCCCCCCCCCCATAACGCCCTTTCATTCCGTAATCGTTAATCGGGGATTTTCAAAAATGACGGCGAATATTCAATAAAGGCCACAGAGTAGTTGGTTTACTCCCGCTGACAAACTATTTTAATACAATCAATTTATAAGGCACTCATTTGTATAGGTCTTATAGCCACCATTAGTTCACTCAAAGAAATGACCATATAAGTGATGCGTCGTCTGCTTGCGTTTCTGGTGAGTAGAATATCACTCCCAGAATCGCTTCAGTTGACAAAGCACCATTTTGTGATACAAATATAACATGATCAAATTTGAAGAATGTAATTTGAAATTGGTAGTTGTACTTTCCTCACAAAGTAGCAGAAAAAATACTTCAGGTAAAGTACAAGTACAAACTTAGAAAAAGTACTTCAAGTAAAGTACAAGATATCTAAGCCTTCTTAAATTAAAGTACTGTAAAATAGTGAGCAAGCGCCCCCTCCAAATTTAGAGATTATCTAATCAAAAGGGAGAAGGCCCTTACTCGGCTCGGGAATAACATTCAAGATGGCGGCCACAAAAATATAAAATTTTCATAAAAAGGGAGGAGGCGCTTACACGAGGGGGTGCATGCTCTGTATTTTACGGTACTGCTTCAAGTACAATGCACTTTAAGTACTTCCCAACACTGCAATACAGAAGATCCAAACTGCATTTCCAAACATTAGATCCAACTGCAATACTTAAAAAACAAGCGAGCTGGTGATGATTCATGGTAATAAAACCCAGGAACACAGAAGGGGACGAACACAACACAATGTCTCATTGTGTTCGTCCCCTTCTGTGTTCCTGAGGCTCGGGTTTTATTACCATGAATCATTAGATCAAACACATTTCTAAAAAAATCCACAAACATTGGTCTCGTAGGGAAGTATAGCTGTGCATTTTTAGTGTGAAACTATTTAAAAAAAACTTTTGCTCACTCACGAAGTAAAAATAATAGTATTCACTAATTTCTTAGTAACTAAAATGTCCAATGGCTCGACTTTCTTTTCCTTCTCACTTTTGCTTTGAGAGATGTTCAATATATTCAAAAAATAATAACACCAATACTTTGCAAGCACGAATGAAACATTCAGAGTTTAATTTCGATTATTCGTGGAAATCAGCGCTATTAAAGCCATTTTCTTTTTTTTTTTTTTTTGGGAGGGGGGGGGGGGGGGGGGGGAGGGGGCGGTTACTGTTTAGCCTGGTTCGGAAAACACTGAGTAGGTAACCGGCATTCAAAACTAGCCCCACCCCCAACCTTTAAAAAAAAAGAATAAAAAACAAACAAACAGGAAACCGGCAATGTAATGCATTTATAATGCAATTAAATGCAAAGGTGCAAGCGAGCTGGACAAGAATGACGAAAGTAATCCCTGGAGAAGGGGAACAAGAGGGACAAAGGACGAACATAAATCTCCAAACACAGCTAGGTGACTGGTGAGCGACCGAAAAAATCCGCCTGGTCCAGGTATCGAACCCGGGACCTCTCCATTACAAGTGGAGCGTCGCTCACCAGTCACCTAGCTGTGTTTGGAGATTTATGTTTGTCCTTTGTCCCTCTTGTTCCCCTTCTCCAGGGATTACTTTCGTCATTCTTGTCCAGCTCGCTTGCACCTTTGCATTTAATTGCATTATAATTATAACCTTAAATTGCAAGCTTCACCCTTGTTGGTGTTCAACTGGTGGCAGCTGATAAAACCCGTTTGCTCTACTGACGTCTAACCCCTGGTTAGCCCAGTTGGTAGAGCGCTCCACTTGTAATGGAGAGGTCCCGGGTTCGATACCCGGACCAGGCGGATTTTTTCGGTCGCTCACCAGTCACCTAGCTGTGTTTGGAGATTTATGTTTGTCCTTTGTCCCTCTTGTTCCCCTTCTCCAGGGATTACTTTCGTCATTAATGTAATGCAGTCGCGTGATGCGACTACTGGCATGTGCGATGTGCGAGTCGCTCCTCGGAAATTCGCTCCGACGCCGCTGATTAGCTCAGCCGCTCCGCGACTAGATCGCATCGCAAAAAGTCGGGTCAGCTAGCGACTGCTGAAATCGCGTCGCTTTTTTTCCGCGATGGTCGCTTTTGCGATGAGTTAACAGGCACATTCACACAGGCGATGTAAGCAGTCACGCGATGCGACTAGATGGCATCGCAAAAAGATTTGATGGTCACACGGGCGTGCGCGATGGCGAGTCCAACGCCTTCGTTGGCGACAGAGAGAGAAGCGTTGCGATAGAAATTAAGGGAGGGGGGAGGGGGGAGGGGGGGGGGGGAGGAGAGAGCCAATAGTGTATGTCGTTTCTCGAAAACTCTCGGTCCGAACGCCGTTGATTGGCTCAGCCGCTCCGCGACAAGATACGAGATCGCATCGCAAAAAAAAAAAAAAAAAAAAAAAAAAAGTCGGGTCAGCAAGCGACTGCTCAAATCGCGTCGCTTTTTGCCCGCGATGCGCGACTAGATCGCATCGCCGGTGTGAATGCGCCGCCAGCCAAGCATGGCAGCCTTGCACCCGTACAACCACAGGTGCACGGGCCCGCGGTTAATCGTAATTTTTTTTTTTTTTTTTTTTTTTTTTTTAATGAGCATTGCAGATTTATGCAGAGGTCACGTTGGCTGTTTTAAAGTACGCTGACGATACGTTCGTGATTTCCAGAGCATGCGTATCGTGGCGTGCCCACGTCAACACGCCGAAGGCTAGAGGACCTTGTTTGCAAATTACAAAAAAAAAAAAATGCAATGCTAGTTTTTTTTTTGTTTTTTTTTTAGCTCGTTAAAATGTTTTGGTGCCTCGTCAACTTCGAATTTCCAACACGCACTGCCAAAAGCGTGTTTCACATGCAGCGATTTTGGCCCTAGAGCGGAGCGATTTCTGCCGTCGCGGCGCTCGTGCCGCTCAACCGCTGGTGCTGGCCAGAGCGCCGCGACGGCAGAAATCGCGCCGCTCTAGGGCCAAAACCGCTGCATGTGAAACACGCTTTACAAATGACGGTTCTACACATCTGTGTTTGCTTTTGCTCGCATGACGTTCAGCACTTAATCCAAGGTTTTTCCTAAATAATTGCCATCAAGCAAACATTGAAACACAAACGTCCAATTAAAAAGGAAGTATTATTAGAACAAATCAAGCTGCTAAAAGATAGCTCAGAAAAATATATATTTGCATACATTCAGGAACCGATATGCGCATAGTTGTGCACAGCGGAATGGACAGGATTAGTTCTTTATCACTCTCAAATGGACTACGACCCAATTGGTAATAGAAGGGGATAAAGGAATGCAACATGAACGCCCCATCCTTCCGGCGTTCAAGTTGCTTTCCTTTATCCCCGCAACTTTACCAGCACGCTCTGATTTGTAAAGTCTTTCGAAAGTCTGCCATCTGTTGGAAGCCGTGAAATCCCTTCACAGTGATGGCGGATCCGGACACAAGTGCGAGCTCCTTGCATTCGATTGCGCCTCGGCTGCACGAGGCACAAGTCGAAGTTACCCGCTCGCGCTATTTGCGCGCATGGATGAACTGCGAAGGCTGTGCAAGCGTGAGCGGCTGGCCTTGACTGCAGCACTCGCTGCACGAGCGCTCGTGCAGCCGCCGAGGCTTGATCCAAAGCAACTAGCTCGCACTTTTGGCTTGCACGGCTAACGATAGTCCATCGACGCAGTCCACGCCTTCCTTTCACGTCTCTTGCGCCGGAAGATCGAGTCACACGCTCGCGTCAGCGGCTTCGGGTGGAGCCGCAGTACACCAAGTATGGATCAGGGTATCTATAACAGCTTGGCACTATGCTTACCATTGGATTTTTTCCCCTCGGCAGGTCTTCCGTCATATGCCTCTAAGAAGTATCTCTTCAAATCGGCGTGACTTGCGAGTTCTATCGTTTCTAGATAAGCCTGTCCATCAATCCGCTCCGGAGCCATATCCTTAACGTCTCGTTGAAGAGCAGCAACGGATGAAAAGGCTCTTGCACACGTATTGCTAGTCTCAGAAAATACGTCAAAGCAATCCGAGTTCGTCTGGGCAACACTTCCACCATTTGCGGGGAGACTGTCATGATAAGGGGGGCAGGAAGTCGAGTGGAGAGGAGGAATCTCCCCGCTGCCACGGGCGACATCCCCTGATAAGGCCTCCCCCGATAAGTTCGTGTTGTCTGCTGGCTGCACAGTCAAGCTTGGGCGTCCCTCATCAGTGGCACAAGTTACTGCTCCTTGAAAAGATCCCGTGTGAGAGAGTGGGGGGGTCGCTTCAAACAAATCCTTCAGCTCTTGCTGCTGCTGCTGCTGCTGGAAACCTCCCTCCAAAGGTGAGCCAATCCAAGTTTCCGAGTCCCACTGCTCAGCACTAGACAGCGATTCGCAATCAGCTGAAGCGCAGCTGAGGCCTGCATCAACTTCCAATGCATGCCTCGAAACATCCTCTGGCGTTGCACAGTCGATATCATCAGAGCGATTCCATTCGGAACAATCGGGGTCAACGAGGAAAGCAGACAAGTCCTTTCCCGGGTCGAGTTTCATCACGTAAGGTGGTGACATGTCGTCAGAGTCCTTTAAAAAATCGCAGTTGTCAACAACCTTAAGAGACACAACATCGAGGGGGACGTTGTCATCAAACAGACTCCCTGTAAGTTCTGACAAAGAGAACGGAAGGTGTACTATTCGAGCATTGTCCGGTGCTTCTGACCACTTTTCATCCGGGGCTGACCAACCTTGGCAGGGACTTGCTAAAGCCTCCATGTTCTCCCATATATTTCTCCGAGAGTGCCGTCTGGGTGGAATGGGTCGCTCTAGATTAGACTCCTTCGTGCTTGATATTGACAAGTCTGCATGACAAACTGTAGTGTCATGCCCATTTGTCCACTTCTTACTTCGAGAGTGACGTTTGGTGGGAACAGGTTGCAGGTCTTGTATTGAATGTCGCTGTTCTCCATCATCCACTATAACTTCTTGCTTTTCCCTCAGTAACTCTCTACTTGCTGCATCACCAAAAGGAGAAACAACTGTTTCCCGAGTTTTAATGCCCCAACAAAGGGCGTCCGAGGCAGAGTCTGTGTTTTCGGAAGTTGTACGACCATGCACCTTTCTACGACGTCTTGGGGCTTCTATCGCCTCTTTGGGTTTGTCCATTACACAATGGTCACTTGCAATACGGTCAAATTGGGCTGGAGCTGTTTCTAAGCCAATATAATGAGGTTCTTGCTCACAAACCAGATTACTGTTTAAGTGATCATGCTCGGAGGGATGCACTAGAGACTCGCACGTCGAAGTCTGTGGGCAGGGAGCGAGCATTAAGCCTGGACCAGTGCATTGTTTTCTGTAAGAGTGCTTACGTGTAGGTCGCGCAGGTGTGGGCTGAATTGTTTTTAACGGCTCACGCCTAGCCTGCATAGCTGGTCTAACAGCGTAAAAAGCTCTACTTTCGTTGCCATTAATAGAAGGTGGCACTGCTGTACCATTTGGGACACTCTCTCCATGAGTCAAACTCTTCAAAGAAAGGACTGACGAAGAAGCACTAAGCTCATGATCCAGAGCTACAGCCCTCCCATTTAGCATGCATTTGCCGCTCCGAGAGGTTTCGTCCACTATGTCAGCACTGTGTCGTCGCCACTCATTGCCTGTCAACTCACCGGCTGAGCTTGTGGCTGGGACGGGAGGCAATGGAAAGCACTTGGGAGTGCTGCCGTCTCTCGACCCATCCGACAGCGAGTGCCCACGGTTGAGCGCTCCCTTCTTTTCACCAGATTGTGGGAACCTCTTGAACTTCCCCAGAAGAGCATTCTTGTTCAATAGTCCCTTCTCTTCTCTCTCAGACTCCCCCCAAGATTCAAGCTCTTCCTCAGACACGTCATCGAAGGCATGGCTGTCTGGCTCTTCCTCAGAGTCAAGGCAGGGCTCAAAGTGCTTGTCAAATTCATCCAGGATGTCCCGCTCTTCCACTGACATTTTCTCAAGGTCTTCTTCGCCCACAAAGGAACCATGCTCGAAGGTCTCCCAATGCCCATTTTGGCTTTCTTCTAGGCACCTTCGACTGCCAAGAAGCTTGACTCCAGTGTTGTCGTCCTTAATTATAGTTTCACATTCTGAGTCATTAGCCTCATTCCACCATAACCTGTTGCCATATTTCTTGGGTGCTTCGAGAAGGGCCTCATCTATGATAAACTCGGCAAATTCGTCTGCCACTTCTTCCAACAGAGACATCAACAGTACTTCAGTGTTCCCTCTTTCAGTCGCCTCCTGTTCAAAAGAAGGAGATGGCTGCTCGGTCCGAAGGAAGCCAAGTTGTCCAGGTAGTTCACTTGACATCCACGCGGTTGCCGGAGCTCTATATGCACCACGTGGAAATGAGCGTCGTTGTGGCAGATTTTCAGCAGGCTCATTACCAAAGTCTTTTTCTCTAGCATCACCTTTCCTTTGAGACTTGACAGGAGGTGGCCGATGTATGACCGATCCATAGACATCCTCAAAAATCTTTCCATAACTGAAGCTTTCAAAGTCGTCGTCGGCAACTCCGCTGGCACTAGCAGTAGTGTCAGAGTCGTCGGGCACCACCACAACCTGTTCCGGAGCAAACTCTTCATCCGCATCTGCATACCTAGAGTCTGAATCTGACGATTCCAGTTCCGAAGCTTCTGCGTCATAGTAAACACTGTGGGTGCTCCTCTGATCTGAGAGTGCCGAGTAGAAGGACTCTGCTCCCTCGGAAAGTGCGGAGCAAAATGATTCGGCACCCGGGCTGCCCTCCCGCGGTGGACTGTCTTCGAAGAGTGGCAACACATTCTGCCTCAGCCAGAACATCTTTAGAGCCTCTCGATTTCTCGCTCGCACAAACTCGGCGATAGTCACTTCCAGGCACCAGTCAAACTTTGCGGAGAACCATTTAAGAGAACTTGCAGCCCATACGCGCACGAGAAACAAGCACGTCGCAGAAGTGGCACGCACGCCTTGCGCTTGACCTTTCCTGTTTCCAAACAGCCCACACCCGCCTGGATACCTGTCTCAAACTGGAGCACAGTCAGCACTGGCGAGGGAGCAACCGGGATGCACTGGAGGGTGACGGGAGGGAGCTCCACAGAGAGAGACACTCTAAATTTGTTGTGGCGTACCCAAGCTGGGACGAGTGCCAACACAAGGGCGAGAGGGGAAAAAACCAAGAGGGAGATCGGCAGAGAAATGCTTTCTATTCCTGTGGTCTTCCAAAAGCAGCTAAGGAAAACCGAAGGCTTTTTCAGAAAAAGCTTGCAAAAAAACAAAACAATTTACATTAAAAGAAAGAAAGATGCACCATTCATCATACTATTAAAATGATTTAACAATGTGAGGAACTTGTGAAAATGTTGCAAAACCAAGTCTTCAGGATCATTTTTAGGCAGTCCTTATAGACCTGGCTGCAATTTTATTGATCCATGTGGTTAAAGACAGATTGGTCGAAGAAATTCTTCCAATTTATATCCACTCCTATGCCTGCCACCTAAATTATAATAGGTGTAACAAAAGATTTAATAATTTGTAACAATGCTTTGCTATGGGAACGACTAATCTCTACCATGCTCAGCACCTCTAATTGAGTTGTCCTTCTGTTTATGCTGAAGACAACCCTTCCTTTATTCAGCTCAGCCCCAAAAACAATATTAGCCCAAATGCACAAATAAAAAGCCTAATTACAAAATAAAAGGCAGAGATAAAATGCAACAAACATACAATTTGATGTTAGTACAGAATTTTACACACAGAGCTCCATCGTGACATGTATTCTTTGACTGCCTTTGGTATCGACACTGTTGTAATTTCTGTGTAAGGCAAAGTGTACTTCCACGCAGGCTTCTTGGCTGTTTGCAGCCAAGAAACCTGCAAGACTATCAATCAATATCTACATATCTAACCGACTAGGCACGTTTTCCTGCCCATGCAGAAACACTAAGCAATGACCTTACCTTGCAAATGATTGGGAGGGAGAGCCACCCTTGGCCTTCCCTCGTGTCGACTCAAGTAAAAGCTTGAATTACCATAATCCACTAGAAAGAAAGGATGCATCCATGAGGATCCATAACATGAACAAAGCTTTCTCAGTAATTTAAACAATCACATCTGCGGCAGGCGGCATCTTTAAAATGGGCGTCGTTCTTCAATGAAACAAGCAACAGTAAAAGCCAAATATAAAAATATGCAAATTTCTTTCTCCGCAACAGCAAAGGCACAAACAGCAATCAAAAGACAAATGCCAGCCCTCCAAGATAGATGAAACAACGGAAGCCAGAAGGAGAAAACCAGGACGCACCTTGTCCTGGAAAGGGAGCACCCCAGCTCGTCTGCTCCCCGAGGTAATCGTCTGCTTTGAGAAGACCCAGAAGGGGGATGAGAGAGGCATGTCCCAGCTGGGCCTCAAACAGCTGCCGATCGCGGTATTTGCCCGTCCCCGTGCCCACCCGGTTGTCCTGTCAAATCAAAGCCGCCAATCACCACACGTAACTGGCTCCTCCTCGCCACAAGCAATTTAGCCTCATGCAACGCACACCCAAAGCTGCATTTGGAGAATGCAAAGCAAAGTGCAAGTGACTGAACTTGCAGAAAAGTTCAGTTTTAATGGGGACTGGCAGACTATGACAACCCCAATTGATTTCTATGAACCATCTCCAGGTGCAGTAGCTCTAGGAGGAGCCAACCAGTTCACTCTGTATAACTGACAGCGATCGCAATGGAGAGCTTAAAATATTCCAAGTAGGTAAATTCCAATTAACATTTTTCATTTTAAATCTCCATCTGGTGAACCTTTTTGCCACCTTCTAAATGTAGTCTAGCATCAAATTTATGACAGCATTAGTAATGCACAAAATATTTATTTAAATTACAGAAACAATAGATCATGTTGGCTTGGTCACTCGGTGAGAGGGGACCAGCTCTAGACAATGCACACTTGACTATGTTAGCTGACCCTCAGGTTACATAGCATAGCTTGAGACAGCAACTCGTGTCATTCATGGGTGTGTGGGCATCTGCCTAGGGGACCAGGGCACGTCTGTCCACGTGCAACCAGTGAGCGCCGTCAAAGCGGGAGCCACTCACAAACTCGACTCCGACCATGAGGTCCTGGCTGGTGTCGTGAAGGTGGCCCAGCCAGCGGACAGTGCCATACTCGGGGCCGTGGTCGCTCACCCAGACCACGCGGTCATTGACCCTGAGGGGCACCTCCAGGGCCAGCTCGCACAAGCCCAGGCGCTCATGCTGCGGCGGATCCGAGCGAGTCACGCCTGGCAGAACCTTCTTCTTGGAAGGCAACCGGGGAGCCACAGAGTTGGGCCCTGCACCCAAGAACAGTAGACGCGCACATCAAGACTATCCATGATCAGCGAATACAGTCTAATCATGTGGAGAAAACATGGTTCACTTTCGTATGCCAATATAATTCTAAAAAAAAAACTGTGTTTTAGTATACTTTAGAGCTGAACAAGCTAAGCTCACAAGCTGCATGCCGCCCCAGGTGGTGTTCCACACAGCCCCCACTCAGCCCCTTTAGTCTTTAACTACCTGTCATCTATAACTATTATATACCGTTTAAATTGTGAATCAAATGATACCATTCTCTCTAAATGGCAACAAAGTGGATCAAATTATACGAAAGAATTACACATAACGGACAGAGTATGGACAGCACATAAATAAAGAATTCGCAAATCTTCTGTGTACCCCTTGTACAGAGCAGGACACGGCAGGAATGAGCGAAGGCCTGTGTTTCCTCTTCTTCTCTTGCCAACAAGACTTCCATCAAAACTATGAGTGCGGTGAGATGTGTTATCTGGTACAACTACCAAAGTGGTAAAAATTAATCTTTATCACTACTTTATACGAGCGCAATAAAAATTAGCACCATATGTAACAATATCACTTGGACATAATATGCAAGAATACTTTCACCTGCAAATTAATTTTTCTACAAACAAATATCCTTGCAGAGGAACGCTTTGAAGTTGATTTAAAGGATTTCATTAACAACGGTTTCACCCGACATGACTTCCAATCTTCATTCATTCATTCATTTGTTTATTTTTTGCGCTTGTGAACAGCTTTCATATTTTTAATGATGCACAATATATGCATAGCAAAGAAGCAGAGCAAGTTCTAGAGATTATTAATGCAATAAAAGATGGGTTAAAAACGTCAATACATGGATGGATCAAGAATTATAGAACTTATCATAGTTCATGCAATAATTTTTATTCTGAGTCGTGTGTTTATTGTAAAACAAAAAGGGGCAAAAAAAAAAAAAGCTTATCTTTACAGATGCTGGTAGGTGGCTCCCAAAACCTGTCTACCTGCAATTGTTCTTGTGACTCAAAAGAATGCAAAAAGTCGTCACCAGAATGAATTCCAAGTTGATTGAATGAGGGGAGGATGCAAAAGAAGGAAGTCACAGAATAGGTTTGTCACAACAGGGTACCCAGGCACTACCTATCTGCAAGCCTTGTTGCTTTTCCTTACGCCTGTCAATAGACGAATGGTTTGAAAAACCAAGCAATGTAAACATAAAAAAAGTATTGTAGAATATTGCGCATCCACCCATTCCACATTAAGCGCCAATTTCCAAATTTGTAAGATATGAGGAAATATGCGCAGTACATTTATATGTCAAATTGATGACCGGACAAGCGCCCATCTCCCACAATTATTTCTAAATTTTGAGTGGGCGCTTGCCCGGCATTTTGCAGTATAATATTTTTGCAAGCTGCACGTTTTTGCTGATGGAGTTACTCAACAGGTTACATTTTAACGAGTTTATTTCTTTTTTTGAACAAAGGAGCAACGATATAGGTGATCCAAATTACACCATTACTGGAAATTCCATTAGCTAGAATTTCAAACACAGGCTCCATTTATTGTCATCAGAATTGTTCTGGTTACTCCGGTCAATTCAAGATGGCAAACACCAGAGATATTTTTAATGTGTACATGCTCCAATCAACTGGCAAATAAAGAGTGGTGCAATTTCCTCCATGGAAATTGCACCATGATTCATTTGGGTTAAAATTATTGAAGGGTTAGCTAACGTTATCAATTGAGTAACATAGGAAAATACATTGAAGAAAGGCAAGGGGAAAAAAGAAATGGCACACTGTGTTCTACTTTTCCAGGTTGTCTGCCTTTTTGTGCAATATGCAGTCAATCCCTTAGATATATATATGGCTTCCACTTGGTGTACCCAAGTAAAACAAATAAACACATGAAAATAACAAAGCAAGAACAAAGCAAGAACAAGATGCATAACAGCCAACATTTTGCAAATGTGCCTCAAATGACTGACAGAGTCATGTAAACAGTCAAAATATATTTTTAATTAAATATTGAATTTTGCATATCTTTCCACCTTTTATGTAAATGGCATGTCTATGAAAGATGCTTATAAATAAGAACAAACTGCTATCTGGGGTATAAATAGCCTCATTAGTATAAATCAGAATGCAAAAAGACAATTTTACACTGGCTAAAGGCATAATCCATCACATCTAGTTATTTATTTATGTTCACTAAAAGCCCTCTCAACCAACATATGATTGATTCTTCACACTTAAAGTTACAGTGCAAGTTTCTTGTTATAAATCAAAATGCTGCATTCAACCAAGATTACAAATCAGCATGCTACATGGCCAATCCCAAACCTGTACAATTTTTTGCAGAGCTGCTGAAGTGGCATTGACCAGCAGAAATAATAGCACCTACAACATCCCTTTAGAAAGTAGAATAAATTACCAACAGAAACTAAATTAGCAATCAATGCACTTTTGTAGCCATAGACAACAATTAGACTACAATGCAGTAGCTGGAATGAAAGAAACATAAATGACGTTTGTCTATACTGTGCTCAAAAGCTCCAGGCTGGATATTCTACTTATGCTGAATTTGAACACCTGGGTCCAAGTTCATTATAGTCCAAACACCCCTTTAAATTAACATCCCCTCAATCTGAGGGGTGTTAAAGGAGAGAGGAGGGGGGGGGGGGGGGGGGGGGCACCATAGGTTTGTGCACTTCGCTCGTAAATTCTTGTTGGGTGCCTGTGGTGTTCGATTCAGCACCAAGATGATCATTAACATCAGCCTTTCTCGTTAAAACATTTTGCAGGTGGAATCAGTTGCCAAACGATCAAGCATCTCTTGAAGCAGGTGTGTTTCTGTTGAGATTATAAGCTCCCTGCATTATTGCCTTAGTGCAAGAGTGATTGAGATAGAAAGGAATAAAGAATGCACTTGTTCAACCTTCCCTGCTTGACATGCTTGTTTAAACACCGTTCGGTCGTCTGCAAACCGCCACAATGTCAGCACCTAACCTGCTTTGGCATGAAGTTGTCGTTTTGTGACCGACTCAGGTTTTCTGTCAGAACAACAAATTGAAGTTGATTTGAGTGCAAAGTTCCCAGAAGAAATTACTGCTCCACATGTGACACTGAAAGCCCAGATCGTGGTTTTCAGCTCGAGAACCTCTGGACTAGAATGAAGAAAAAACTGCTCCATGAGCAAATATCATACGACAACATCTGAGCTGGCTGACAATAGTCTATGCCCTGAACAGTTTGGTGAATGGAAATCCGGCCGACTGCTAGTCCCACTGATCCAGCCAGGGAAGGCTTCCGAAGATGCCAAGTTTGCGGCTTGGACCAAGCTTCTGCCCTAGGGGCTGTATCAGCCAGTGGATGGTGCCTCCCCTACACGATAACACGCAACGCCCACAGGGGGCAGCCCACGGTAGCCACACACGTGGCCATAAGGAGGAGCAAAGGGGCAACTCACGGGGCAGGTAAATATCGCCATCTTTGGGTCTCCGCTTCTTCGAGCACATGCAGTTCATGAACAGGCGCGCGTGGCCCGGCCCCTCCCCCCCTCTGCCAACTGCGCGGCCGCGCGGACCCGCCGAGCGTGCGTCACCAGGGCCCGGGGGAAGGCGAGCGCCCACACGAAGAACACGAGCGGCCGTCGGGCCACGCCAGCACTGGTACGCTCTCGTGCCTGGCGCTCGCGCGACGCTCGACAAGAAGCGCGCAGCAGGAACGCCGGCGTAGCGGCGGCGAGCCCCCGCGTAGGTGCGGCGTAGTCGCCAGCGGGCGGCAACGTCACCGTCGAGCGCCGATCGCGCACGCCGTGACACCAGCCGTTCGCGTAGCAGCAACATCCGACTCTTTGTGCCGACCCATTGTACGCGCCCGCACCGCGCTCGGCGTGCAAACGGGAGCGTGGCTGTCGTCGACGCAGCCCGTCAACCGTGCAAGCGCCCGCCGGGGCCCGCCGCTTCCGCGCTTCCACCAGCCTGCCGCAGGGGCCACTCTGCCGGCTCGGCGAAAGCTTAAAAATAGGCGGCCACCCGAGCAGCTAAACTGGGAACTCCAGATTTGAGGCCCCGACCTCCTCCTCCTCGGGACGCCCCGCAGACGGTCGGGAAACGCGCGTCCACAACAAAGGGGCCTGCGCGTCCCAGCGTCCACTAACCAGTAAAAAGCGTTCACGCTATTAATATTCCGCGCGCGAAGAATCCTCGGCGAAAAACGGCCGGCTCGCTGAGCGTGACCCCAATATGGCGCACGCGCGTGGCCCGTCCCTGGGCCGAGCCCGCAGCCATTGCGTTTGCATATTCGGCACATTAGCCGCGCTTCTACCACGTCGCCTTAAGTAACGACCGCGGCTCGAACCAAAGCGTAGCTGTGGTTGGTGCGTGCCGTGGGTTTGGTGGAGCGACGCGCCAGCGAAGGTCCATTGCTAAACCGAAAGCAGTCATTGCCAAAGCGCGGCACGTGCGCAGCGCCCGCGATGTCAACACGAGGGCGCCTCGCTCTCCGCTTCCCGGGAAAATGCGACCAATCGGGGACCAGGATGAAACGGCGGAACTCAGGTTGTCCCACTGCCATGACGTCAAAAGCGGCGGCGTCGAAGTACGAGCGAACGACCGAGTACGGAATGTGCGTGTCGCGGGGTTGAAATAAAATGCTGTTGTGCGATGTGCCGACCGAAGAACCGTATGCTGGAAGACCCTGAAATAATCTCGCTAGTTGACCCCCTAAAACAGCTTCAACATCGGCCTGTTTCACGGGTCCCTATCGTTTCGTCGAAACTCGTTTCGTGGACAACTTTCATGGACACACGTTTCGTCGACACTCGCCTGCGCGCGGCGACCGACAGTCTGCGGCGGCGGCTTATTACAAAAATGTTAACCCACCTGACCGACCCGTACAACCCGCTTCGCGGAGTCACACTCCTGCAGCTTATTAAAAAAAAAAAAAAAAAAAAAAAAAAAAAACTAATTTGAGCTGTTGATGAAACAATCTGTAGATGAAACGTCGTTGGATGCAGTGATTGCCACCGCTAAAAGAATGCTCTGCAATAGGAGGCTACACCCTCTAAAATGCTAAAATGAATTCTCGAATCTCTTTGGGTCTTCGGATAGGGGGGAGGGGGGGGGGGGGGGGGGGGGGGTAGTTAACGCTTTTTGCAGTTATTTTCTTTTTATGTTGGCTGCTCTTTCTGATTTTATTAAAACACTGTTGTTGTTGTTGTTGTTTTTTTCTTTCAAAAGTGGCACTTTATTTGTTAGGAAATTTTCATTCACAGACTTAAAAATGACAAAATCGTGAGCTGAAAGATACGGGCTCACAGAGCACTGACCATGATAAATCTCTCGACCATCGAGAAGTCGCAGATCTTGTATCGAGACACACTGCTTCCTCTTGATGGGGTCATTGGTTCCATCCTGCAAGGAAAGGTACAAACACAATATGTATCAAATATCGATGAGAACGCAGTTTATTATTTACTGGCTGCAGCCACTGAGGTTGCATATCATGATCAAAGGTTCCTCAAACCTTCTAATGTAATGTTTAAAACTTATGCAGAAATATTTCTAACAATAACTGGAGCAATAAAAAAGACGGCTCAGCCTGGAAAGTATACACAAAACCAACAAAGGTTGCTTTTCAAAAACAAGCATTGCACTAACACACTCGAGAGTGATTGAAAGAGCACTTGTAAAGATTTACTCATAGAACAATACTTATTCCTTTTAAGTTCTCTAGGTTCTCATTATTTCAATATACACATTTTCTTCCTCTGTCTAAACAAACCTAAAGATGCATTATACTGCTAAGCACCTGTAACCAGGGCTTAAAGTCTGGGGGGTCTCAGGGGGTCTCGGACCCCTTACTGATTTTAACGGATGGTCTAAGACCCCCCTCCACAGCCCCAGCATTAGTGAAATCAAAATCATATCTTGCGATAAACTAGCTTGTTCTCAGGGATGTGACATTTAGAGATTAGCAATTTGAGGGTTGCAGGTACAGCGTGGGCAGAGTCAGCAATGGGGTTTGTTTTATGTGCATCTAATACATCTCGTCGAACCCCGCACCCCCCCCCCCCCCCCCCCCCCCCCCCCCTTCTTGCAGGGACCCCCCTCAACTTATGGGAGGCTTTAAGCACTGCCTGTAACACTTAAAAGCTGCCATTTTTTTTTTTTTGCCGGTTTTTCTAAAATTACAACATAAACAGTGCATGGTTGGAACTGCAGAATCTGCATGTCACCTCATGTTCACTTCACATCCAACCTGAAGATTTATGCAAGCATACTTTCACATTTGAGCTCTGAGAAGAAAAATAGAGCTATGTGACCTCCTTTTGTGCATTCTGGTAAAACCAATGGGGCAGTAATGCTGCCTTCAATGCCGAATTTCCAGGCTACAACACTGGGACAGTGATGGCAGGCTCTTAGAACATTTAATATTTTGTGTAAACATGCAAAGGAAGAGCCTCGTCTATGTTTCAAAAGCCTCCTTTTTAGGACTCCCACTGGGGGAGCAGGCCAAAAAGAAAAAAGTTTAGAAGGGAAACTGGGAAGTTCTGGAAGCAAAGGGCAGCCCATAGATGGTTGGTGTCGGAGGCTGGCCACTCATAGATTGCGGGACCATGGTGGGTACAGCTCAAAGTTATGTACGATGAGCTTGAAACTCATTTATTCATGTTTAGAATGTGTTTGGAGCATTTGTTTATGGTGAAATGCATTGTCTTTTTAACAGCTTGCACTATTCTAATCACAATAAAAAAAGAAAAAGAAAACTTGCGGGAATTTAGTTTTAATTTTATAAATGTGGCCAAAAATGGCTAAGATGGGGTGTAAGAATAAAACAGCAGTCAGGTCCTTGTCCCGTCTCCAGCACGACCATCCTACCTTCGATGATACTTGGGCGTCTCGTGAGCTTCGGGCGTGCACGTGCAACCAAAGCACAATTCGGAAAGCAACGACCGCGTGCTGGAGGCTGGGCATTCGAAAGAGACACCTGCGCGTCTTGCCCTGTCAGTGACAATAAGAGTCAAGAAGGGGTATGCTTTGAACCACTGATCCACACAGATAGACATTTACTCGGCATAGCATGGTCCAGAAGACCACGAAGATAGTCACCAGGGCACCTCGCTTTCGGCCCGATTATCTTAGCATTTGACAGTGGGAAACTGCAGGTCTATGGTTATCTCCATGGTCAATTGGTAAGGCAACCAATACATTGTACGCTTGAAGTAGTCAATATCCGAGGGCATCTTCCCTAAAAGCAGCATACAGACAAGACAGCACACTCGCATTTTCTACGGTGCCTTAACCTTAGCATTTCCTAGACCGGTGTTCGGGTGTTTAACGTTGTTTCTACACAATAGAAAAATAAATAAGTAAATAAACTCACTTGTATCTCGACAATAAATCGGATCCCTGGTCCATACTCTTTCACCACTCCCTTGAACTTGACGATCCCTTCGACTTTGTCCTTTACAATGACGCGCTTGTTCTCACAGATGACGGGTATCTCCTTGAGCCAGTCGTCGTCGCGGTAGATCTTGAGCCTGTTCCGAACGGGCTTGACGGGCAGGAGCACCAGCGCCTCGAGAGGAGTGAGTTCCTTGAGGACGTCCCTCCGGCACAAGATCGCCGTCGAGTCGCCGGGGTCCAGGGACTGCACCTTCATCTTCGCATCGTAAGGGTCGTCGCCCAGCACCTCGAAGAGCGTGCCCGCGTCGAACCTCGGGTTCTGCAGGTCTCGGTCCAGAAGCACCTTGGGCCTGCGGCTCTGCGTGGGCCGGTTCATGCTCGCCGCGTGTCGCTCACAGCCGCGCAGCTTGTCAAGAAAACGGACATTTCCCGTCTACGAACGCCATTCATAAGGCTCGCTTTTCAACGGTGCAAGTGCCGGGAAGTCTTCATAAGACGGAAGGCAGCTCGTCTAAACCAAGTACGATCACGTAAAAATGTGGAAAAGCGCGAGCACAGCTCAGTGAGCAGGACGTCAATTGATTGCTCCGGGAGAAGACATCGGAAACAACGCCTTGGGCTTCAGACTGCTGCACGAACGAGCTCGAGATCGAGTGCCGTTGATGCTCATCTTTCCTCCGAAGCTTCAGCCGTGTTTTCCCTTTTCCTGTCTCCTCTTTAGCTGTCAAACTTCGCTATCGCACGCGCTGCAGATAACGGACCCGACGAACCCCAACAATCATTGCGAGCCGCTCGAGCGCTGCCAGCGCTGCTCATCGTTGTAACAGGCCAGCAATTCTAAGCCGCACGACCACATCATAAAGTAAGCGAAACTAAGTGAAATTTCGTAGAGTTCAGCCTCCTTGGGTACAGCGCCAGAAGTTGGAAATAAATGATATAATTTATACAAAAAAATATCATTATTTGTAATTTAAAAATTCATAACGTTTGCGTTAATGTTGCTAAAGCTACAGAAACGTGTACGCGGCGTGGCCATTCTCCACCGGGTGGCCAGTTGCGGTGGTTGCGGTTGTTGTGGCGGAAGCGGCCATAGCGGTAGCGGCATTCAAATCCGTTCTTAGCCACCATGGTCATCATAGTTCTCTCTATTGTTTGAAAATGGACACCGCTCGTGGCGTTCGGTCACGTCTCCCGGCGCTGCCGAATTCAAAAGGGAGTATGAAGAAACCCAAAAGTGTTCCTAAGGTGAGGCCATCGGCGACCAGGACTGTAGCCCAGCGTGCTGCGCACAGACGCATGGAGGCAATCGTGCGCAATGTTCACAACTACTTCAAACATCAGCGCGACGTATTCGTGCAAGACTTGAAATGCACGTGCCCCAGCTGTACACGCGCCAAGTCAGCCGCCGAGCCCGTCTCGCAGCTACCGTTCGCGGCAACGGAAATGGCCACCGGAGTCAAGAAGAAGATGGTGTACCGTACTCTAAAAAAGAGCAAAGGACAGGTGCGGAATCGAACCAACTTGCTCGCGCGCCGTTGTAACGCGGACCTCTTGGAGGGGCAGCAACTTCGCGCCATTCTCGGCAGTGCCTTTCGTCAGCCCGAACTTCTGTACTGGTCTAACGTGGTTCGAATTGCGAGCGAAGATCCGCACGGCATCGCGCTGGAGCATCTCGAGTGCATGCTCGAGACGGCGGGGTTCGTCTTACAGCCTTGGAATAATCAGCTGGTGCCCATTGAGAAACGTTGCTTAGTGGAGGCGCGCGCTCGCTATCTCGACGAAATCGAAACCGCCCGGAAAGAAACCACAGTCGTCTACATCGACGTTTGCTGGCTGCGCGGCAGGCGCCTGCGACGCGACCCCAGGCCGGGGGGAAAGTCCAAGATCGTCGCGTTCGCGGGCACCGCAAACGCAGTTTCGGACGTGGTCTTCAAGTTGGAGGTGCGTCCGAGCGTGAGTGAAGTCGAAGACGCCTTCATCTCCTGGGTCAGCCAGCTTTCCCGCGACCTCTCGGAGAGATCTACCTTGGTCTTCGTCGACATCCCGTGGCTCGCCACCCCTGCGGAGCAAGTGCCTTCTGAGGTGACGCCCAAAGTAGCGATTCTTCGCTGGCTGTCGGAGCGAGCACTAACCCCTGACGGACACGCGACGCGCTGGGAACTTCTTGAACTCGTCAAGCGACACAGTGGCTGTGTTCGTGAATCGAGGCTGCACACAGTCGTAGGAGGGCATGGACACCGAGTTCTCCGGATACCACGGAGCGCTTCCGACTTGAACCCGGTGACTCGCATCTGGCCTCTGCTTGAGGGCGCTCTGGCGTCGGAGGAACTGGCGGTTTTGTCGGAAACCGCAGTCTGCGAGGCGGCTCTGAGTTCCGCAGCCAACGTCTGGCGGGAGCTGGTCAGCCAGCTGCCCGCCCTGGAAGAAAGCTACCGCTTTTTCGACGCGTCCATGGCGAGGCTACTCGCGGAGCTGCCGCCCAACACCTGCCCGGATCGAGACGATTCGCTGGTATTACCTGGAGCCTAGTGGGCCCTTCTATGTATTCCTTGGTTCATTCTACTTAGCCAGCGTGTGAATCATCTTGGGTTTGACTACTCCAAGTAGGTGGAATATGTGCAAAAGTGCTGGGGGTACTGCAATGCTGTCATTACCCTGACACTTCTGCGTCTATTCCGTAGGTCCATACAACGCTCTTGCTCACATTCAGTGCTTCAGTCCAGTCATGTCATGTCGAAACACATTTCGAACTTGCCAGCATCGGTTTTATGGAGATATATTCTAGCCAAGTTATTGTTTTCCCAAGGGGGAGAGCTGTTTACATTTGTGAGTTATACGAGGTTCCTTGTACAACAGCAGCTGTGATATATCTGTTCAAGATGCCGTGATATATTGTGCCGTGATATATTGTTTTTAAATCGTCTGTTATTTGTACAAAAGATGTTGCCAAATGCTTACAAACCTTTGCATTTTTCTCCAGGTTTGCAGACATGCACCCCAGATCGCAGAATCTGAGAGGAAGAACCTAAATTCTTTAAGCTATAATATAACTTTTGAATTCCACCACAGTGCATGCACAGGCTAGTCACTCCCAAACCTAGTTTTTTGACAAGCTTGTCATGGTGGTGGAAGTGCCACCTTATGTAGTGATCTTTTCCAGTGGTTTGTTGATCGTACTTGTGCAATAACAAGCGGTCATCATAATCTTTGTTAGACAATTGTTTGTGTGAGGTAGCAATAAAGCCAAATCCCTTACCTTGTTGCCAGTAGGCGTTGGTATACAATGCATATTTACACCTCTTTTATGTGGATACTCCGGCAAGTTTCAAGAGCAGTAATTATAGGTTAATCCAAAAGCAACGGAGCTAAATGCCTTTCCTGTTAGCCCCTAGTGATGACTTAAGATCCACTGTGTGAAGGGCCACTTACAATCCCAACATCAGTATGTTTTGTTTATGGTTGCAAACTAATAGAAATGATGCTGAAGCGTCGTCCTAAAGATTGTAAGCTTCGGGTTGACAAACTTGCAGAGAAATAAAAAAAAAAAAAAAAAATGATTTCATACTTCTACTTGAGTCAATGATCTAGATGGCAAAATGGTGCATGCCTCGCCTTTTTGGACGACTGAAACCGCAAGTGCTGTTCAACTTGCTGTTCGTCCGTCTCATCAATCGCGGGCTTGTGCGCCTGTGAGCTGACAAACCATGTGCCCATTTTGCTGTGCACTAACCGTGTGTTCTTTCTCATGTCACTTCTCACTTGGATTTTCATTTTTGAGCAGTGTTCTATTCTACTTAGCCAAAAAGGCTTCTTAAAGGGGTATAGAGAAAAACAAAGCGTTGCAGACTTTGATGAGTGACACGAGGGGCAAAGTTGCTTAGGTGATCGCTTGACAATTTCACCCTCAAAGTCCGAGAGTTTATTTGGCAGCAAAAAAAAAAACAGCTCGTCCAAGCTGTCGCCAACCTCCTCGTTGTCCTTAAAGGGATACTTCAGCGAAATTTGAAATATTCCCGTCGTCTTCAAAAATCGGCTGAATATGCGTTAGCGACATCCACCAGGTGCTCTTTGCTAATCGTTTCATTTGTTTTAAAATTCCTTTTCGTGACTTTTTTAACAAGATATTGGTATGTTCGATGTGATATTGCTCCTTTGAACACATATAGACCAAACAATGAGCGCCGAAATTTCGTTGTAGTATCCCTTTAATACCTTGGTACAGCCGTTGGGTGCCACCACATTGAGAGCAGGAAAAAACCTGGACACGGCCGATGGCTCGTCACTAGCAGGGGCGGATTTAGAGGGGGGTCCGGATGTCCTGACCTCCCTCTTGGTTTCTGCATGTGTAAAATTTAGGGCGTGAAACGAGGGAGGGGGGAGGGGGTTCCTAAACATATGGTACGCTGACCAACACCTGACCCCCCCCCCTCAGGAAATTCCTGCATCCGCCCCTGGTCGCTAGCACACCCAAGCTCAGAGTTTTTGTATTCTGAAATCAGTGGCTTAATTTGTTTGCAATAGTGTCAATTAATGTCATCAATAATTTTTAAAGATGTGCAACTTGCAACACCTTGAAGTGCCTTTGCCATCTACATCATTGCAAAAAAAAGCAAAAAGCCTAGCTTGGGGGTGAGAGAGACGGGTTTATGGTGGGCTGTTTTGTACGCTATAGTCTGTTGCAACTCCAAGAAGGTAGGGCGATGGCAAGACGGGCCGGGAAGGAGGAAGCAGACGAATGCTGGAGAAGAGAGGGGAAACCTCCTCTCTTTAGCATTCCGTCTGCTTCTTCCTCCCCAGACAGTCTTGCCCTCGCCCTACCTTCTTGAGTTGCAACGGACTATAGAAAAGTTTTCACTATATAATTTTTTTATATTGGGCCTTCCTGAAGCGTTAAGAGAAAATCTCTCGATTTTGGGGTTGTCAGTGGCCCTTGAAGGTAAATGTATTGCATGGCACGTTTGTATCAATAAAGTTCCTGTATATCGGTTGTCCAGGGAACTAAATATGCATGTTCCACTCTTTAGCACAATCGCTGTGCCACGACTCTAAAAGGGACCAACTGGGCTATCAGTGGCATTCTCTACCTATCCAGAGCCAGTATCTAACTTCCAGCGCCGAAGCTGACCACTGTCGGCAAAGATGAAAGGCGGAAAGCAATAGAAAGCCGCAGCAAAGTGGACAGTTGTTAAATGTATCCCACAGATAAGCTTTCATGGGCTGCCTTTTAGGCATGTTTTAATCTTAGATCTCAAATTAAGTAAAACCCAATTTCTACATTCCCACCTTAATTTGAGGAGAAAAAAAAGAAGCTTGGGATTTAAATAAACCTATGCAATCAGTTAAATTTGTCCACTGGCAGCCCAATGTAGCCATTACATGCTTCTGTAGGTAGTGGAATGGCATCTTTTCTTGGCTTATCCAACCCCAACAAAAGGAGTCCTAGTCGTCCAAGACAGCAGTAGGAGAGGGGGAAATAGGAAGGGGGACGAGGATGCTCCTACTTTGCAGAAAACCTTTTTGTACTGTCGGGCTTTGAGGTGGGAACAGTGGTTAGGACCTTTCTTTATTTTTTGCCCAAACCCAATGAAACTGCTCAAGCTTGTTCCAATGTTGGTGCAGATTTTAAATATCTGGTCATGTTTTAATGAAGTAGATTAGTCCTCAGGGATAATTATAAATTGCTGTATTTGTTGAAACAACAAGGGAAAATCTTGTATCATTTTTTAACATGTGGCTAGATACTTCGAAGTATGAAGCGTACAATGTTAGAAGTACTTTTTAGATTAAACCAATTTATTAGTTACTTTACAACACGTGCAAGTTTCGTGCTGAATTTATGGCTACCAAGCAATAAAACAACAGTTCAGTTGAAATACTTTGCACATCTAGCTACATGTTACATTTCAATTTGCCCTAGATGCTGAGATATCCCTTTTAAAAATTTGCAGAATTAAAAGTTCGAGTTTTAAGAAAAGCGCCATTTTAGCATCAACTTCAATGCAATTTCGGCCTACATAGATATGCATTCATATTATGACTCAAATATCGATACACAAAATGAGAATTTGGCAGATCTGCAGAAAAATAGCTGTGGATTTTGAAATTGCCGTTTCCCCCCCAAAAATCTTTTTCAGGGATTTTTTGATACCAAAGACCTATGTCTCCCCTCAAGTCTGGCCGCAGTGGATGCTACGAGCCCTCGGAGCCGATCTAGGGCCATGAGAGTTTCTATAGTCCGTTGCAGCTCAAGAAGGTAGGGCGAGGGAAAGGAAGGCCGGGGAGGAGGAAGCAGACGAAATGCTGGAGAGAGGAGGTTTCCCACTCTCCTCTCCAGCATTCTGTCTGCTTCCTCCGCAGCCCTTCTTTCCCTCGCCCTACCTTCTTGAGCTGTAACTTACTATAGTGACCTTCGAGAGGAAGCACAGGAAGTGTAGTTATAGGCTATGTTCACAGAGCTGAACTGGCTGGGACAAGTTGCACCATCTGCCGCTGCCATATGACAAGGTAAAACGCAGTATAGCAAGTCTGCTGCGGCCTGACGTAAGGTGAAATAGTAGTATAGCAGTCTCATCAAGTTGGGGTACAGGTGTGCCTCAGCATTTGAGCTGGCTTCATTATTATGAGGGAATTTGAATAAGCACAGAGTCCAGAAACACGTTTTTGCTTGTTTAATGTATTCTGCTTGCAGACATCGTCATTAAATAAAATGATGCAGCTTTCTCAAGTGGCATTACAAGAGTATGTGCCACAACACTTTCTTTACCACAAAAGAGTATGCAGTCGGCTGTTCTGTGTATGTACATATGTACACAATAAAACTATTTCTGTGCTTGGCCAAAAATATGTGAATGCTGATAGTCGATTTAGTATCTCGCAGAAGTATAGCTGCAGTTGCATTTTTATAAATATTGCACACACACACACGCAAAAAAAAAAATGCTTTACTTTAAAGCTGGAGTTCTCTGTAGACCCAGTTCAATCGTGTTTTTGTAAGTACTCAAAGGTGTACCGATTGAATACACAAGGAGGTTACTTGAAATAACAAAGACAAGCGCAAGTGAAATTTGAATGAGCTTCACAAATGCATTTCCTCCATTTTGTCTTCAGCAAGTTTTAAATATATGTTAGATATGTATCTCCTAGATACAGACTGAAATACTAGCTGCATGAAAAATACCCGAATACACAAACTAATGTCGCATCCAAGTTATAAAGCCAGCCAAGTTCAATGTAAAAAAACTTTCAGTTTTTCCACTCTGGTGAAGAAGACCAGCGAAGCTGTTATCTTTACGACGTCTAGGATGATGCCTAGAGGACGACCTCAAGAACGACGCCTAGACGACGATGTCTAGGACGACATTTAGGACGACTTCTGGATGACCTCGAGGACGATCTCGAGGACAACCTCAAAGATCACTTCTAGGACGACCTCGAAGACGACTACTAAGATGACCTCAAGAACGACCTCAAGGATGACTTCTAGGACGACGCCTAGAGGACGTCGTCCTCTAGGGGTCGTCCCCGAGGATGATTTTTAGAACGACGCCTAGAGAAATTCAGCATTTCCACTTTGGTGAAAACCAGAGTGGAAAGGCTGGAAAGGCCGCAGTCGCTCACTGCGGCAACCAGCTGGTTGTCTGGTTGCCGCCGTCGCTCATAGACGCCGGTAGCTGTCTGGAGTTTAGTGTCGACACGCTGCTGGTCCGCGGACACGATACTGGGGAAACTAGCCCTTAACAGCTCCGCTGTAAAATATTAACCCATTTGGCCTTCTGCTCTGGTGCAGCATCTTGTACTTTTACCTTTAGCATTGTTTTTTATATGAACTCCGAAAGAATCTCCAATTAGAATTTCTAAGCACTGCAAAAGCGGCAAGACTCTTTACATCACTGCGCCACAGCATAGCTGCGGGTAGACGCTATCCCAGGAGCCTCTGAAATAGCACACACACCAACAGGGAATGCAGCAGTCATCGTGTAACAAGTAAACAAACATAACAAACAGCATGTACTGAAGCTTAGCTTCACACTTTCCAGTATAGCATAAGAATCGCACTCCACACGCTAGCTACGTCCGGTCACAAGACGCAGTGAGCAGAGCACGAAGGAAAACCACCAAATCCATACACTTGCACTGGCGAGATGTCTTCGGGCCGGTCACAGAAGTAAAAATACACCAACGGACTGGAGCACCTACACGCTGCCATTGACAGAAGGCTTTCTTAGACTTTGCCTGCAAGTTATACCCAAGTGCACCGCTAAGTGATACGAGATTCTACTGAACCCGGGTGACTTTTGGACGGCACTTTGCCAACGTAGTATGCACTGGCATCTGTGGTTTCTAGGGGGCTCACATTGACACGTGCCTATGCTTTGAGCAACGCTTTACAGTGCATTCACTCTAGCTTTCTTAAGGAACTTAAGGAAGTTGAGCGCCGATACATAGCCTCACTTTGCAATCGCATTTTCATCCCACACGCCAGCATCGATGTGAACGTCAGCCTCCACCTCCTTTGCCAGTCTCGCACGAGTCGGTTCCACACAAGTTTGTTTCGCTCTGGTGTCACTATACACACACGCACGCTCGCTTGTAGGGAACCTCTCGCATTGTCACATTGCATCTGCGTCGACTTAACAGACTCCTGCTCCTTTGACCCCCACATTCTTCACGATCGGTCCAACAGCTGTACGAGCGTCCTTCAAGCCCAGAGGCATCAGCGCAGCAATATGTTGGCGTCGTAGCCAGCTTCCCTCCTCTCCTTGGAGGTGCCTCGCCTGAAGAAGTTCCACGTGAGCCTCTTGTGGCTGTCCTTGCTCTTGTTGCTCGCAATGGACCCGTTAGGGCTCTGCACCCGGCTCGATCCGCTCGAGCTTACTCCCGATGAAGACGTGGTGGATGACGCTGGACTTTGACGCAGGTAGCTTCGGTCCATAGGGGTGATGACGCGCAGCGTCAGTTCGTCGCCCGCCTTGCGGATGAGCTGAACCACTTCTTCGTGCGTCGACCACTTTGTGTCGAGGTCGCCGATGGCAACGATGAAATCGCCTTCCTTGACACCTGCCAACTGGAAGAGACATCGAACACTAAGTCACGCTTCAAAACTCTTCACAAAAATGGATCTATATGATAGAGTTGCAGGGTTCTCCGCAACACAAAATGGAGACCCCACAGGGATGCTGGAGAAGTATTTCAATTGGCTGCAAAATGTAAATTTGGGGGTTTATGTGCCAAACCAACGAAGAGCATCTGGCACGTCCCAGCGGAGGGTTGAGGAATAATTTAAACCACCTGGAGACCTTTTGACGTGCAACCGAAAGCCAATGGCGGTGTGCTTCGAACGCTTTTCGCGAAAACTGGCCACTAGACTCAAAGCTTCCATTAGGACTACAAAAATATGACAGATTACACTTCCCCCTTGATAAAACACTTTAAAGGGGCGATGTGACAATTTTAACTAGGAAAGAACATGCAGCTTGTAATTTTTACATTGTGTATCTTGGTAAAACAGGTACAGAACCCGACTCCAATTTTTGCAAATATTGCAATCCCGCTGCATAATAGCAAAGCAAAAGACGGGGATATTTCACAATTTGAGTGCGAGTGGCAGTCACGGGAACTACGGCGTGACGTCAGCCCGGGTACCTTGTAATCAGTTGGTAAAATGAGTCTTTCTCTGCTTAATCGAAGGTTACATTTTATAGATCTTCTTCCAACATGAATAAATGTGTCAAAAGCCTCATACCCTCAATATAATTTTATTATACTAAGTGTTAGTAGCGCCATCTGCCCAAGGGGCACAAAACCATTCCCTCTGCTCTGCCAAGCCCTGCTACTGTGGTTAGGGGGTTGGATCAGAATGTGCGGGCTACCTGCACTTCTTGTGGGACTGCTCTCTTCGCCGACGATGTGATTCTGCGCGCGAATCACTGCCGCTAACAGCACTGTTAGCGGCAGTGATTCGAGGTTTCTTTTTGACGTGTGTCGACAATAAGAGTTTTCCGCCGCTGCAAGGCCCAATGTTGCTCGTATCAAGTGGACACACACAATGGGTTTCAGCGGCTTCTAATACCCACCTCAATCCCCTAATTGTCGTATCTATAATTTACTTTATTTAATTAAAAAAAAAAAAAGAGACATACTAAAAACTAATAAACAATCTTGATTTGTATTTGTTCAGGCCCACCAGGGGGAGGGGGAATTTTTTCCAACGTTTTGACTCTGCAAAATGAGCAACACGCAACTCCTGAAGCTCGAATTGCTGTGTTTTGTTATTATAATCATAAAAATTTTAAACATTGCACTAATTAGATGTGAAGTTTTATGTTAATAACAGAGGGTTCATACAGGCTTCAAAGGAAAAAGTTCAAGGGTTTTCAAGGACGCTTAAGGGCCTGCAGATATTTTTAAGGACCACTTAAAATACTGTAGTAAATTTATAATATAAACTTTTTGAAATGCACTGCGAAAATTCTTTACTGCATGATACCTAGGACAATACGCATTTGCCAAAGAGGAGCTAGTAAAGGGTTCAGTAGAGCTACTGCAACGTTTCTTTGGTTTCCTCGTTGATGTTTACAAGTTCTTGCATCATTGTTTTCGCCGTTTTCCTTAGGCTGTTCTTCTTGACAATATCAAGTCGAACAGCCTAAGGAAAACGGCAAAAATGTAGGTGATGTCGTTTGTAGCCTGTGCTTTCTCAGCGACTGCAGTCGTCGTGACCCAGCCACGACCGCTCGTGCACAATTTAAAATACGTTCACTATGTGTAGCGTAAAACAGACGCAGAACAAACAAACCAGGAGTAGCTGGCAAACATTATGCGAGAGAACAAGGCGAACGAGGGGCAAGCTCTCAAGATGGCGGATGGGCGAGACCAGATCTGGAACTATGGGGACTGCTACCATTGTGGCCAGGCGCTTAACAGGCATCCACTAAATGTGTCTAAATGTGCCATATAAAAAGCTTCATTGAAATTTATGTTAACATACACGTAAAAAGAATAATTATATTTTAATATTGTGAAAAAATTCATTATTTCAAAGAAAAACAAAACAAACTGGCTATTATTGGGAAATTCAAGGGTTTTCAAGCACCGCTAGAAATCCCAGGGCTTTCAAGGTCTGGAAAATGCAGTTTTCAAGTTCAAGGGTTTTTAAGGTTTTCAAGGACCTGTGAAAACCCTTAACATGTTTGTATATCTTTTAAACATGTTGAGCATATATTTCATCTCCCTGAAACAATTCTGTTGTTTAAACAATCTTTTTCAAACCATAACTAAGTTAAACCTCTCCAGTTACCATCATTACCACCACAGAAGGCCACCCCCACACGAAAATATTCCGTTCAAGGTTGGCTCCAGCCACTTCTTTCAAAAGTCTCAGAGTTGTTGGAGTTGCTCGGCTGTTTCGAGCCGTACTCGATTCCAGCAATTTGTGCTGCAGCACGAGGATCTAGAGAATCGTAGGGAACAACTCGCCTGCAACCCCGAAATTGCTGGGAAAATTGCCCGGTCTGTAGCGGGCCTTAGCATTTTTTTAAGGCTCATTGTCTCAAACACATTCGAGTTATTCACCAGGGAATGCGAATGCACACACATTCCAACACAGAAGGAAGACGAGACTCGACCTTACAAAAAGTGCTCACGGAACCCAGACACACAGGCTAAACCCCTCCAAGGCTGAACATACCACTGAAGCAGGAAATTGGCAGAAAGGGAAGGACCCAACACAGGAAACCAAAATCGACTGTGTATTTTTGCCGTGTATCATATGCTCGAAACGTGAAAACACCATCCTATGCACACAAGCTTCCCCACAGTGTTTCTCCTCCTGTCATGCGACCCCCCGTAACACTGCGAATGGCCAGCGATATCTGCCGCTCTGCCAACTGCGCAGCGTTTTGGCAAAGCGTGGTTGGTAGTTGAAGAGGCACCACGTGCTGGAGGCTCTGGAGAGCAAACCCAACCGGAAACACTATGTCCCCAGTGCCACCCGGCTACGTCGTTACGCACGTGACTCGGAAAATGGTGTAAGGCTTAAAAGCGGTTGAGAGGCGCTCAAAAGCTTCGATTTTTGGCAATTTTTTTCAAAAATAACTACAGTCGACTCTCATTAATTCAAATTCTCTTAATTCAAACTTGCGGATAATTCAAGCTAACATGCAGGTCCCATCCTATGCGCCTCTATGGGAGGAAACTCCCGGTAATTCAGACTTCGCTTTATTCAAACAGAATTTCGGACCCCCTCAAGTTTGAATCGACTAGATTCAACTGTAATGCATGCAGGGAAAATTGGTTTTTGGTTCTTTACTTCTGACGTGACAGAGAACAACTCACACAATTATTTGACTGAAGTCTTAAGAGTGTTGCACGGCCCCTTTAACCCTTTTGAGAGTCGTCACCGTACATGTACGGCAGTGTTTACACATTTGAAAGTGCCCCCCTAGATGCAAAACTGCGTGCACCATGGGAGGTGTTGCTATTTGTCATGCATTCGGCAAACTATAAACGTTATTTATGCACGCTGTTTCACTTTGTTGGGCTATTTATAGTTTTCAAATTAGACGCTACGCGCATGTGACGCTCATTTCGCATACCGACCGCTCTGGCCGTAGTGCCAATGGTAGCAATGGCTCTTCTGATTCAGACTTCTAATACTTTTAGGGATTAAATTTGGAAAATGGGAGCTCATCATCCAACGGGGAAGCTCTGTAAAGTACCTCCGGTTAGGAATCTGAAGCCTCTGGAATGTCGCAGAAGCGGACGTGCCAAAATGAAACCGAATGGAAGAAGACTACTTTTCGCCATCAATACTTTTAGACGCTTCTAATCTTAAGCAACTTGCAAGCACTGTGTGTTCCCCCACTGAATAAAAAAAAAAAAAAAAAACTGTGCAGTGACCTTTTTCTTACAATATTTCTTTGAAACAAAACCCGACTACTGGGAAAAATCTTTTGGGAAAAAAAGCTAGACTGTCAAAGGGTTGGTCCCTGCAGCACCCTCAATAGTAACACTGCCTTGCTCCAATGTAATAACATTCCAGCACCACAACAGGCTGCCATGTAACAAAACAATTGTTAGGCACCAGTCAGTGAACTTGCGACAATTGGCCCTCAGTTAATTCGACTTTCATTTAATTCGATCATGTTCATGAGTCCCGGAGGGTGCCTATACATTCCAATGAAGAAAAAAAAAAAAAAGATGCATTAATTTGAATGTGACAGGACTCCACACTACATAATTTAACCTGAGTGAATGCGGATGGAAATGACAGCGGAAATGACAGATCGAGGGCCTCCGCAAACGGCAAACCATAGGTCTCTCACAATAAAGGTTAGTGTTAGCCTGAAAAGCTTTCCAAAACTGCATGCATCTATTTGCGACTGTTGCAAAGGGAAGCCAACTACATCCAATAACTGTCTGGCACGAGCTTAGACAACTTCTAGCAGTCAGAAGTTGGCAGAGCTGAAGTAAGTGTTGACTAACCTCTGCCAAGCTGCAAGACTCCACTCCTGCAACTATGACTGGAGAGTCGCCTCGTACACTGAAGCCAAAGCTTTCCTTGCCCTTCTTGGTGAGGTGGACTGCTCTGGAAGCTGACCAGTGATGCCGTGCTGAAAAGATGCTGATGGGTCCCTGCAGGGTAAGAAGAACCCATGGCCCCATTAATTGGCATACGGTTTGCCTACTCAATAAAACTGGGAATCAAACTGAAAAAAGGAATGGTACGATCATGGATAAGGCAACTATAATAGGTACAAGATTGATTTCGCTCCGTTTTTTAGACTGTTGGTTACCGATTCAGCGTTCTCCAAAAAAAGTTATTTATTTCAGCTCCGGACAAAGTATAAAATGGGTCGTTCGGAACTTGTTTTAGTAACGAATATGATGCTCGTTAAAAGTACTGGGAACTGTATGGCATATCCTCGACATGTTTTACTTGGAAACTAAACAAGTTTAGAGGATTCAAAGGTCTAATGAACGCTGCATCTGAAATTGTAAACCAGACATTCGACCCTTTTAACATACTGCGAGCTGAAATAATAATAATAATAATGCATTTATATAATTCAAAAACACATAATATACAAGCACACTGGCCCACAAAAGCAAAGTTGCTTGTATGTGAACTGCCTTCAAATAAGTTGTGAAAATTCAGTTTTGCAAGGTAGGTCAATATAACTTTTCTTTAAGGTGCAGCTACTTTATTTTGTGAAAATATTGAAGGTAGAGCCTGCCTTAAAACTAAAGATGATAAAAAGATTTTGAGCGATTGCACATTGTCGAAAGACCAAAAAGTTAATGCAGAAATCTTTTTCGGAATCTGCGTGTTTTCCGCATTGCCAAATGAAATCCATATGTGGCTCAAAGAAACCTTTTTCACTTTGATGGAGAATAAGCTCAACTTAAAATAGGTCTTTTATTATTAATTTCTTTATTGAAGTAGCATCTTGAATACTTTCACACTGCAAACACACCAACAAGTCGCATCCATCCGACAAATTTCGATTTCATGTCTTACGAGAGCCACGTTGGCAGATTATTTAAAAATGGGTTTCATCCACTTGACCTATGCCTCCACCATTCAGACAATAAACCGAATTCTTTTGAAATCCATCAGCTACACACATATAAAATAAAAAGTACATATACTGTCTAAGCTCATTACAACAGACCTGGTTACAACAGACATTTGAATATAAATACTGATTTGGAAGTTCGGTTGGTTTCCCTCTACATACCATTGACTCAACTTCATATCTGCATACAATATACTGCTTCTACAACAGACCGAAATCTTGGTCAAAATCAAGGTCTGTTATAACGAGCTTAGACTGTACTCTACTGCACTGGTTCCTTATCACTTCCTAAAGATATTCAGTGAGACCTTGTTTATGAGTTAAGTATAAATGTAACTACCCCCAACCTCCACCTCAGAAGCCTTGCATTGTTGCGCTTTTCGGATTGCTTGCTCTATTTGCGATTATTGCACTCGGGACAAATCTAGCAAAAAAAGAATGCTATCCAACCAATGGTGTATGGCCAGTGGCGTCACTGAAAGAGAGAGAGGGAGGGGGGGGGGGGGGGGGGGGGGGGGCTGCTTGCGGCAGGCCCGGGTGCCGCTGACTTCAGTGACGCCACTCTGTATGCAACTTCTTCAAAAAAAGTTGTTCGCATCTCATTTGTAGCAGAGCCCTTTGGGTATTCTGGCAGTGAATGCTTATTTTTGCCACTCTCCGGCATAATAAAGCAGTGTTTGCTTCACTAAGATGAAATCAATAGTTAACTGTAACTATGCAGTATGAATGCAACTACAGTGCATAAAATATTTTGAAAAGGAATATTACAAGTGGCAAACATTTAGATATTGAAGTAGATTAAGGTGGCTAGTTCAGCCGCATTCAGATGCTCTGCAACTGGGAAGTGTCACTCACCAATCCATGAAACAAGTCCTTGACTTTGTACTGTGTGAAGTCTGGAGAAGTGAGCGTGAGCTGGTACTTCGTTGAAGCTGGAAAACAAATGTCATACAACGGTCACAACAATACCAGTACCATACTTGACTCGGCTGAACAGATCAAAAGTAAAAAACCTCGCAAACAAAGGAGACATCTATGACAAGACAAGCATTCAATTAAATGTTTGCTTGTCTGCAAAAAAAAAAAAAAAAAAAAAAAACAATCTTGCAACAGTGCATTGAGGTAGTAGTAACATAAAAGTACCCACTTAAAATAAAATATAAATTAGTCTATACCAGTCACTGCTAATTTCATAAAAACAACATTGTTCTTCTTTACCAACATACTTTCTTGCAACTTCACAAGCTCAATTCACAGCTTCATCAATGCTACGATGAATGAAACTCGTTAGACCGGCTCTGATGAAGGTCCCCAGATTTTCAGCAACGATAGAACATAAAGCAATTAACCAAATGCCCAAACAGCTTCACCAATAGACTACGAAGTTAGATTGAAAAGTTTATGAAATCGCCGTTAGGGAACTTTTTTTTTTTCCAAATTATTTTTATGTCGCTACGTTGGCCACCTTTCGAATAAAGTGTCAGATTGATATCTAAAAAAATTTTGGCTTTGAGAAGCATTCCCTAGTCCAGCAACCATGAACATTTTCAATGATGGATAAAAACGAAATTCGAGCGGTCATAAATTTTTTTTTATTTGGAGGAAAAAATTGAGACTAAAATTAAATCCAGGTTGAATGCTGTTCTTGGGGAATCATCACCTTTGTTTTCCACCGCGAGTTTTTGGGTTTGGGAGTTCAAGCGTGGTTTTACGGACACAAGTGATGAACCACGTTCAGGACGTCCAAAAACAGCTACCACCACATCAGAAATTGTAGATAAAATCCATGACTTGGTTTTGGAAGACTGCCACATAAAAGTGTGTGAAATTGAGGAAGTCGTGGGCATCTCTTCTGAGCGAGTTGTTTATATTTTACAGAATGAATTGGGACTAAAGAAACTCTCTTCAAGAATTGGGACTAAACAAACTCTCTTCAAGATGGGTGCCACACTTGCTCAGTCAGGAGCAAAAACGCATTCGAGCCCAAGTGTCAGCCGACAGTTTGCAAGTGTTTCAGGCAGATCCAACGGATTTCAAGCGACAATTTGTGACTATGGATGAGAACTGGGTCCACCATTACACGCCAGAAACAAAAGAAGAAGGCAAAGACCATTCAGTCGGCTGGCAGGGGGATGGCATCAGTTTTTTGGGATGCCAAAGGAATTTTGCTTATTGATTATCTTGAAAAGGGAGAAACTGTTACTGGCAAATAGTACATAACAATTCTGGACAAGCTGAAACAAGTAATTCAAGAAAAACGCTTGGGAATGGCCAAGAAACAGGTGCTGTTTCACAATGACAATGCACCCGCCCATTCAAGTGCAGACGCTCAGCAAAAACTGACAGAATTGAAGTTCAAACTCCTTCTGCATCCACCGTATTCACCACCGTATTCACCCGATTTGACTCCTCGGACTTCCAGCAATTCCCAAAGCTCAAGACCTTTCTGGCTGGAAAGATATTTCTGCCGAATGGTGATAGAGGCTGTGATTTTAGGGAGGGTGTGTGTGATTTTAGGTATCTTGAAGAACGACACTTCCGAGAGGGGATCGAAAAGCTGGGGAAACGTGGGACTAAGTGTGTCGAGCTTCGATGGAATTGTGTAAAAAAATGAAGTATAACTTAAATAAGATATACATTGTTTTCATTTTCATTCTGGAAACTTTTCAATCTACCCTCGTATGCCATCATAATGGGGTACATAAGCTTTATTGTACGACCAGGGCAAACAAGATGTGCGTCGATTCTTACGAAAACTTATTTACCGTTCGAAAGTATGATTGGGCCCTCAACACTCTAGCAGGTCTCACAGACACCTAAACAGCCACTACAGACAATCGAGAAAAACACTAACGGTCGTACAGCCTCTTTTGGGGCAGAATCACCGATTGCAATGCGAAGTTCGAGCAAAGGCTGGCGAAGTCGTCGGATCTCCGTCACAAGAAGTGCCCGCCGTAATAGAAAGCAGACTGACCCTGGATCTGAGGGGGGTCCAGCACCTCCTGGAAATCGTCCTCCTCCTCGAGGTCGGAATAGCGCTGAAGTGCCACGTCGTGGTCCGCCCTGAGCCGCCCAAGCAGGTTGTCCACCTGGCGCAACTGCCGGCACATACGGTGCAGCCGCAGGGCCTCCTCGTGCAGGAGCAGGGCTTCCCGCAGGTGCGCCTTCCCTGCACGGCACCCGGACCGTCAAGCCAGCCGAGCCAATCGGCACGTCGGAGGAAGACACATGACTAAAATACTCTATCTCACTAGTTGTGCGTAGTGCCGTCCAAGCTACGGGCGAGAGAGAGGAAAGGCGCTTTTGTACAAATATTTAGTAACGAGCTAATCTTCTAGGAAGAAACGTGATGTTTGGGACACACAAAAGAGGGTCCGGGTAGTAAGAGGGGAGTCCCTCCTTCCTCTCATCTCCAACTGCTCGAGTAACGCGCTCGTCGCTGTACCTTTCATAAGGGCTTCATGCTTCACCTCCATCACTCTGATTGGCTCAAAAGGGCCGCAGCGATCAGCCAAGTTAGTGATAGAGGAAAGCCCGGAGAGTCCTTAATTCATGACCAGTGACACCGGACACAATTACTCTGCAACACTTTGTGCCCGAGCAAAAGGGGGGAGACGGGGGCTCACCCAGCAGTCTGCGCTCCTCCAGTGTCTGGGGGACCCTGATGTCGATGCAGGTGGATCCACTCTGCTCTTGGACGTGGAGGAACTCCATCGACCTCCGTACAACTTCGTCCAGTTCACCTGGGACCGCCAACGGAACAGGGGCTTGTTCATTAGCTCTTTGGTGCAGCAAGCTTTTAGAACTTATTTCCTAGTAAGAGGTCGCAAACAACTTGAACGAGTCTACTTTCACTAATCTCATGTTGAGAAAAATTCACGGCCCTCGACATCGAGTTTGGCCGAAATTATGAAATGCTTTCATTGAAGACGTCAAAGTCACAGAGGGTAAAAGTGTTTCTGAGGCTACGGGAGGCGCAGCTGGAGCGAGAGGTGTGCTGACACGCGACGTAGAAGCCTAGCCTTGTCATCCTCTACCACCCCCTCAACTATTGTTGTTCTCAGGGATGGGCAATATTTCAAATACAAGTATTTGAAATACGTATTTCAAATACTTTGTGTATTTTGCATTTGCATTTAATTACAAATTGGGTAATGTATTTGACGTGTGTATTTAAATACTACAACGTGGGTATTTCAAATACAATTGTAATTAAATACAATTTTGTGGGCGAAAATACATCCCTCAAATTTATTGTCACTGTCCAGAGCAGGAAGAAAACTATGTTCTGCACCGAATGCAGCGTCTCTCAATCAAGCACAAGCGTATAGTGACTGTGATTACGGTGCTAGTCCAGGGCAAGAATAGTGACGAAATCAACAATCACAGGCAGACTGGCTAAATAAGTGCCTGTGACAACTTGTGATGCTTTCCAGCGTGATTTCCATTCATGTTTTTGCCTGGAACATTCTAAATGCGCGGGTCGTCCAGATTTTCGTAACTGGTGCGAGCTGCAACAATAAAAAAATTCTCTAGCTAGTGCTGCGCGTCTTGGTCGTTTCGGTTTTTTGTTTGTCTATACCAAAATGTAATCGACAAAAAAAGCTGCTTGAAGCTCTGTACTTTTTTCACCTATTACGTCCCAGCTGATTACATTTTTTTTATAATTACATTTCTATTACGTTACTAGAGCCTCGCACGCTAACTCCCGAGTGTGCGATGCAAAATTAAAATGAGACACCCAGAAACCCGTTGCAGGTGCCCTGAAGTCGCTGACGCAAATTTTGAGGAATGTATTTGGAAAAGCATTTGGAGGAGACCAAATACATTTGGTTGTATTTGTATCTTGTACTTAAATGCTTTTTTGGAAATGTAATTAGATTTGTAATTAAATACATTTTTGATGAAGTATTTCGTATTTGTATTTCGATACATATTTGCATGTATTTTGCCCATCCCTGGTTGTTCTCCATTCTTTTTTTAAAAAATGCCATGCCAAGACAATGTGATGTAACTGGACCGAGACAAAATCAAGATGGCAGCTGACCAACTCCACGGAAGCTGCCGTTTTCTATAGACCGGCACGCTGTTTACAAACAAACCCGCGTTTGCCCACACCAGGTGTGGGCACTGCGCGTACGCAGAAACCGGATTTGCGTGAAGTGAAGCGTCTGCGCATGCGCAGTGCCGTCGACAGCGCCACCGCAGCTGCGTGACGTCAGGGACGCGTGTTCGTCTATATGCTTTTTTAGGACACTCGTTTGGTGCCGACTGCTGAAGCGACTACATTAAGAATGCATTTCATGCTTTAATGAACTGCAGAAATTGAGCGAGACCTGCATTACAGCTACAACATTCTCCCACTCAAAAGGGGAGGTACAAACATATCTAAGCTTTCAGGTTACAGAAAGGAAAGAAAACAAGTCGTCCAACTCACCGACATGTTCTAGCAAGCCGACTGCAATGTAATAATGTGCCAGAGCACGATAGTGTTCCGCCTTAACGAGGATTAGGCTGATCCATGAGTAGGGCACATAGTCCTTCACAGGTGGCATCGATATTAGCTTGTGAACCTGCGCATAAACTTCGGCAACCTGAAGAAAGAAAAAAGAAAAGAAAAAAAATTGGAAAGAGACAATTAGCGAAAACAGATAGGATATACAGCCGTAGGGCCGGTCCTACAGCATCAAGCGCCCTAGGCAAACTCCAGCTGAGGCGCACACTCTCTCTTGCCCTTTGGCCCCCCCTTCCCCCCCCCCCCCCCCCCCCCCCCTCATCACCCATCCCCTGAGTCACTGCCCACCCCACTTTTTGGGCGAATATCCATTTCCAAAAAAACATGAGTGATCGCCCACCCCTACAAATACCCCAACGTGGACTCCGCGATCTGTGAACATTCATCCTACCCGAGTGATGCGGCCAGGGACCTTACAGTTGGAGGATACGTGTGACGAAGTAAAACGAAGGAGGGAAAGACATTCCACTCTGTTTACCATTTCCTTTCCGATTTCTGTGACCCCAAAGTCGGAGCACATGCGTGCAAAAGGAAAACAATAGAGATAACAGAATAAAACTTTGTTTTGCCTAGAAAAAGATTGTTAAGACAAAAAAAAAAGAGTCAAAAAGATAACAGAAGCATACGGGGATTGCGAGGTCAGCGAACACCCCTATATCCTGGAACGTAACCGCGGAGTGTAAGGTCAAAGATGTAAGGTCGAAGACAGCCTCCACCGAAATATGGTCACCACAAACCCCGTCCTTCTCCCAGAACATTGCGACCACGGTTGGTAAAGTTGTGCAATGTTTGAAACAAAGCCAACGGGTGAGTAAAGATTTGCTGGAACTACTGCCACACGTTTGTAAAGCGTCCCATTGTGAGTGCTGTCCACACCACGCAGCAATGCCACCTCGCTGATAGCACGCCGTGCATGGACGCACGCATGTATGCACCAGAGCCGTATATAGAGAGAGTATGGTCAATGGGAGGAGCGGGCAGAGCCAGGACGTGCACCAGACGCAGAACGAGGGCTTGACAAGCTCTCTTAGCCAACCAGAAGGTGAAAATAATCCCCTGGTGGTGGTAGCGAGAAACAGTTTTAATAAGTGCGTAAGAGTAAAATGCAGTAACTCTTCACGGTTTTGCTCGTAATCCGTACACCTGGTGTACGGATTACGCCATTCGTTCACACGTTTTTTGTATCTTCTACATTTTAACAAATCTTCCACAATGATTTTTCATGACCGTGATCGAAGCATCATGTGCATCATATTTTCAGTCACCGAGAGTTACTTCGACACACTTATTAATTTTGTTTCTTGCGACCACCGCCACAGTATTATTTAAGGCTTCTGGCTGGCTACATTAGAATTTGTGAAGACGCCCTGGAACACGCCCCGCCCGCTTTCGGCCAAGGGCGCCTCCTCGTTGGATTCCTATACTTCTCAATGAATGGCCAAACTCTCTCTTTATACAGCTCTTGTATGCACCAAACAAGAAAGTTGCACAACGGCCTGCTCCTTGTGAGTGACAAGGCGCCCAATTTGGCCTGACGCCAAAGTATTTGGCAACGCGATCGCCGGCTTTCCCGTTTCCCCAGCATCGCTCTTCCTCACTTATTTTGCTAGCTCGTTCTGCCTGGTTGTTTTTTTTTTTACTAAAGACGAGAACATAGTGGTGTTAGAAACGGGCTTTCACGGAAGACGTTCGCCCTGCATGCTGATCGGCGGTGTTCATCGCGCGCATGCAATAAACTGACTTTGCAATAGTAAAGCGTTCTTTCATGAGCATTTCTTGCATAAAACAATTAAACTAATTCAAGTTTTGAGTTTAATGTGTCTCTTGTGCAGCTGCGCTAGATATGTAGAAAAAACAATGGCCACCCAGGTGCCCACCCCTAGGGCCAGCCCTGTATAGCCATTGTTTCTAGTCAGCGTGAGTAATTCTCAGTCTCCAAGTTAATATAAAACAACTGACAACTACATATTAGTAGTAACCACCAATAAAAAAGATTGGTGACCTTTAGAAACAAAACTCTGTTGCAACAAAAGACGGCAAACATGCCAGATCAAGACCTTTGTATGCTTTTCTCTTTGTGCGTTTCTTGGTCTCAGGATTTTGTTTTTCAGGATCGACAATAGTCTGTGGCCTACATGTTATTTTAGAAAATTGTTGCCTGAAACTAACAGCATGCTTTCGTGCCATGTTGTACAGTGCAACAGCTTATGATGATGATGTAAAATAAAACAAAAGCAGAAAGCAGCAGCCCACCTCTGCAGCCTCCTGGCCAACTTCAATGCACGCCAAGACACCCTGCTTCTCGACATTGCTCAACAGAAGCTTCTCAAACAGGCACTCTCGTGCTTGAGCCTGAAAATACACACACAAAGGATGCTTCATCATTTCACTATAAGTTCAAAAGGATGCACTAGCAAGCCCCCAGATCTGTTATAACTACCAACTAGTGCTCTTACACAAACACATATTCTGCTAAAAGACATTAAGCCAAACCACCCAAGCTGAGTTACGAAAAAGGAACTGTTACATTTTCAGATTTAAGACCTGATAAAATGGGCAGGTGGATGCAGTCTGGCCCAGCTAGGGGTCAAGTGTGACTTCTGGTGTGTAGTTCCAGGGCAACATTGGGACACTGAGCCCAAAATATAAGACAGCTTATTGGCTGACCAAATCAGTTATGAACACTGTAGCTTACAAACAGATGTCACTGTCCCAATGTCACAAATGCAAAAAAATATTCATGCAAAAGTGGCATACATATTAGGCTAAAATCAATCACTTTGGTGAACAACCTAATGCCCTGGTTTGTAACCCTTTCTTTTCACAAACACTCCTGCTCATAAAAAAAAAAAAAATTGTGTACTATTGATACTCTTAGTTGCACAAGCAAAATTACTGAAACCATCATTCTGCCATGTTCACATAGCCTATGCAAGCTCCAGAAATGAAAGAGCACTTACCAGCATGATGTGCGTGAGCACTTCCAAGGTTTCAGCACTGAGGTCCATGCTGGGAGGCTTGCTGAAGTTCTCTCGGATATAGCAGAACATCCCAGCAGCTCTGAGGAAGCTGTCCACAGCAGAATCGATGCCTGCGCTCTTGCCTCGGTCCTTAGAAAAGGGTGGACAAAGGGTGTCAAGACTTCATTGTCAACTTTGGCTTTAAAAAAATGCAACTATACAATCGTGAAGGAAACAACTAATTATATTCAACTATGTCACTCGGTCTCACAAAGCTGCCTTTGTTAATATGCAAACCAGATGGGCCAATTTTCTATCTTCTTTTTAGCTTCTCTTAATAAAGATAATCCTTACTTCATATTCGTAAGTAAGTCCCTATATATGATTTCGTACACAATCTAAGTTATTTTAAATGTGTATAAAGTGCACAAGGTGCTTTTAAAAGACCTCTAGAAATTTTTTAGATGTTTTCACTTTTGAATTTTTTAGAACAGAAGTTTAAACAAGGCAGGGAACGGCAGCATTCTCTTACAACTACGGTACCATGTTTTCGGATAAATCCGATAAAATCTGAAAAAACACCCGCCAGTAAAACTTTCTTCAATTCGGATTTATCCGAAAAACTCTGAATTTGGAGGTCACGATGGCCAAGATGAAACAAAAAAAGGCAGTTTTCTACAAATAATTGTGGTCAGAGCACAGACACAGCGGTCATCAAGAGAGGCCTCCCCAGATTTCCTCAAAATCTCGTAATATTGACCAAAGAAGGTTCACCGTTTATCCAGTCAGGGTTCGTTCAGGATAATGGGGCATTGTAATTGTGGGCTACGACGCAAACCACTGTTTTGGTTTCCAGATTGAACTTGTTAGAGGAAGGTACGGTTGCGATTTGATAACTATGAAAGCTATGAACTCTTAGATTTCATGGGAGGGACAGCTGAGGCTTCTGTCCCACCACACCACCCCGTGGAGCCACAGGGAGAGGCGGTAGAATAGGATGAACAGAAAACAAGCTTTCCAATGACTACGTCAAAGAGTTTGGTGATTTTAATGGGCCTTTTTCAATTTTTGTTGTGGGACAGCTGGTATTACTAATGGCAAGGGTGTCAATGTCATGTTGTACGTGTGGGTTCTTATAAATCTAGGGCAGGGTTATGGTTTATATATATTCTTATGTTCAATCTTGAAAATATGGAAATATAGCAAAAATAAACTCCCTACTTTGGAGAACTGGGAATCTCACAAAAATAAACTCCGACAAACTCGGATTATTCAGCAAAAAAATAAACTGCGAAAAGCACCCTCCGAGTTTCATGAAAAATTAACTAAAATATCAAACTCAAAAAACTATATAAAATTAAGTTAAGAAATAGGTCCTTTCTGAACCTTGCAGATATATGGCATGTATTTATGTTTAATAATGCATAAGTATTGCAGCAAAGTTTTTCGTTTGCTTTTTTTCGTTGGAAAGAGAAAGAGGGGGGGGGGGGGGGGGGGGCATTTTGTGACATGTGTGGCCTGCTTACACAGTTAAAAAAATTATTTTTTGGACTGCACTGTCATTTGAAAGTTTGTGTTTGGAAGCTAGTAACGCTTTAAAGGGATACTTCAACGAAATTTGAAATATTCCCGTCGTGTTCAAAAATAGGTTGAATATGATCCACAATATCCATAAATGACAATCGCACGTTTGTATTTTGAGCCTGGTGGCTGTATTTTTCGTTATAAACGGCCCACTCTGGCAAGCGCTCAGAGAAGGCCCAGCAGAGACCATGTGACATCCAACGCAATCGTGATCGTGACGTAGGTCGTCTCGGGAGGAGCAAAGCTACGGCGAGGCTGACGTTGAGAGGATGGCCTAGTCGTTCCAGCCACCGAAGCGGCTGCTTTTGTACGAATTTTGAGTGACGGGTTAATCTTCTATAATCTTGTAGGGGGACAATAGCGACTTCTGCGACACACAAAAGGCATTCTCGGGAAGAGGGGAGTTCCTCCTTCCCCTCTTCTCTCTTCGTGGCCGGAGGCGAGACAACCTCAGTCACAAGCTGTCAAGGTTCCTAGACAGGCATTACAAGCGAGGCGTTAGTGACATCCACCAGGTGCTCTTTGCTAATCATTTAATTGTTTTAAAATTTCTTTTCGTGACTTTTTTAACAAGATATTGGTATGTTCGATGTGATACTGCTCCTTTGAACACATATAGACCAAAAAATGAGCGTCAAAATTTCGTTGTAGTATCCCTTTAATCTTATGCTTTTCATATTAACAATTCTTTGAATTACAGCCACTTACCTCTTTCTTATAAAACTTAACAAATAAAAGGCTATATTTAATGTTATCTATGAAAAAGAAAACTCAAACTAATCCCTTCCTTATAATATTGTCCATTTATAATCCTGTTTTATCACTAACTTTTCTTTTAAATTTGTGTTCTCCCAAGTCAGTTTTTGGAGTTGCCAGGTTGCAAAATAAACTTCCACACCAACTCATCCTCACCTGTTTTGCTCCAATTTGTGTGTACAGTGCTGCGATGTTGAACAAGACACTGGCTTTCTCGAAAGCAACAGTCTTCTGTGTGCTTGGAACTCCTGTGAGTGAGTCAAACCTAGAAAGCAGCACAAATGAAACATTTTACATTAACTAGTCTGGATTGTAGAATTAGCAGCACTTTCATGGGCCCCTTTTCCCGAGGGTTGTACTTGCGAAACCAAAATGCAACTTGATGGCATGATCCTGTCAGCTTCCAATGGTACAAACAGTGCCCTTGCATAATACTTATCAATACATCTACATCTCAACATGTTTAGATGCTTGCATTTTTCTATATAAAATAAAACAATGAGAAACCCCAAAATAAAATTAGCTGCATTACCCTAGTACTCTTAGGAACAGTTAAAAAGACTTGGAGGTTTCTCATAAGTTTTGTTGTAAGGTGCCTCAATATTTCAGCTTGGCATTAACTTATATCGCTAAAAAAAGCAACAAATAAAAAGGGGCCTGAAAGTTGGCACATGTCTAGCGAGCATTATCATGTCTCAAGGGGTTGCCTGTTCTCTTTTGCAGTACGATTGTATTTCTAATTTTACCAACAGTCTTTAAGATGGGAGAATTGTGCAAATGCTATCTGCCTTTCCTTTTAAAATCATCGTAGTGTGAAGCTTAGCAGCACCTCTCAATTAGATATAAGAAAGAGTTCTTTCACAGAGGATTGCTGTGATGTGATTGACCAGACTCATTTTGTAGCACCTTTAAAAGCAGTCAAAAGTTCAATATGAAGCAACAAGAAGTAATTTTGGAGCACAAGCACACACTTTATTTTTATTCCTACCACTGTCAATATTATATGTTAAGATTCATGTCTTGGCCTATCCACCTAAAAAAAATATATGCATGCTTTGCCTTTACACTTCAGTGCAAAAAGAGGTTTGATTTTCTCAAAGATACAACTAGCCGTTTAATAGCACATAGGAGCACTAGGCATGGCAACAAGATGTTGATCAATGAAGGACAGTTTGGACTGCTGTCAATGGTCATTTTAGGTATGAAATAAAATGTAAATGAAATAGCCTATTCCACTAAAATAATGTTAGAATAATCTTGAGCACACAAATTGATGTTTCATTCAAGTTCTAAAAATTGTAATAAAACAAAAATTCTTAGCTCAGATTAAAAAAAAACAACTTATTTTGAATTAATTAAAATCGAGGACATTTTGTACGTAGAACCTCATAATAACAGAAACTGGCATGTGAACAATAAGTATGCCTTCTTAAAACAGTCCAGCCAAAGTCATTAAAGCTATTCCGAAGCTCCCTTCTACTCTTTCACCTAATTGAGGTTTAATTTATTATGTTGACTGTACCTCAAAAAATAAAACATACATAAAGGTGACAACTAAGCAACTGAGTTCAAATAAGAATAAACCTAAAGAGCAGTTAATATAAATTTCCTTGCGAGTACCCTTGCTATATCTTGAATTTGAAAAGATATCGCCAGAATACCTTAGTCTGCCATAAATAGTCACAGTTTAATTCAGAAATGTTTACTGCAACTAAGAGCTGTTCCACTAACACTCACAAAGTTCTATTCTTAATACACCCGACTCTGTTTAACGTCCCGCTCTGGGGACATTAGCACTCTGATGTGCTGCGGCGAAGCAAGGTAAGCAAAATTGTAATGCTTACTTCGCAGTTGCCGCTTCACTGCAGTACACAAGAGCGTGGTGAGAAGCGCACTCAACAAAGCTAACTTGCATGCACAAGCAGACTAGGAACATAGGAGAGATTGCGAACATTCCGAGTACTAACAGTAATTTACACTGACAAGAGAAAGCAAATAGGATAGTACATTATTTGACGCTCAAATCTAATATCCTGAAAAATTTGCCCAAGCCTACCATAACTATCCGGACGTGTAGCGGGGCCCCGAGTCATTACATTTTCAGTATTAATAAAGTGAAATCAAGTTTTGCCGCAAAGCTGGTGCAAATTCCTCACATTTGGGCTAAATGTAGCAACTTTGTGGCAGTTTGGCGCAAATGGCGTGGCAATCGCATCACTGGGATTGTCACAATAAAAACGACTGGTGGGGCCCCTTCAGATATGAACAATGGAAAGGCCTCATTCACAGCAGACCTACAATGATTTAGATTTTTTTTTTTTCCCCTACAAACATTTAACTTATTTCAGAACATGTACAGCAGCAACTCCTATAGAAAAGAGAGAGAGAGAGTTGGACCCCTTTTAAAGGGATGGTGAACCGAAATTTGGATATCAGAAAAAACAATGCAGGAAACGTAGGCGGGACGCTACAATCCCTACACCACTACTCGTAAGGCGACATCTCGAATGAATGGCCGTATTTTTGGAAAAAGAGGTCGAGATTGAACCAGGCCGACGAGGCGCGTGACGTCAATATATCGAGTTTCCTCCTCTCTTCGCTTCGCTCCCTCAAGGCTGCGAGGCGAAGAAGACGCGAGGCCGTTTCCTCTCCTTCTTGGAGAAACATGACAACATCATCTCTCTCAAATGCGCCTCCTTCTCTTGAAAAATTTGGTCATACGTTCGAAATATCGCTATCATGAGTGATGTTTTGGTGTTTTTAGCATCCCGTTGCACGCTTTTACCGCATGTTTTGTGGAATCAAAATTTCGGTTCAGCATCCCTTTAAGAACAGTCAGTGGAGTAACCGAATGATTTGAGATGCAGCCTCCTTGTACTTAAGAGGTATAAATAGTAAGAACCACCAGACAAACTGCGAAGGAGAGCAGAAAAACAAGCGTACCACTCGAAGAAGATGCCCATGCTGCGGTTTGGAGGAAAAAAACGCCTGTCGACGAAGTACAAGAGATTGTAGTATTCGTACAGCAACTGCACACCAGCCTGGTCTCTTGTTGGAGTTCTAGCAGCCTGCAAGAGACAACAACGACACGCACGTTTGGTCTCAATTCTTCTGCCGCATTCCGCTGTCTATCTATGATAGGCGCTAGCAGAGATTTGATTTTGAGAACTGTACTGCATAATAAAGTTCCAAGTTCCATCTTTTTATTACTATACTATGCATGCACACACACTATCACACTCTGGAGGAGTCTTTCTTTTTCAGCACAAGGCTGCGATGCAGCAAACCAGCACACGCAGGATCGCAATGTCTACTCTGCAAGTGTTGCTTCTCTGCAGTGCACCAATGCGCTGAGAGGAGTGCACTCAATGCAGCTAACTGACTCGCCCGAGAAATTGCAAAGAAAAAGAAATCTCGTGGAACTTCCAAGTACTGCCAGTGCTTGATACGAAGAGCTTTGGAACTTTTGGCTCAAGATTGTGAGAACTAAATGGCAAAGCATGTTGGGCTATGCTATTTAACTACTAGCGAAACCAGGCTGCTTAAAGGGGCCCTGTAATGACTTTTTGACTGGTTTTTAATTTGCACTGAATCTGAGCGTACTGAACGTAGTAACTTAATCCAACTTTTCTTTTCTCAAATTTCGCTTTATTTTAAAAGTTATAGGCAAATTAGAATTACAAAAACAAGCAAGAAATAACCTCCTTCATGACGTCGTAGGTCCTGCCTTGAGTGGCCTTGAACTAGAGGAGGAGTAGTGAGCTCATCGTGCGCACACGGCTGCCGCACTCCGTGTCAACGGCTCGAGAGGGCGCCACTAAAGCAAGTGTTGGATAGGCTGTATGAAGCGGGCGGCCAGGGCAGCTCGTATTGCATTTGCAGCGCGACTAAACACTAATTCGGCATAACATTTCATTGGCCACAAACGACAGCAAAGACGGAGTAAAGATCAGTTCAGAACGGGAGCCACTTCGCGCTGACGCACCGCCAAATGGCCAAATCGCCAACAGGGCCCGCGCCGAAGGCCTTCGGAACGCTCGGAACCGGTCGGATTCTTGAGCCGGTATACGACCACAGCGCCGCCGCGTACATCCGGGACCTTTCTACGCTCCTCGTTTGTCGTAGCCTCATCCCACTAGCCTTTTCTAGTATGCGCCGCTTTTTTCCGCCGCTTGGTGGCGGGTATGTCGACGGGTCATTTTTCGTTTCCGTACTTTCTAAACTGCATTTGTTTCTTTTCTAATCTAAAATAGTGAACAAAAACTACTTTCATACATAATTGAAACGGTTCGCGACACTTATATTTTGTATCTCGACTAAAAAAAAGCTCTTAGCGGTTTTGACCAGTGACAAGCCCAGGACCAAAGACGTCACATTTTGCGCGCTTTCGGTACCGCGGGTCGCCCTCGTCGGTGGAGGAGGTTTCCGCGTCGTCCGGTTAAAATATGACGCACTGATATTTAGTTACTCTCTCCGTGCCCGCTGGCTTGCCCCAACCCCAAGAGACGTGGAAACCGCAAAAAAGGTAGACGCTTAAATATGATTGCAGGGCCCCTTTAACAAACATGGAGGAGAAAGTCTATCGAGAAAACAATAATCAATGGACTGGCACGCACCTGTCTGACGTCCATGAACTCTTGAATGGCACCATCGTACGCAGAGCTGTCTTCACTGTAGTGCTCCATAATGAAATCCTGAAAAAAAAGGAGAACAAAACAAAAAAAAACAATTGGAGACTCTGAACAACTACAAGCAAACAAAAATCAAAATGTAAATGCATTTTGTGATTTGCATTTGGAATAGAAAAGGATAAATTAAGCCACAAACTGAAGCATCCCACTTGCCTTGAACGGCTCCTTGAAGTCAATGTCTTTGGTCTCCTTCAGACCCAGTGGAATCATTGGCACTAGCTGCGACTGGCTGCAGTCAAAAACAAAGGAAGAGGTAAGAACCTTCAAAATGTAATTACATTTTCTCCTTTTATTTTTTATTTTTTAATTCTAAAGCTGGAGATTTCTTTTAAGCCTGCTGCCAAAGAAAAGCTGGCAAATAGACTCATTCCAGATAAAACTGAAGTACTGCCATATATTAGCATGACCCAGAACTGGCACACACTGTAGCACATACTACTTTGGTTTGTGCAATGAGGGTGAGGGCTCCCGAGATAACCTTTCAGCCTTTTTCTGTAAGCATTTGCAGAAAGCTAATGAATAAAGCACCTTAGCAAAAAGAAGCATGACCATAAGTTCCCCTCTACTGCCATCTCTTACTGCTCAATGGTGTCCTTTACTGGAATGTTAATGAAAGCAAGAGCAGTGCATACTTTTCGCTCTGGTAGATCTGCACAGAACTGTTCAACTCAGCCAGCTGCTCCTTGAGTAGCTGCAGGTTGGAGTTCAGGAAACTCAGCTCCAGGGCCACAGTCTCCCTCAGCTTCTTGTTTGTGGTGGCCCTAGAAACAAAAACACACACAAAAAAAAGAAAAACATCCAGTTAGCCTCTGATACGACGCATTGGAAGAAAGATGCAACATCTAAGGTCATGACTTCAAACACCTTCCAAGTCCCCTAATGTCATGCCGAGTCAATAATCTTCAGAACTGAGGAAGTCGTGTTTGACTTAGTTGTCAAAATATATTTATTAGAGAAAAATAACTGCAAGGAGCAAGATATTGTTCACCTCAAACACACATACACACACACACCAATGACTAGGCAAACATGTTACCACTTGATTAGACAAAATCAGCACGACCAACAGCCCACCTGTCGGAAACACTCGGCAAAATTCCACCGACAAGAACACGAACAGGGTTGACAAATCACTAATGAAGATATCAGAGTTGAAGATAAAAAACAAAAAAAGGACACTGTCGAGTAAAATACTATATGCAGTAAACCTATGCCCAGCAATGCCACAATCAGATGTTTCATTTATGAAACCCGGATGGACTATGATTTCAAAACGATTTCTCCCGAATGCTAGCATGCAGCTATCGCAACCTCAACGCATGCATTATTTATTTATTTTTTTTTTTTTTTACGTAAGCGCGTTTGTGTTGACTGTTGCATTTTTCTCGCGAGCGATAAGAAATAAGCGAACACTCCTAATCGGGGGCGACAATCAGCGCGCAAACACACCTCAAGACCCGTTTCTTCCGGTCCTTCTGTCATAGCTAAGTTCTGGCGGAAACCAACACAAAATATATCTACATATAATCCATCAATCGCGGAATCTGGGCCGTGTAAACGGCTCGCGGACATCGCGGCGGCAGGCGCGTGCAACCGCCGTAACCATCTCCGCAGCGTCAAAAAAGCGCGTGCACACTTTCCCCAGGGGGCCGTCCGTTACGCAAAAAAATAAACAAATAAATAAATGGCCCTTTCGCCAGCGAGTCGGCCGTTGGTACCGCCGAGCGGCGCAGTTCCTTTATCTCGAATCTAAGCGAGCCTTCGCCGATTGAAAGCAGCCCTGGGGCCATCCAGGCGAGCCGTCCTCATTGTCGAAAAGTGTCGCGCTTAGTCGCCGCTGCCGAGTTCGTGCCAAGGCCGGCCCGGGCGGGAGACTCCAGGGGCCTGTTTTGCGGCGCGCACCACGACTGCTCCGATCCGGGCAGAATCTCGTGGCGGATGAAAAAGCCCTCGGCCGACGCATTTCTGCGAGGCGACCGTTCCGAATCCGACCATTTATCTCCGGATCGCGGCAGGAGGCAGAAGGTCGGGAAAGAAGAGGACGCCTTTTCAGAGCCGCCGTCACGGCGGAGACGGCCCAGCAATTCGGGTGGAGATGTTTCATTATCATGCCTCCGGGCCCCACTTGGGCGACGAGAATTCTGCGCAAGTCTCGCTCAAATCGTCCAGACCCATTGCTTTGATAAAAGTGACACGGGCGTCGCTCAGTTTGTTTTTTCTCTGCCGCGTGACATTACTGGGAAAGTGGAAACGAAATTCCTCAGACAAGGTTTCTCCGTTGCTAAAATCAATAATTCATAACGCCCCCCCCCCCCCCCCCCCCCCTTCCCCCCCCCCCCCCCCTTATTTTCCAACCTCCTCATCGCCATGGCCGCGCACCCGATAAGAAAATAAAAAATATCGTGCACAATATTAAAAAAAACAACAAAAAAACACGCACTTTAACACGGGAGATACGGAATGCCACAACTGTTTCTGGGAAAAGCTTTCTTTGACACTCGCGAAAGAGCGAACGCTAGAAATAGCCACGATGTATTTTCGCTGCAGAGAGAAGACACCGGCGGCTCAACCATATGATTACAGGGGGAACGCGAATTTCGTCGATCAGGGAATGAGTAGGAGGAAAAAGGTGTCGGACTCGACAGAGAGATCGCACAGCTGCAGCCCATCATTGACGCACCATTCCCAGCAATATCTTCTCGCGGAGAAGGTCGCCCAACCGCGACGCTGTTTGTCCTCACAGTCCTAGAGTAACTAAATATAACGTAAACAGATACAGAGACTGGGCCAGATTCACACCGAATACGGGCTGCGAAACGCGTCGTCGAGCACGCACTTTCCGCGTGTCATCGGCAGCCAGCGGCGGCGAAGGTTCGCTCCGAGTCTTTAGCCGAACGTGCTGTCAAGGGGCCGGCCTAGATATCACTCCTGGATCCACGCAGCTTCGCCTAGCATGCGTCAGCATCACAGCGAGCGCGACGTTAGCAGGCGGCGACGCCAAGGCGGTGCCGCTTGGGTCGGAGATCCTCTAACGATGACGTCATGAGCAGGCCTTTGTTGTCTTCTAGGCGGTCCAGCTGACTGGCGTGACGGCCCAGATGGAGAACTGGTTCATGCAAATTGACGAGTCGTTCGGAGCCCTCGGGGCAGGGTTCTTTCAAGGTCACCGGACCAATTACAAGACGACCGCAATGAGCCACCCCGCCCTCGAGCCACGACCCCGATTTCGCCGCACTGAGGGCAGCACACAAGGCACGGACGCCACCGTCAGTCGGCCGCCCACGGAGAGAAATGCCTGGAGTGACACGTCTCCGAACCTTCCGCGCAGCTGGGAGTTCGAAACAGCCCATCGACGAGCCAACTCTGGTGTAGCTCCCCCCAAAGTGTGTATTCTCCGAAGAACACGCGCTCGACTTCCTCGGGAAGCCACAAAACTTCAGCTATAGGGTCACAAAAACAACTGACAACTTCATATAGGGTAACAAAGAGGACAACACATAATGGTCGCAAGATGCGGAGTAAGGATAAAGATGCACAATCGCTGGCTCGCTCGTTCCTTCAGCATCGTTCGAGCTAGAAGACGTGATTGAGTAGACTGTGGACCACCACTACCTTCAGAGTCAGTCTGACTTCCCGTTTCAGGTGGGAGCCACAAGCCTCGCCTCGCCAGGGCCGTTCGGTGTGGTTAAGGGAAACATGCCGCTTCTAGGGCAGGATCCATCGAGCATCGATGGACCTTGAGCAACGTTGGCGTACTCTCGTGATGGCAGCCCATGGGAGTGCTCGCGCCTAGAGTTCTTTCGCCGCCGTCTACGCTCACCCCACGGTCGCGGGAATATCGCCGCTCTCCGAAGGGCCGGGAGCTTGAGAAGGGAGATAACGCCCGACTTACTCCCTGCCACTTTCCTGTCCACTCCAATTCAGAGGCAATGGGTGTTTGTGCACGACCTCGGTGTTGGAGAAAAGGGAAACCATTTGCGATGCGAGAACAGCGCGCGCGATTTCTCAAGGATAACAACGTTGTCAGTTCAACAAAGGCCCCGAAATTGCAGTACCAGCCCGCCGGGAACAAAATAAACGTCAACGTGTAAAGGTTAGACGTCTGAGGCCGAAAGACCAGATTGTAATCGGCTTCCACTCGGGAATGCGGCTGTTCTAATGCTCGGCATGCGGGTCGGAAAGCTCATCCGTGCCCACGTCCAACCAAAGCCCGTCATCCATCTAAAAAAAAAAAAAAAAAAAAAAAAAAAAAAAAAAACTAGGCTTCCAGCGAAGCATTACTAATTACCTCTTTTATGTGCCGAATTAACATAATTTTGCGAGGATTCAGGATCACTCATTTATTTGATCAAAAATCTAGATTTCAAACAAACACACACACACACACACACACACACAGAAAAAAAAAAAAACACCGACGGTTTGTTTACCACCAAATTTCGTAAGAACTACTTCCTGCAGCATATAAAATCTACGCAAAACTCGCGTACTGCGTGTTTTTACTCGTGGAGGGACCTCCACGACGTGTGTCATGCGCAGCTCGCAGGGTCGCAGAAACCAACGCATGACCCACTCCAGTCACGGGAACCGAGCAAGAACAACGCCATTCCGTCCTCGACGCATTCCTCAGCGCTCTCATTAATGCTTTAATCGATCTGTTTTGCGCCTGGCGTGCACCCGATCCGCGTCCAACATTAGGACAACGGGATTAGCGCAGCGCTCTAGGGGCCTCCCGCTTTTCTTCGAAGCGGTCCGGACCACGGGATCGACGCCCGGTCCAAGGTCACGTGGGATTGGAACGCAGCGCGCCTCCCAACGCGGCCCTTTCTTTTCATTACTCCCCTCATTGGGCGCCTGCCTGCCTAACGATTCCGAGCGAAGCCGACCGCGGCGGTTCACGCGAGCCTAGAGCTGTAGGTCATTGTCAGGCCCCGAAACCTCGATCGAGCTCGTATCGGCGGGGGTCTCCGCGGTGGGCGCCGCCGCGCGGAATTAAACGTCCGCGCGTTCTCGCTTTCTGGCTCCCGGCGCCCGGGGTGAGGGGACGGCCGGGCGAAATCGGATTTGTCCCATATTCCCCAGCGGTCGTTGACGTCTCCTCTCAGGGGGCTGCGAGCGGGGAGGACCGGTCCACCGCGGCGCCAAAGAAGCCGCGGAGCAACCGCGGCTTTTCCTTCCAGCCGCGAACTAACCGCAAACTCGAGGAAGCGAGCCAGTACACGCCGCGCGGCGAGAGAAGACGAGCTAACCCGCGCGCGAGCCGACAGGGCGCTAAATTGAATCTGCCGGCGCCCGAATTATTTATCGCGGCTCAAGAGGATTCTCGCATCTGGGTTCGCTCCGCCGGCGGCGCCGCCGTCCCGAATGGAAACGGAGGCTCGCAGAAAGACAAACGGGGCATCTGTTTGGGCCGAAGCACACGGGCGTTCGAGCGAGACGAGCTTTCCATTCTTCCTCTTCCTTCGCCTTGGATCCACTGACCCGTCTGGGGGACCCCGTTGCGTCGCCGATTCCCACAGCGCGCTCCCAGCGCCCGCGTGGACGGCACGAGAACAGACGCCCTCGATGTCCCCGGTTCCGAAGGCGAGGAAAACAAGCTAGAAGGGATTTGCCTAGATGGTATATGCTCCCAAGAGCTCCGCGTCCCCCTAGCCGGTGCTCGTGCCGTCACTTTGTGTGCGGACTGATCCATCCCCACCGAAAACAAAGCCTATGAACAGCCTTCTCTGCCTCCATCGAACGAACGCCTTCACACCTCGAT